ATTACTTCTTCACGTCAAAGGGCCGACTTGCTTCAGAGATGTTAGAACTTATGAAAATATTATTTACAAATCATTTCGAGAAGCTGCTCAAGCAAGGGGGCTCCTTTTTGACAATGTTTACCAAATGCAAGGAGATTCGGCTGTTAACAAAATGATCAGGTATCATCAAACAAATAATAATAAACGAAGACAGAGACACGACCAACGAAACAGTTTATGAAATACTTACGATTTTCGGCATGATGTGTGTGATCCAAACGAATAAATCACTATGCGAAACTAAATGACATTTGAACTAAAACTTCAACTTTTATGATTATGATTAGTATTCTTTTTTCTATGGTTGTTATCGTTTATCGACACAATTTATTTTTTTATTTTTAAAATTAGTAAGTACTTAGTAGAGTAGAGAAAAGACTGAGTGCTTAAAAAAAAGAGATTTACAGAGAGTAAACCTTATAAATATGTTTTGTTAAGTTAGTCTTAGTTTATTTTGAATGTTGATCTAAAATTAAAATAATTTGTGTAAAAACTTTTGCAGTTTTTATTTACTATATTTATTAAACACAACGAACGATGCTATACGAATCTATATTTAATATTCTTTGAGAACCGATGACTACAGAAATATCTACCTACATTTTGCACCTAGATGTGTATTATGAGTCAAATTTCACCCGAGCGAAGCCGGGTTTTCATCTAGTATATTGAATAATATTGAATACATTTTCCTCTCCAATATTGAATCACGAGCCATTTCAATATTTTAGAAGCGCATTGCTAATATTGAAACGGCACAATGATTATTCAGAATGATAAACCTGTCGGATGTATGATGAATATACATATTTTTTTGAATATATATAAACGTGTATTTATATTTGTTAACGATATGTTGCGGCAATTAATGATGATTTAAATGGTAATATTGAAACTCGAAACATAATATTAAATAGTTATCTGTCAACCTGGTGTGGGAAATATCTAATTGTGTAAGTAATGTAATATATTTGCGTTTATATCCGTTAAATATATTTAAATAAGACATAGTACGACCGCAACTATACAACATCTAGTTCAACTATCAACTTAATAAATTTATGCATGCTCAAATGTGTTTTTTACCTAACGAACGAATATTGTTATGATTGATAGCAATATTTTTAACGCGTCTATCCATTCCATGTTTTTATGAATGTACCACCTAAGTTGAACAGCTTTGCATCATTTTTTTTCTACTAGATTTTGCAGTTAATTCAATTACATTTATTATAACATTATCATTGGCGTTACTGTCAGCTGCCATTGTTGTTACATCTAACAACTAAATATGTAACAACATTCTTGCCACATCTGTAATATAATAATAAAATAAATATTTTATTTTATTTACAATCAAGGATACAGTTTTTACAATTTTCTTAACCTAAAAGTAATAATAAAAATTATTAAAAAGAAAATCAAAACAAATTTAAAAAGTTTGGTCCCTGTGGCAGTATACCTATAACGCTGGCAGCATTTCCTCGCTGTATTGCTATACTTATTCGTTGAGCCAGGAGAGTGCCAGCTCTGGGGTCACCGGTACTATCTACTAGGCGCCAACTTAAATCTTTAGTAAGCGCCTGTGCACTTGAACCCCACGGCCCAAGAGTCTCTACTCCAAACGGAACAAAATCGAAGGTGGAGGAAAGACTCTTGTATTTGTGCTGTTTATTATTTTCTATCTGCTCTGCGGCCGCCCCAGCTAATAAAATAAAATATATATAACGTTTTACATTACATTCTGAGCCGTGTACTGTACACTTGGCTTTTGATCTGTAATAGTTCATCAATTGAAGACCCGATCAAGTCTTAGCGACATAACACTTCCTGTATTTTTAGATTATTAAAATTATCTACATAATTTATATAATCTAGCGGATAAATACTACAAAGCAATGTACAAATATTATTTTAAAGCTTTTAAACTCATAAAATAATTCGATCATGTTTAAGTGAAACACTTAAAACTACGTCGAACATGCCCGTAATCCTTATAACTTCAGCTTCAACTTGCTTGAAAAGTAGATTATGCAAAACGTTTAACACTAGTGTAGTAAGTGCATGTTAATCCTTTTGGTATTTTACTAGCTTAGCCCGGCTTTGGACTGCTGTCCCATATAAAAATATTTTGGAAATAAATATAGCCTACGGTACTCAGGGATAACGTAGCATTGTAATCGAGAAATGAAATTTTGAAATCGTTCAATTTATTTTTGAATTTTTTCGATAAATCAACAAAAATATATTTCCACTTTATAATATTAGTACAACATAATATATTGTACATGTTACATATAATTGCGATATAAAATATAATTATTTAGGCGTCTGAAAAATACATTCTTCACTTTAAAAGCTTTGTTTTGTACAATTCTCTGTTAAGCAATTTATTTAGAATTCATGGCCGTCGTTTGTCAAATTCGATTGGTCTATTTACAGCTTTAACCTAGTTTTTTTATTCATACCCTTCCTAAAGTTTGTTGATTATTATTTGTCGTATTAGTAAATGAATAAAATAACATTCATAAATAATTGCGATGAGAAATTTGTAAAAAGTCGAAGATTTGAGAGGTGAGAATGAAAACAAAAAGTACTGTCCTATGGAATAATAAAATAAAATTTTAATGTAAAGTATTGTCCTATGGAATAATAAATACAACTGAAGAGTTTTACTACCCACACTGTTCTCCGCCGGAACTTATTTTCGGAAATTAAAGGATTAAATTAGAAAATAAATTTTATAGTTAACATCAACAGGAATGATATAGAGTTAACATCAGGTATAACATCACGGTCCGACCGAATTAACGAAGTACCGTAGCTAAACGTCGGGGAATGGCGACTTGCACTAAATATGTCCCCCTTCTAAAGGACAACTTACAGTACCGGTAAAGATATAATAATTACCATGTGTGTGTTTGTGACAGACGCTTAATAATCAAGTCTGACTGCCGTACATCGGAAATGTATTGGATTTTGACATACGGGAATCATAGCTATGCCATGCTATGCTATTTCTAAATTTTTATGATAAGCTTAATTTTTATAAGTATAAACTTACAATGGATGTTAAGTTTTTATAAGCACAGTTTGCCAAACACAAAACATAATTTTTTTTCCTTCTGTTATGCTCACGATATTTCTTTATTTATCTTAGACTCTTTTCGGACATGACAGTATTTTCTTTATTTTTCGTAGATTGTTCTTTTGTTCCACTTTTGCGTGTCTGTTTGCCAGGTGGCAAAGGCCTCCTCCAATCTTCTCCATTCTGGCCTTTCTATGGCCACTCTACCCCATGTTGTTGATGATGCTCACGATACTTAATTTAAATTGTATAAAGAATTCCTGAACTTTGTGCCAAGAGGGAGCGCTGTAAGCTGGCACCCCATCATTGCTTTATAGCAATGACTGAGTAGTATCTAAGGACATCTCCCTCTTTAATGGACAGCTAAACTTTCCTATAATTTAAATTATATTTATATCCCTGTGGAATGGTTTGTTTGTTTTTTGTATCACTTCATAAAACATTGTTGATTCAGCCAATCGATTTAACAGCAACGTTGGAAAGTGCTCTTAACTAAATTTAAGTCCACTCCCTCCCCAATATCGATCACCACCCAGTACGAAATTATGCAACGAAATATGTCAGAAGTCCGTTTAAATATCTATAAAATAATAATGTAATTATAGAAATGCTTATCGAGATGCTTCACTTTATAACCCGAAAACTAATTATCAAATTACACAATAAAATATACGTCAAATTAAAAACCTTCTTCGGGATATTAAAGACAATGGCTTTAGACAAAAATACTTTGCGAGTGACATAAGCACGTCGCATCGCACGCTTCTAACATCTACTTCAATAGCTAGAAAGTATCGTTACGTTTGTTACTTATTGGTAGACTATCGGTACCATTACATACCAATCATCTAAATTAACTTTTAAATAAAACGATGTTGCAACTTTGAACTCGCCTTATAAAAGTCACTCAAATATCGTTTCATATTTCGAGTGGTTTGCCCGAAATTGTTATTTTAAGTTCAAGGGCGAATCATCTCGACCTCTTACCGTATATTCTAATAGCTGAAGGGAAATTAATTAATACGCCAAATATAGGAAAACTCTCTTTTATTTTCTTAAGTACTATTCTGGTTCTTGTTAGAAATATTAGAAGTATAGTTTGAGTACTACATTATAAGATTCAATCAAATTTACAATATTTCAATAAAGAAACGTATCGTTCGGCGGCCTCGTTTACTTGTGTTGCCCATTGTACGCATAAGGCCCTTTTCACATGTATCCGGTCACGGCGCGGTCGCCGTGCCGTGCAACCGTGCTAGCTCTTTCTCTTGTATACGGTTTACACACGGTCGCCGGCTATGGTAGTCGCAGTATTATCGAGAATTTTGGGAAACGACAACGTCTTTTATCATGGAACAAAAAAGATAGCCTTACTCCTATTGTATCGTCCGTCCTTTCCCCTATGATTTGTCTGTCGAATGGCATTTGCGCTCGCAATGCCGTACCGCGCCCGTGTTCAAGTGAACGCATCTATACAAGACTATAAAGACGATTGCCGCGTCAAAACCGTGCTTATAGTGGATAAGGACGGCTGACACGCGGTCATGGCACGGTCGCCGTGCCATGTGAAGTTCTCATTGTTGGTCATATATTACTACTTTACACGACACGGCGACCGTACCGTGGCCGTGTGCATATGAAAAGGGCATAAAGCTTGTTCAATAAAACCTTCAAGTGTAAGTTAAAAACTTATGAATGCCTATAGTCCATAAATTAAAAATTATTATTCCTTATTAGTAAACAAATTTGGTTTACTAAATATGTACATAATATTATTCTTGTTGTTGAATACGAGAAAATATATATTTAAAAGGTTTTCTTTTATTAATTCTTTAAACGTTATTTTTTCAAATATATTTGTAGAGTTTGACAATCATTTATTTACACTTCTATAATGATTGATCAATTTATTTCTGAATTTAACAAATTTAGAAATTTCATTGCTCTTCAGGTTCGTCACCTTTCTTTTATGGTCGACTAATATCATTGGATCAAGCTTCTTTTTATGTATATCAATGTGTCCCTTTGCTTCATGTACGAAATATATTTTTGGCATTATTACATTATCTGTGAATGCGTCATTTGGAAACACGATATATACAACCAATGGTCTGTCATCGAATGCATTAATCTTCACATCAGGTGGCGCTGCTGCTATTAAAATTTTATACTCTTCAACTTGCTGTTGAATAATTGGGATATTAATGTAATTTGACTCAGTTAATGTTGAGTTAATGCTGTTGTTTTGAGCAAAAGGAGTTTGATAGAGGATTTTAGCTACTTGGTTTGTACACCCAGCACCAAGGACATCTACTTTAGAGAGAAGTTTTCTTTGGAGAGCTTCTTGAGCAGCTCGCGGCTCTTGGGGTATTTTTGCGAAGAGGGCACCAAACGTTTTAGGTCTTATTTCTTCCTTATTCAATAGAGGACTGAATTTCACGCTAAAGCCGTTGTAAATTGGTAAACTTTGAGCTGTCGTTAGCGCAAACAGCACGAGTATATTCTGAAAAGTACATACGTGTTCATTAAAAGTTGTAGTAATAAAAATTCAAAGGTGAAACGTTGGAAATTTTTAAAAACTTCCTACATTTAGACACGTTTGTTTTACAGCACGATTAAAACATAACATTACTATAAAATCAATCGAATACAAGAATGTGTAGGTTTTTCTAAACTCAACATAATCTATTTCTCAATAGGGATTTGAAACAGGTATAGGGTGTCTCAGTAAGAGTGCACTTTTTAAAATGGCAATATTTTTATTTTCCTGCAAGTGGCAACTCTGAAATTTGACAGCTGTCATCTCTGTTTATTCCGATTATTAAAAATGGAGCGCTTTTTGAAAGAATAACTCGTTATAATTGTGAAAACTTATTACAAAAGTAACGCTGAAAACGCTCGCAAACTTCACCAAATTTTCAGACGAGAAAGTGCACCTAATGTGTCAACCATTCGAAGAGCGGTCAAAAAATTTGAAGACACTGGGTCAGTTATGGATAATAAGAATCCTTTGCATCAACGTACCGGTCGGTGCCTTGAAAACATTGCTTCTGTAAACGAGAGTGTCGCCGAATACCCGAAAACATCAATTCGACGTAGCAAATTTTGCCTAAAGACCGGTTTACCTTCATGCGTACAAGATTCAGTTAACTCAGGAGCTCAAACCAGCAGACCAAGGAAGGCACCGGCAATTTGCTCAATGAGTAATGGAGCAAAGGGAAGTCGATGCCAATTTAAGAAGAAATGAAAGAAGAAATCATTTTCTCCGATGAACTGAACACATTATCTCACTAAATTTTAATGTCAACTAGCCACCAAGATCGTGCGATTTAACGCCGTGCGATTTTTTCTTTGGGGTTTTGTGAAATCTCGAGTTATATGCGAATAAACCCGAAACCATTCCTGAGCTCAAATCGGAAATCCAACGCGTCGTCGGTGAGATACAGCAACATCTCTATGCAAAAGTCATGGAAAATTTAAAGAAAAGTGTAATGGCCTGTCATCGGAGCCGTGGAGGTCATATGCCGAATATTTTATTCCATACTTAATCGGAACGTGTCTTCTTTACAATACAATAAAAATATCAGAACTCTGTCATAAAATACTTGTCTTTATTTAAAAATGAAAAAGTGCACTCTTACTGAGACACCCTATATAATAACGGTTTCCCCAAAAGTGACCACTATAAATATATATCTGACAATTTTAGTCATCTTGTATAATTATGAGCTAGTAACAGCACTAATTCTTAAAACATTTCTTTTTGCAACAGCGCAAAAGTATATTAAATTAAATATGGCAATTATCTTAAACGGCACACTAGGCATCCGCTAAAAAAACGATTGAAAAGTATTTTATCCACATATTTAGAAACTTGTTGTCTCAAAAGAGGTCGGCTAACTTTCAATCAACAACCAACAATCCTCATTTTTATGATTTTTTATTAAAAGGCGTTCTAATCACCTTAAACATAAATCGAATGTTTACTAGCTTTTTTAACTCCAATAAAAATTGAAAATTGAATTTCCCGACTAAAATACTATAATTGAAATCTAATAAATAACTTAAAAACTCTGACTGAAGCGACCATTTTCAGGCAACCCGATTTTACTCTATTTTAAATATGTACTACTAAAACAAGGTGCTATAAAAGGAATCATTTAGACGACTTACAGTTCTTTCACGGTATCCACACATTGCAAAGTCCACAGTACAAACTTGAGTGAGGTTACAGGAAATTTTACAAATGTTTACTAAACACCCAACAAGCACGGATGTTTGGTTTAAAGACAATGTTTGGGTTCTTTTTAATATTTCGATGATCAGAAATTGAATACATGACTTAATATTTACGGTACTTAATTTTATTGTAGAGCAATGAGAGGTTTATTTTGACAGAAGAATATAAAAGATCTATTTGCGAATGTACTATGTAATTTCATATCTTTAACTTTCATTTCAAAAAAATTGATTAAATTAGGTAAATAGATACAAAACCTTACAAAAAAAGGATTCTCTTAATTAGATCGCAAGTTTTTTGGACAAATTCTTTAATGTTTCTCTAGATACGAAGGTGATTCTAATCTGATGGTCTTTTACAAATGAACCTTATTTTTAATTAAATAATGTTTTTTTCAGGGTATACATTTAGCTAGCGATTTAACTGGCATCTATGAATAAAAAAACATTATGGCGGTTCGGTTTTGATTAGTCAACATTGTCTCTAGGTCAATCACAATCAAATGGCCCGATCAGTCGTTTCGTTTTTTTGGGGGAACACAACCGAGCTTATTTCGATCATGCTAACAAAATACAACAAACATTTCGTAGGGTTTTCGAGCACCAAACATTTTAACTCTAGCTTAATTAAATACGAATTTTATGATAGTTGGTACATCAGTCTTAGCTAGTGAGTCTCTCGAGCAGCAGAGCACTCAAACAATTATAGTATTTTTAAATTAACTCTTAAGCACTATCAATACAATAATGACTTAGCTAATATGTATTTAAAATGATGTCAGTTGCACAATATAGTTAATTATACCTCTCATATAAGCTCAGATTAACAAACAGTATGAAAATTTTTATTCATTAGCATTTCGTTGTCGGGAAGACCGATTTTTGCACTGCAAGGGATTGTACTCCAGCATTGTTCTCGTATAATTAAAAATTACTGACTGAGAAAATAAAAAAGCTTTGTGGTGTTGAGAGATCGTTAGCAGAAACCGTGCGGCGGTAAGAGCAATATATTTAATTTAATTAAAGCGTAAACTTCGCTACCCTTCTTTCCAATTGTTTGGCCTCAACTGATCAATCAATAGTTACTATTATTTTTATGTTTTAAAAACAAGTTTCGTTATATCATCGAATTGTTTTGAAGCGAGAAGCGTCTTGTGTATTCTGGCTTTGCACGATTCGATTTAAAAACTAGAAACGTCATGGCTTGCAGCACTCAGTTGGTGGAGGATATTTTTATGACGGAGGATGGATTTATATGTTTTTATAACTGTATTGAAATCACAAGCTAAAAGGAGGGTTAATCTAGTGATTTCACTCAGGTTCTCATGCCTGAGGTCGTGCGCTTGAACTAGAACACCGATTTTTTTTTACTGGCGCACCTAACAGTTGCCCCTAGTGTGGATTTAATCAAACTGAAGATATATAGAATCAACTTCAGTTTATTACTAATATTTTACTATTTTAGGTCGGAAATCGAAACCAAATTGAAAACTAAATTTGATTTGGTAGCGTTGACGTTCATTTTAATGGATTTGTATGATTGATAAGTTTTATTAAATTTCGTAGGTCAGAAGTACTAAAAAATAAATAAATATTTATATCCGGGGCCTAAAAACGAATATATCACTGTGTAATTTTTATAATTTCCAATAGATTTGCGCAATTTAAAGCTCCTGATCTATTCTTTTAGCAAATATTCACAATCACCTCGCCACAGGACTCTTCTATATTCATTAACATTTTTGTATGGTTTAAATAAAAACTATCCAATATTCCTAATTAATTAAGTATGCCACTTGTATTAGTGTGCATTAGCAACCTTTGATTAAGCACGAGACAGTTAGCAACATGATCGATTTATGTATACGGTAACATAATATATAATACAGAGCAAACATTGAATAAACATACACCAAAAGCGAAAGAAACAGGCGCCTCGATAAAATATTAGCAATTTCTTATACTACTAGTAAAATATTCCCTTTCAGTACCATGTTTAATTCCTATTATGGACCACGTGTTCTATTATCAATTTTATACATTGAAACTTTTAACAAATTTTACATTAGTTATTAATAATTCAATTATTATTTGGATAGTTAAACCAAACGAAAAATTACCCTTTTATTTTAAGAACTGCGCAGCAATAGATTGTTAAATCTTTAATTAACACTTACTCGTACGGTAAAAGAAAACTTAGTGAAACGGGCATGTCTCAACAAAATCTACGACGAATGTTATAAAGGGCTGACAAAATATTATAAGCCATAAAGAGAGTGTCCTTCTATGATTTGTTGATCATAAGTATGACACATTTTATAACGAAAATTCCAAATTTTTTAAGTTACAGTTCTGACCTACAGCTTAATTTAAAAAAGTATTCAGTGGTACAGGCTAGCCTTCAGCGCGCCGGAAGTAGGCTTTATCCGTTCCCATCGCCCCTGTCGGCCACTGATATCAATCACAGTGCCGATATAAGGGCTACATTTATTTTACTATCAAATAATAAATCCCTGTCTCTGGCCTTGTCTGATCTGTAAGTCTACATTGCTCTTTAAAAACACAACACAAAACAAATTACACATTTGTTCGACATGAATCCGAGTGATATTTTTTAATCTAATCGACTATTTCTATTGCTTTAACGTCTAAACAGGACTACAGACTGTCGTCAATAGACAAGAAATATATATATATATATTGTGTTATTACTTAAGAAGGATTAAATAAAGCAATTAGTGTGTAAGTAAATTAAATAACTAAATTGGATAATTTGGTTTGCAATTCAACTTTCAATTTAAGTTGGAGTATATTCGGTGACGTTATTAAAATCGACTTCAAACAGAAAGTTAAAATTATCCTTATGTATGTAAGCGTATGCTGCTATTGTAGCGTAATCATATTGTCGATCTGTCCTTTGTTATGATAGATCGAAGCTATGAATACATAAAGGTCAGGTTTACGCGAAATATATCTACCAAAAGGTAACTAATTTAGCTGATATTGTATTCATTCTCGTATCATTATCGATTATATGAATAACTTTTTCAAATACTATCTTTTCAGTTTCAATAAAAACACAAACGTAGGGCAAACTTAGTTCTCGCTAAGTCTCCACTCTGAATGATATCACAGTCAAGACAACCTACGATTCAGAAACGACTTAGTACTTAGTCGGACTTCTGTATGTCAAAATCATATATTTATTTTGTTATTTAAAGTAACAAAGCGTATATAAATAATAGTTTTGTAATAGCGTTAATAAAATTATATAATATATATGGGTTACATAATACGAAATTCCGCGTGAGTTATCACGACGTCACTCGTAATATGTTATGAACTCAATATTATGTCTACCGTTGATATATAGCACCCGGAAAGTCGAGAAACATTACTTTTCTTAATAAATAAAAGATGCGGAGATTTATTATTCAGTTTCTTATTCTAAATAGTTACTAAGGTTCATCCTTTTATGCGATTTAAAAGCTTTACGAGTATGCCCTTTAAAATAAATAACATAGAATTGTAAAGAACATTTAATGATGTCTTTTAAAATTTTTATTCGACCATTTCTTGTTACATAAATATCTGACTACCTACAATTTAACAAACATATTTTCTCTATTCAGCATTATCTCTTATCGTAGATCTCATACAATGATGTAAGATACAATACATTGCATATCCGTAACTGAGTGGTACATACGCGCTTTGCATTTAGACATAAAAGAAATTGAATTTCCAATGCGTCAAAACTATTTACGGTGGAGCACTTAATTTTAAATACAATATACAAATCAGTATTGCTCTCTCAAGAATAATTTGATTATATCTTATCTTGAAAGTTAGATAGAATCCTTCGTGGTGTTTCAATGGTCTCAGTTCTTGTATCCATATTTTCTTTATATTTGACAAACACAACTTCATGCTCTGACAATTTGTGCGATTTGGGAACAATAATTTGTTTCTCTTCCGGTTTCTTTATTAGGACGTATATAAGCGTCTTTTCTTCGATAGCACTTGGCTTGATTATTGATTGAGTTTGTGAATTGAATAAGGTTTGAGCGGGGAGGTTTATGAATACAATCCTGTACGTCTTCTTTGCCTGTGGCTTGATCGGACGAACGTATTCCTCTACGTCCGGTTGCGGAACGTGAAAGTATATATGTTTTATAATTGACGGTGATTGAGTTGTTTGACTGGTCACACCTAAAATATCTGACGGGATCTTACTTAATTGATTAGCCTGAGAGTAACCGTTGTTGACGTTGTTTAGGAAAGAGTTAGTGTCTTGTGAGGATGTGTAGGTATTTTGTATGGCGTTTCCGTTCAATATATCAACGCTGTATGGATTAAAATTTTGCAACGTTCCTTCACTATAATATCCATTGGTAGCAGGACGATTGGGGTTTATAAAAACACCATCGGCATAAACATTAAACGGCTGATGCGCTTCATGTGAAACTTTAAACGAGACAGTTTTTTGCAATACCTGTCCGGTGTGTCCGGTCAGTTTATTACTTTCAATTCTTGGTAACTCAAAGGCGTTATCGGGTCTTGAATAAAAGTATCCTTGAGGTATACAATGAACGAACGGTACGACCTATAACAAAAAACATAAATGAAAAAATGTAAAAAAAAATAATCCTTATTCATAAGTTTACTAACCAATATAACAGATATTAAAATTATTCTAAAGCTGTCCATAGTGGTGTTGTCAGAACATTGAAACGTTCTTATGTTACGATTAGTTTTTATATAAAACTTTTCCCCATGATATTATAAAAAGGTTGGATAGATTAGCATAAATCTCATATTAAGTATACTTCCGCTCTTTATGATTTGCATAATATAGAAAAGATCTTTAAATCATCTTGGGTCTATCTTAAGCTTATAGGTAACTCATACGTGATTATTCGCTTTGGTGTGGTAGCATAGAAGCAATATAACGAAAATTCTGTTGATTTTGGCGTCATATTACTCTCTATGTATAAAACGTCAATTTTGTCAAAGACTAGTCGATGATAAGCCTTGTGCGTCTGACACACGTTGCCAATTGTTTGGTATAGACATGCCGGTTACATGATGACCTACCTTCGTGATACGAGCAAGGGTTTATTACACATATAGAAAAAAACCACAAGTGCACAATTTGGGTTCGATTTTAAACTCACAGCAGTGCTGGCTGCACAAGATAAAATGTAACTTTTTAACGTTATCTTAATTCAATAATGTTTGAAGTCGAATAACACCCGATTGGTTAGCAAAGAAACACCTACCTATATATGAGTTATCATCTATACAAGTAGGTGATCTACCTGTGTCCATCAAGCCGGAACAATTATTATTTATTTGGACATAAAACCCAGGATATCGGGGATTTATTTTTGTTAACCACTAGGCCACGGAAGATTAAGTAACGTTGGTTTAACGTTATTATATTAACGAACAAATAAATATTAGCGATCAGACTAGTAATTTAGAACTACCTAATTTTGTTCTTAAACGAAAATTATTATATTAAATGTGAAATTGTTAAGAAATAAGTAAAATCTATCTGAGAATAACGAACAGTAAAATATATATGATATCAAACATTAATTTACGTTGTAATTACCTTGTTTCTGACAAGGATATTATTCGAATATATTTATAGGTATATGATGCCCCGAATTCTGTGCTACTTACTTGAAGTTCAATTCCCCAATTTCAGGCTTTGACGAATTGAGACCAAGAGATTTGGCTTGATAATCGTAACAATGAAATCTCAAAGAAACTTTTCAGCGGATTACTTAGCTCCTGAGTGTCATAACATAAAATACCATACGTAATTGCTACGAGACGATGTTTTTTTTTATACATTCATAGCAAAACAGTGACCTCGATCCCATTCATGAGATTTTGGTCCGTGCGATCCCAAAGTTTCGATATCAGAGCTACAGATATTGAAATAACTTGAACTACATTGCTACATTGCATACAAAAGCGGCGGAATATTTATCGCTATCCCTATTCGAAGTTACATGTAAGGGCGCAGTTTGCAGTCGTTCCAACAGTATTTTAAATCTAGATTTTTGAATACAATCTTTTTATAATAATCGTACTTACCAAACTAATTTACCAGCGTGTGATAGTTATTTCAATTGAAAAGATTTTAACTTATAATTGTTAAACAATAAAGCTTTTTATAAATTTGACAAATATTTAAATGATTGGGATTGATTTGCTCCAGTTCAAACAATTTGTATGACTTAGAGATTAAAAAGAGTGGCTGAACGTTTCTTGCCAGATCTTCTTGCTTGCTCTACTCCTTGCAAACTGGTAGTAAATGTAAATTTACAACTAATTTAACTTCTATTTTGACGTTCATAAGTGAACTTGTTAACCTATATGACTAAAGGTTTTTTGGAGTTTGAGTTTGAATACCATATTCACATATCCAATCATATTTTGTCATTAAAAAGATGAACGCTTTTAAAAATCTATATAAGGGTTGAAGGAAAGAAGTATTACGAGATCCTAGTGAGACATAAAGCTGGGTATCGATTACGCGCTCCTGGCGCGCGCGCCATGAATGACCGCACCGAGAGTGCGTTCCGTGAAACGCGTTCCAAATACATATTTGAAGTATATCGACTAGGCGCGCCTGGCGCGCGTGGCAACTGTTCCAGTGTTCGACCCTTCATCATGGAAGCCAGTCGTAAAACTATTTCAAAACCAAAATCAGCTAAATCTTTAAAACCGTCATTTTGAGTTAATTAACAGTTGTACTTTAAAAAAATCTGTATAATAATTACCAGAGCCAGTGATTTGGCTTTTAGATATTCTCCATTTTTCTCTTCTGTACGATGATAGGAGCACAGTCATTTTTTTCTTTAATTCCGGCATAGGGACTCCCATTTCACTACTGATTTCTCTCCAAGGATCTTCTCTAAGCGATTTATTATGATACGAAGAACTTTTGCTATTCCACAGTAGTTCTTTTCGACCATACAGTTGTATTAATTTACAGCAACTTTGGATATCCATAATTGGGAGCGCAACAAACACAAAAAATACGATATGTCCGTCCCAACTGGCGGAAAGGAACGGCAACGGACTTTTGGTTTAAAAATAATTTATTTAAATCAACAGAGTGACAGCACTTAATTAAGAACTAAACAATAATCAACTTAATATCTATTTCTTCGTGCATTTATACATTCAGATTTACTTACTAAGTATTAGTTGTTGCTGACGCACGACCTACATTTGGTTTAGTGCTAGCAAAGCATATATCAATAGGGTTGGTACTCTTAACTCCTCCCTCCCTAAGAGAGAAATTATCCGAAGGGGCTAAAGGTGACTTCAGAGAATTTCTTTTATTGCAAATAGAATACAATTTAAACTTTAATATTATAACAATTACTATTATTACTACTATAAAATAAAGAACTAATGTCCATACACTTATGTTATGTGTCACCACACTTTCCACCACTATTTCACTATTGCTATTTCTCACATTATTTAACATTTCTTTTACGTCACTGAAGTCCACGTTTGTCAAATCTAACTTTTTATCTGCCGTTGCTAAATCTTCCTGAAGTTCGGGAATCACCACCAGTGGCATCTGTATATTCCCATCCGATACATTGCTTGATTGACCGAAGATCGTTCTGCCAATTTGCATGTTGCACCCTTGACTTGGCGTCACGATGTAAGTCCCCAGTAAACTGAATCGACGGACGTCGTTTCTGCAGTGTTCCGACAAAATTATTTTATCTGCTGTGAATATCAACCAGCTATTGTTCATTATCTTCTGGATTTTTAGCTTCTCAATTGGTATTTGATGTTGATGACATAGGCTGTAATTATTCTTTATTAACATTAATTCCTCGATACATGTTTCCTCATTGTCTGTTGCCATATTTTCTTCTGAACATAAGTATTTGTTGTCTTCTATGCTCTCGCAAGGGCTCAACACATTTCTGTATTTCAAACCATTCACCAAAAGGTAAGGATATTCAGGAATAATTGTATAAGTTTTAGAGGATTTTGTTATAGGAATAGGAGTAACCTTGTAATAGTTATAGGTTTCTGATTCTATCAAAGGAATTTCTAATACAAATACTAATTTATTCTTATCAATATAGGACTTTAATATAATATTACGTTCTAATTTAAGTAAGTTGTTTTTTGTTACTGGATAAATTGTTTGTGCATGTTTTTCTATCACTTTAAAAACACCTAATAACTCTGTAGAATTAATAATAGATTGGTGTAAGGTGTGCAATTTACTAAATGCAATAGCAGTTTCAATTTCTTGTATGCTCTCATAAATATAACGAAAGTTATTTAGAATCTGGTATAAACTATTCATAGTGCGAATGACATTACTAATTTTAATTTCTTTTTCGACAACTTTATCAAACTCATTTGTTTTAAAATGTAAATTTTCTATATTATGATTCATTATCTCGGATATATTGGCTAAAGTAGCAAATGCTTTGTGCATAGAAGATACTTTAATTTCCGTCAAGTGTTCTCTATTACTTATCTTACTAATTTCCTCATTAAATTTAACAGCATCTTCCTCATCTAAATTTCCAGTTATGACTTTTACTAAAGAACCCAAAGGACTAAAAATAGCACGTTTTCTCATACTATATGGAAGTAACTGGTGAAACTTATTTTCTACTATTTTAATTAATGTATCTATTTGAACTCTTATTACAACTAATTCCTTATCTAAGTGATTAACCATTATTAATTAATTTAATTTATTATATAGTTCTATATTATTGCTTATTTGTATACCTAAAGTTTTAATGTCTACTGTTTTAAAAACTGTCCAATAACTATTCTTCATTACTGCTACTCCAAATTTCATTGGGATGATTCCTGGATTCTGGTCCATCTTTAGAAGTTCCAGGCTGTGGACTTGGCTCTCTAGTATCAGGAGTACCAGCCACGATCTGGGGAGGACGTTTTATATTTTTAGCAGCTACTCTGGTTTTTCTTTTATTCAACTCTACCGGTACAATGTTATGATTCGATTTTTCCACTACTTTTGCTTTCTCATAACGCGGCATTTCTTTAGCTTTTCTTGTTCTAGTAGTTTTCATGAAAATAATATCACCTTTAATATTAGATATTTCTTCACCACCTCTCTTGTTCCTAACTTTAATCTTATCCTCTTTTAATTTGTCCGCGACATATTCGTAAAGAACTTTGAGACGTTTCCTATGGTCTTGTAATAACTTTTGCATTAGATTGTGTTCTCTATTAATATCGAACACATTCACACTATCAGTGTTTCCAAAAACAATCTCGAAAGGAGTGAATTCAGTTGCTGAATGAATGCTATTGTTGTATGCCATGATTGCATATGTCATTACAGAACAAGCGTCAAGTTCACTTTTATCATATTTAGCCAAACGGTATATTTCAATAATAGTTTAATGAAACCTTTCCACAATGGCCATCGAACTAGGATTATTCGGAGTTCCAATGTGGAATTCTATTTTGTACAACTTTAAAAGTTCCTTTATTAATTCATTATTAAATTCCGCACCAGAGTCACTATTCATTTTTTTTGGTAATCCATACATGCTAAAGCATTTTATGAGAGCTCTAACTACTTCAGGAGTACTCCGATTTGGAATACTAATAGCTTGTCCTAATTTACTAAAAGCATCGACAATAGTTAGATAATAGTTCTTTTCAATAAACAGAAGATCCATGAAAACTTCTTGAAACGGAGAATACTGATTTTGCGTTAACTGAATACAAGGATTTAATGGTTTTCGATCATACTTCATTTTTCTACACTGTTCACAAGCATTGATTACAGCGGTCACGGTTTCTTTCATATTTGTCCACCAATAATCTCTTTTAAGCTTAGTTAATGTTTCGTTTATACCCCTATGACAAGTTTTCCCCTCATGGTATTTTATAATGACGTCTCTCTGGTCAACTTCTGAGTCGGTCAGGTTAACGATTCTTTCTGTACACTCTACTAAGTTACAAGTTCCCTTTTTATATAATTCTATAACTACCTTTGAAAATATTCTCCTAAATTCAGGATTTTCAAAATATATATAATAATTATATTTAAAATCTACATATTCCTTAAAGAAATCCTTCACTAGACTTTCTTTATTCAGCGGCATATGTACTTCTAATATGCGTTGTTTCCTATTTGAGATATCTTTAACTGAAATTTTGTCAATGAACCAAGTGAACACTAATATCTGTCGTGGTTTACAGTCTATAGCTTCGTTTAACATAGGTATTCCCTCATGTTCCCTATTTGACACTGAATTAGCGGTAGCACCGTCGTCTGAAATTTCTACCAGTTCTATCGGTTCCTCACATTCTGTGTCAGAGATATCCATTCGATTTTCATTTTCTAAATCAGACAATGACATTTCGGGCTGAGGCCTAGAGTTTTTGTTCCTAATTGTCACAAACTCGTCATTAAGTTCTTGTATTACCTGTTGAAGTCTTTCGTCATTATCGTCAATATTAGCCAAAGTCGAGTCGAGGTCATCGTCAAGAGCATTAATTCTTATTCTAGATAAAGCGTCCGCATTTGTATTTTGTTGTCCTTTTTTATATTTGATCTCAAAATCATATTCTTCTAACCTCAGATGCCAACGCGTTAACTTACTATTGGGTTCTTTAAGAGAATATAACCAATGCAATGGCCTATGATCAGTAAATATTGTAAACTTTCTACCATAAAGATACGGTCTAAAATGTTTCACTGCCCAAATTACACCTAAAAGTTCTTTTTCTATGGTGCTATACCTAGTTTCTGTGTCACTTAAAGTCCTACTCGCATAAGCTACTGGTTTATCATTGCCAATAGTACCCTGTGATAGAACGGCTCCTATAGCAAAGTTAGATGCATCAGTCGTTAATGTGAACGGTTTTTCAAAATCTGGGAATTGTAATAAAGGGGCATTTGTTAAAAGCTTTTTGCAAGTTTCAAAACTTTGTTTGTACTCATCATTAATTATTATTTTATTTCCTTTTTTTAAACAAACTGTTAAAGGTCTCGTTATTTTAGCGAAATCCTTGATAAACTTACGATAATAACCAACTAATCCCAAAAAGCTTTTAATTTCTGTAACTGTTTTAGGTATGGGTATTTCAAAACTGCGTCTATCTTGTCAGTATTAGGCTTAAGTCCCTCACTTGTGATAGTGTGACCCAAATACAATACTTCTTTTCGTAGAAAATGAGATTTATCTAATTGAACTTTAAGATTTGTTTTTCTGAACCTATCGAAAACTGCTCTAAGTTTATCAACGTGTTCTGGTAAGCTTTTTGAAAAGATGATGACGTCATCTAAGTACACTAAACAATGCATGCCCTGTAGACCTCTAAGAACATTATCCATGGCTCTTTGAAATGTCGCTGGGGCGGTCTTTAAACCAAATGGCATTCTATTAAATTCATAATGCCCAAAAGGGGTACTGAAAGCTGTTTCCGATCTATCTTCTTCCCTAACTTCAAGTTGATGGTACCCTGATGCTAAATCAAGCGTCGTAAAATATACACTTTTACCTAACATGTCAAATAAATCGTTAATATTAGGCAAAGGATATTTGTCATCAGTAGTTATGTCATTAAGTCGTCTGTAATCTATCACCATTCTCCACTTTTTCTCTCCAGATGCATCTAATTTCTTTGGTACTAGATGTACTGGTGCACTCCAAGGAGAGTGTGACTCTTGGATTATCTTGTCTTTTAACATTTTTTCTATTTGTTGTCTTATTTCCGTAGTCTGAATTGGAGGTAACCGATGAGCTTTAATATTAATTGGATCTTCATTTTTAGTGCGAATCTCATGTTTTACCTCATTAGTAAAAGTTAACGGTAAATGTTCACAATAAAAAATGTCCTTGTAATCCCTACAGATTTTCACAATCATATTTATTTCTTCTTCATTCATATGCTCCAATCTTAACTTTTTTAAATTATCATCCAATAATTTGTCAACCTCACGATGATTTACAAAATTTAAATTTGTTTCGCGATCTGTATCTAAATATGACACATCAAACGGTTCTACTCTAAACGGTGCCGTCACAACTAATTTTTGTTCAGCCTCAGTAACATTTTGTATAATGGTTGATGCAAACCATTTTTACAGTTTACTAAAGCTGTAGGCATCCTAATCCCTTTTTGGAATTCGATAAAGTTCAAAATTGCATCCCCGTTTGTCAAATTGACTGGTAATGAAACTCTGTACTCACAACGAGGCGGCAAAATATACGTTTCCTTCATAGGAGGTGAATAATTTATTGGTATTCGCGTATTTTTTGTAAACAAGACCAAGTTTTCCATGTCAATTGAAGCACCTAAAGTTCGCAATAATTCGCTACCTATTAAACCGTCATATCTACTATCCACGCTGTATACATAAAATTTATGTTTTATCTGACTTTTAAAAATTTTAGGTAAATTAATATAAACAATTTCACTATGAATACTTGATGCGTGAGTACTAATCACTTCAAATGGTTCAATGTGTTTGTCGTTTTGAAAAAAAAATGTTAGCTAGGTCTGGGCTAATAAAAGACCTAGTACTCCCCGTATCTATCATAAAAACAGCATTTAATTCTGGAATAATTATATGAGGTAAATTTAATTTTGTACAATTTATTTTTATTTTTTCGATATTGTTGAGGCTATCATAAAAAAAATTCCTATTTGTTCATGGTTCGAACTAGTCGGGTTCGATTCACAGTTATAAGAACAAGATGGTTGAATATTATTATCAATATCAGTGTAATTAACACGTCTTGAACTGGCTGTTCTCATCGTAATATCTGTATTAGAGGTCGATGGCATAGGCGATTCTTGGTATTGTAATCCATTGTTCGTAAAATGCCGACGCTGCTGTGACGACGACTGTTTTACTGGTGACCTAAATACCGTGTTATAATTGTTGCGATTATTTAATGTTTTATCATTTCTAAATTGGAAAGAATTATTATTTAAATTATTTGAACTATTTGAATTATTTTGATAATTAGATGCATTCGAGTTCCTTTGGACGTTATGGGTTGGAGAATTAAAATTATTAACTTGTCTCGGATGAGAATTCCTATTTTGAAATGAATTAAAATTATTATAATTAGGTCTAAAATTTTGATTGGACCTTGGGTTCTTACTATCATAAACCGTTTGAAAATTTTGTTCTTCCAACACGGTTTTTAAAGCATCTTCCAGCGTGGTAACATTACGTAATCTCACTAATCTTACAAGGTACGCTGGTAAATTAAATAAGAAAACGTTTAATGCCGAATTATTATATATCGCTTGTTTGGCCTGTCTTATTTCGGGGTTGTTAATGGTTTCATTTATTTTGGAGAATAAAATACTCCTTAAATGTTGGACACGATGACAGAAATCTAAATGACTTTCGTTCTTATCCTTTTTTAGGGAATCTAATTCCATAGCCAGACAATCTTCTGACCTTGGATCGCCAAAGTGTTGGCTTAATAATAACTTAAGGTTATCCCAAGTATCTATTTGTTCCCGTTCACCAACTAGACTTGCGGCTTCCCCGGATAATCGACTAGTAATTACGTGAAACAGATATTCATTTTGTAAATTGCCACCTTGAAATGTCTGTAAAATATATTAGCATTTCTTAATGAATAATGGTAATAATCTAGAATCACCATCAAAAACAGGAATAATTTTTACCATTTCTACAGGTACTCTTACAATATCTTCCATTTTGAATATAAAAAAAAATTTACCTATAAAATAATTGTATAAACCTAACTTCTATTAACAATATTTTGATTGTTTAATAAAAATATTTTTCCGGCGTTTTCCAATCCGAAATAAACGTATAATTAATACAAGAGGAAAACAAGGAAAGTCACGGGAAGTGAAAAGTTTTACTCACAGTCCTGTTATCTTGACCATGCTCCTCCGGGATACTGCTAGTTCTTGGCTGCTCTTCCACCGATGCCGTGCTGTCCTTAACTTATTTATTTGTTCGGCGATCTCCGTTAAAACGTTAAAACGTACGTTACCCGGTTGGTACTAGATCACGAAAAAAAAACGCGGTATAACTTCTTCCAGGCAACTATGGAGATCCTACCGGCTGCGCCTGTAAAGGAACGGCAACGGACTTTAGGTTTAAAAATAATTGATTTAAATCAACAGAGTGACAGCACTTAATTAAGAACTAAACAATAATCAACTTAATATATATTTCTTCGTGCATTTATACATTCAGATTTACTTACTAAGTATTAGTTGTTGCTGACGCACGACCTACATTTGGTTTAGTGCTAGCAAAGCATATATCAATAGGGTTGGTACTCTTAACTCGCGCGCCACGATTGATGCGTGGTAAAAACCGACACCCGTCGGAACGGACCGCTCCGCGTTCGGGCGCTCCAACGAACACATTGGCGCGCGTTCCAAAGTGGTGGTGGAACATCGACCTCATGGAGCGCGTAAGCGATACCCAGCTTAAGAATCACAACCCTGAGTTTGTATGCTCCGACTATTATGTGTGCAATTAATACATCGTCAAGACTTACAAAAAACTTAAGCAAGGCTTGTAGCCCCTGGTTGTTTTGCTGGTTTTTAAAAGTGTTTTTGTACACTCATAAAGATTTAATTTAGCACACTGAAAAACAGGAAAATCTTTAAGTGATTGAGATGTCTGTAGAAATATTTTGTTGTAAAAATTTATCTTTGATAACAATTTTTAATAAAGATATTACTTGTTTCAGTTACGGAAAAAGAGATACGGCTTTGGTAAGTTATTTAATGTTTAATTTAATTCTTTATGAGGCATTTTATTTATTATGTGCTATAAACAGTGATTAATTAACTATTTTTAATGAAAAGCAAGCTCATAAACAGTTTGATTATATCATTTATAATTAATGTTTTATACTAAAAGAATTAATAGCTAGTAAATTCTTTTCACTCAGTCCAGGGAAAAAAAAATCGAAACTTATTTGAAATTTAACAAATATATACTAAAGTAACGCGAAACTTTGGGCTCACAGCACACAGCTTGTATTAAACTGAGAACATTGTAAAACAGATTAATTGGTCATCAATAAGTGATATACAAATCATGTATATATAGGCTGTCCTACCTCAGGATATAGTTTCTAATTAAAAAATTTTGGCTGGAATGGATAATAAGTTCACACAGGTGTTAAATACATGTGATGGCAATAATCTAAGTTTAGAGTTACTCTATTTTTTATTATAATGATTGACTTTGCTTTGATAAACATGTTTTTTTTTAATTTTTTACATAATTCCACGCGATGAGTACAGCAACCGAGGAAATCAATGTAACCAATTCGCGATTAAAGAAGAGAAGCCTTTTAAAGAAGTTTTTCATATAACGTTACGATTTTTTACTTTTACAGGCACAAAGGATTTCTAAAGGACTGTCCTAACGGCTTACTAACAGAACAGGTGCGTTTCACATCTTTTTTTATATCAATCCATTCTACGGTAATGTCAATATTTATATAACATTGAAAACAATATTTTGTTGTAAGCTATTCACAAATATTATGTAGTCATGCTTACGTTTACTAAAACTCAACACATTTATTTATTTGATATTATGATGTGTGCATCAAATCAAATACGAGTATTTAAAAGAAACAAAATTATTAAGATCAATTTCTGTCACTTGCTCTTTCACTTTTCATACAAAAAATCCTAGCCTAAATCATACCAATTGTTTCAGGGATTCATAAAAATCTACAAGCAGTTCTTCCCTCAAGGTGACCCGAGCAAATTCGCCTCACTTGTATTTCGAGTCTTCGACGAAAACAACGTAAGTTTGCAAATAAACCTAATCGAGAATGAGACTACTTTCACTAATATATCATGATGATATACCAATTCACGTTTAAGATTTATTACTACATATATGTCACTTTGTACAATGCGCTTATAAAGCATATAAAATTCTCATAAAATTTTAACTTACCTTACTACGTATTTATTTATTGATTTATTGCATTTTAGGAAGATTTACAGTATTTTAAGAGAAGGTAAATTATGATTACAATAAAATAAAATCAGTACTAATTACAAATCTCTACCTATAGATAATCCATAATATACCTTAGGGAGATTGGAAGAATAGTATATGCAGTATTAGTTCACTAGAGTATTGAGATTTTGTATAATTCATAAACTCAAAGCTAGTAAAATATAGATTACAAGTTATACCGATTGCCATTAATTGCCACGAACTTGGTTACACTGCAGTGGTGAATATTCATAAGGCCTCGTTAGTGGACGAATTGGATACAAGTGATAGCCGAAATACTTTTTAAATTTAAAACTGTCTATGTAAATTTGTACTAATTATACTATGTATCTCCAAAAACCCAGGCCGACACGGTTAAAACAATCTTATATAACCAATAGGGTGATCTCTTTATTTAATAACACACCGATCGATTTGCAGGTGTGGAGCTTAATTTATCGTGCTTGTTGGTATTCTATATTTACTAATATTACTCAGCTAGGGGTCAGGGGTTTCTATTTGAAATCGTACAGTATGCAGATGTGTTAGAGAGGTATGGGCTGCAAGTACCGATTAACCACACTAGGAAACGGCAACTATTGCAGCCTGCAGGCTATGCCGCACTTAAGTGCGCGGCTGCGGCATGGTTGTGCATATCTGAAGAGTCCTCAGAGATGCACAACTACGCGTGCATTTCGCACACTTAATTATGTTGCCAAAGACCAATGTTTGCTATGATCTGAACTCGTAACTCTTAAATCTGACGTTGATCAGATTTAAGAGTGTCTTTAGTTGCGCTGTACTTAGATAATCTATATACGTTAAGGGCTCATATATGTGATAAAGAAAAAAAATACTGTTTAAAATACATTATACAACAGAGTTGTTATGTTTTACTGCGACATTTAGAGAAAGCCTTTTTCTATGAGCTAGAAAGAAAAATTCTATCATCTAAAGCGCAAAAACATTTCAAAAGTTAATTTCGTGAATAATCGGTTATTACCATCATTACGCCTTCGTTATATGCCTTTTAACACAACGGGAAATGTATCAAATTTAATAACAATGTTAAGTCAACCGTATTAGGAACGTTGAGCCTCTGCAATATAACGTTATTGAGTTCTTAAAAATTTTGTAACAAAAAATTTTAGGGATAAAATTACCCAAAGGTTGTTTGTTCTAATGTCTTCGAACTTACATTTCATTCCTAAGGACGGTAGCTTTTATACCAATCGAACTCGAACTATGCTCGACTCAAACTCACTTCCTTACTCGAACACAGAACACACACACAACCACCCTGTACTTATCGAGCTTGCAATTTTATTTTATATTCAAGACTTCCTTACTACAGTACCAGATTTTCCAAGATATTATTTATTTTTGGGTACTAGTTGCCAATTGGGGAAAATTACCTACAAAATATAAGCGGACCTTATACATCCTGGTAATCGCAGGAATTGTATTGGGTTATTTATATACCGTTAAACACTCAATTTACTACTTCTAGCGCTCAAGTGACACGGCCTTCTTATTTCGAAAAACCTATTCTGCATTTTCTGGATCGTTGCTTATTGTTATAAAAGCAAAAAACGTGGAACCCTGGCCGACCTTAATCCACCATAGGAAATATAACAAGAGCTTGTTCAAACTTGCTCTAAAATATGCCGCATCTCACTTAACGTCAAGTTGGATTGCGGGCAAACGTTGGTCTTTTTTATTTTAAAAGGTCATAGTATACTACGTATAGGCACAGGCCAGAGGCCTCTCTTGTTAATTTTTGTTAGCTTAAGGGTCTTTCAAGAACTGATTCTTTTCAGAAGATCGTTCTTACCTTACCTTAGAAGCGTACCTACTCTTTTGATACACTTCTACTGAGTATTGTTATACAGACGTGATATCATTAAACGCTTTCTATGTAGCACGAAAATGATAAGGACAATTCAATAGTAATTTGAGACTACTTAATAAATGTATCTTGAAGTTGGTATTCCTGAATTTATAAATAATAATAAAGTGTATATACCTAACGCAAAAAATATAATTAAATTATAAAACAAAGCTTGACTGTATGGAATAGAAAATTAATCTTTCATACTTTTGCAGGATGGGTCAATAGAGTTTGAAGAATTCATACGAGCCCTATCTGTCACATCGAGGGGAAATTTGGACGAAAAGTTGCATTGTAAGTATTTCAAGAACTTTATATAAAATGTAAAAACAGTAGCGTAAATTACTGCCTTGGGTGTAATAAATACATTACGTATTAAAAAAATATATATATTGGTTAAATTTACGCAACATACAAAAAACACATCATTTTAAATAATCCAAAGCTGCTGTCACCGTCAGTATTGCTGCATTTATAGAAGCAGAAAAAACAATATTAAAACTACCTCTCGATTGCAGGTTTCGCGTTCTTATAACTTTGACAACCGGTCATTCTTCAATTTCAAAGAGTGGTTGCTTTTTATTTAATACAACATTTTAAAGTATTCAGGACAATAAGGTTTACGCTTCCTTCTCGTGTATAATAAATAAATATGTGAAATTGTTTCAATATGTGAAGGCAAAAAAACCAAAAAAATATTCTTAAGTCTTAACATCTTTAACATTTTAGGGCTTTTCGACTCTATGACGTGGACAACGACGGATATATAACACGAGACGAGATGTATAACATAGTGGATGCTATATATCAGATGGTTGTAAGTATAATTTTTCTAGACAAAATTGCACATGCACAGGTTTTTGTAAGGTTAGTTAGCCGAAGTACTTATTCAAACACGCACACGAAACATCACAACGTTTCCGCGGGTTTTAGGGGTGCTAATAGCATTTATCCAAGGATATTTCGACTATTCAATAGTGCTTTTATGAAATCAAATGTAATATATGACAAATGATTTATCATACAAGTGATAAAACATTTCTGTCTCTTTCTAATAATGTTCAAGAACGCATGTGAGAAAAAGAAAGAAGAACTCAACCAGGAGACATTTTCTGCAAGCATCTTTTGAGTGAGAACTGGCGTAACACATATCGGAACACCGTATAAGTAAAAAAAAATGTTCATATATTAGGCGGCATTTATCCATTAAAACTATCCTCATATAATATTCGGCAAATAAACAATAAATTCATAACGATTTATTAATATTTCAGGGTCAAACACCCCAACCGGAGGACGAAAACACCCCACAAAAGCGCGTCGACAAGATCTTCGACCAAATGGACAAGAATCACGACGATAGGCTAACACTGGAGGAGTTTCGTGAGGGCAGTAAGGCCGACCCTCGCATTGTACAAGCTCTCTCCCTTGGGGGAGATTAATCGACAGTCATTCTCTCGCCGGATTTCTCCTTTAATTAAATACTAACGCCATGTGTTGCATTCTACTTTGGATTACAAAATGATAATGTTCATTACTATGGGCTGCTTCGTATTTTAAACAAAATATTTCAAATAAAAAACAGTAGGTTTTGATAATATTTAATATTGCATAAACAGTTTATAAAATCTTGTTTCAATACTTAAGTTTTGGATTTACTTTCTTTTGATTTGTTATCGGTGTACTTATGAATTTAGAAATTTACAAAATAGAGTACCATGATTGTTCTGTAATCTTGTATATTAAACTACCATACTTCAAAGGAAAATTTTTACGACATGGTCGTGTAAAATTAATCAAATAAGGTAAAACATCTGATTCATAATTTTTAAACACGCAAATGTTACCGTGTAACATAATTGTATATTTAGGAATATATTTGGTCATTAAAAAATCTAATGATTTTGTATCCGTTGAATTTGTAGTATTTAAAACTGACCCAGGCACAAGGTTTAAATTCAGGATTAGCGTGTCAGATCCATGACGAGTTAGGGTCACTTTGGAAAGTCAAAATTTCTCTCTAACTTAGACGTTGCTCCGAAAACTCTCCTTCTTCTTATTCTGATGGTTACAGTAATATGAAATAAAGTTCATAATAATTAATATGTGGATTAAGACAGCAATTAATCACTGATAACGGTCATCAAAGCCTCTTGAAAGATTATTATAAATGAACAAAAGAACCTCTCTATGGATCAGTTTATCAGAACAATAGAGTTAATCGAAAATCAATGACTCGTGGAGAACAGAAAGCATAGAAACGTTTCCGTTTATTTTGACTATTTTATTTGTAGGAAATATATGCTTTTATATCATTTAAATATAACTATTGCTTAAATACGACAAAATCTACTATGGTGTTATTAGAACCTAAAATAAGAGTGCCTACTGCGCCAGCAATATTTTGTCATCGTTTTACGTCATTAATATTAAAAAAAGTTTATCTTCTTTGGACATTCATAAGCAGAGCAAGTCTGATAGCATCCCCTCCAACTATTCTATTGTGCAGAGGCAATTGAGACAGGGAGGAGGAGCTTGCGCTTTGTTTGGATATAGCGAAAACCTTTGATCGGGTGTAGCATAAAGCGATTCTCTCGTAGCTTCCAGCCTCTGGCCTCCCCAAGAAATGATGCAACTCTTGCTTTCTGGCAGATCGGAGAATCAATGTCGTCATTGACGGAGCACTTTCCGACTTCAAAGGCCATGAAGGTACTTCTCGGGCAGTTGATTGCGAATTTTCAAAAATACCCTTTGTCGCTATACCTCTCTTCGAAAACACTCTTTAAAGCCACAACCAGCATCGGAATACTGGGTGTTGATATTCGAACGGCGTTTAGTTTTTCCGTCAATTGGTAGGAAATGTAAAAGTCTCCAAGAACTTGGTGTGATCGGCAAGGTGAGACGGTACTTTACTCCGTTTTTACCGCGCATCACCACTATGTGGAACCAGCTACCACTCAATTATTTCCAAACCAATTCGACTTAGGGTCCTTCAAGATAAGAGCGTACCAATTCTAAAATCCCGGCACCACACTCGCGAGCCTACAGGCATTGTGAGTGTCTATCGGCAGTGGTATCACTTAATATCAGGTAGGCTTCCTGCCCGTATGGGTTATTACAGAATTAGATAGATAGTATCAGTGGGAGTCAGTGGTAATATTAAATTATATTATTTTGTACTTAAATACCTGGTGCCATTTATGTCAACTACAAAGTAATATTTCAAATTTTGTGGCAAAGCAAATCCGAGCGAGAGATAACAGATAACAATTCTTAAATCTTATATAACCATATTTATTCACTGTTTGTGACAAATCTTTTAAGTACAAAACATTCCATATAGTCTGTAAGCATTCATTGCACTTTTAATAATCATATGCCCAACTGCGCAAAAGGTAAATTCCAACCGCTTTGCACAATGCAACTATTTATTGATTCATAAATAGAAACGTTAAGAATAAATTCACTCATACAAATCATAATTATAGAACTATATAGATTTATGTCAAACACACATTTCGCTGTTTACTGGAAATTATTTCAAAATAAAATCTATGGTGTATAGTCCTTATACATATAAACATTTGTAAACGAAATGGAACCCTGTTGCTCAGTTGTTGTCCTATGTATCGTCAAATAAAAAAACCGTTGGAAGCATGGATTGGTTTGCTGCTAGATGAAACCTCTGCTTACATCATTGGGGCTTATGGTAGAAATAAGAAGGCAGAAATCGATTGTATAGTTCATGTGTACAAAGAATATTTTATTAAAAACTTGGCTTCATGTTTCACTGTTTAAAATCTTTTAATGAAATCATTAATCATTATGTAAACAACTTAACGTTCTCTTTTCCAGTTTGACACTTCAGAGTCATCAGATAGCATTTAATTCAAATATTGCTGTTGTTAAAAGTTGTTAGGTTTTTAAGTGTTATGCTCCAGACAGACAATTATTGTTGTATTTCGTATTTGTGACAATACAAACTGTTTTGGCATTTTGCGTACGCTGGGTTTTTACAACCCGATATACTTTAGAAACATTATACCCAACTTCAAAAATTATAAAAAAATCAAAGATAAATTTTACATAAAACAGTTAATGTAAGGCGTATTGTCGTTAAATTTTTGGATAAAATTAAAATGGATAAGAAAAATTTGAAATGTGTAATGGCGAGTACGGTTGTGGATGGTAGCATTAAGGAAGATTTGAATTAAATGAATTTTAAGAGTAAAATAAAGATAAGTATTGACGTACATTTATTTAACTGCATTTATATTTATTTAATACGTGCAAACATTCTACCGCCTGTGGTGCTTAGTGCACTTTTTAAATTTAGTTTTGAGAGTCGCGCAAGTTTTTTTCGCTAATAAATCTATACCTATGTAATAGTGATCCCGACTTCAATGTTAAGTTTTTGTACCGCGCGATCCCAAGGTTTCCATGTCGGATTTAAAGAATATCAAAATTTTATACATTAACGTCGGGACCGTTGCTGCTACTAAATTAAGAAAATTAACTGAAATTTAATAATTATTTAACAAAGAGTGAAGAAACAAATGCTAGTCAATTTGTAGGTAAATTTAAGGCTTCGAGCATTATAAGTCATAACAAAGTAGACTTTTTAGAGTAGGGTAACCGTTGCGGGCTGTGCTTTGTATTAAGTGAACTTTTGCATTTGAATTGTATTTGGCACGTCTTGAACAGACGACACAGAATCAACGCTTCAAATTCCGCTTATTTTTAAAACCTTTTGACAAGAAATACACCACAAATGTTTATACTTATAATTTCTTAGAAATTTTAATACAACTTTCAAGTGTCGTGCGTCTATGTAGTAAATATAGTTGTTAGGTGTCTGTTGTAAAATGTGAATAGGCACATACAGCCATTAAAATTCAACATTAACCATACTTTGATCACTACTTGCTGAATACTCTAGGTACAAGATAAAATACATAATTTCTAATTCGTATTTGTATAAGCTACCTTTTAGAAGTGGTCAGAGACACTACGTTGCTATAATTGTTAAACATCTTCATAATTTATCGATTATCAGCAGCGAACTGAAAAAAAATCAATCTTGATAAAACGTTATTTTGAAAATCCATCACATCTCTTTGCAAATATTCTATTAAATTCCCAGTAGTTTAATTTTAATAATATACCTAATAAAAGGTATTTTCAAGTATTTATGTACTTACCCGTGATTAAATGTATTTTTGGCAGCTGATTTAAACTCATAATTGTATTAAGTAATTAAAAAAGGGATTCATTAGTAGCATGAGCCAGACGTAATATTACTAACATCTGCGACAAATATAATTTGTATGAATAATCTAACGCTACTCGCTAAGTGTAAGCGACTCTAAATCTTACTATACGAGTGCTTTATTTTTCATACAAGTATTTTACGCAGACTAACCCTCAGATTCAGTCGAAACTTAGATTAGATTAGACACACAGTCAAAATTAGGGTTAACTCTCGACACTGAATATAATATATAGTGTAGATGTTGTTTGATGCTCTGTGTTGTTGGATTTCGTTTTCTTTTTAAATCGGAATTCGGAATCTGTCACAATCACATTTGTATTTTGTAAGAATCAATATTAACTTCAGTTCGCTGCATTCTAATTTTTGAAATTAGTAATTCTGTGTAAATAGTAATTGCCTACTTTACTTACTACTAATATTCACTTTTATTATAAATTATTAATAAAGATGTTGATATGGTAACGTTGTTTTATTTCAACAAATATGTAGTTTTTCATGTCATCTCATTGAAAAACAATTAGAGCATTTCAGTTTTATGCTACCACTATGCAGAAGTTGTAGTTAAAAGAAAATAAGTTGGCAAATTTGTATGCTTAGATTTGCCGATAGACATACTAGAATTGTAACAAAACATTTTTTATAAGAAGCTTGAGTAGCGCTCGGTGGGCGGAATTTTCATTTAGACTTGTGACTTTAATCGACTTAAACCCGAAGGAGGAGGTTATCAATTTGATGTATAATTTTGTTTGTGTATGTTGAAGCACAGCTAGCAAGCATAGCACCGTCCACGGATCTGGATGATCGAGGACTGAGGAGTCAAATAATTTGGATTAAGGAAAAATTAGCCTAAGATGTTCATACTTACCAAATATAAACAATTAAATTATTGTTTTATACATTTAATTATCTTGGTAATATGAAACAAATCACTAAAGACAAGACATTTTATTATTCTATACTTATTAGAGCATTTTGGAGACAGTTCTTTCTTTTATGGAATTCATTATTTATTATATTTTTAGGGACTGCACTTTTCACAAACTCTATGACAGTTTCTTCATGTATTTTTAATAAATGGGCTATAATATAATTGTTGGCAGTACCAACACTGTACTCTATACATATATTTGGTAAAAGTAGCATACATGAATTCTATTTGATACTAAAAGTATGATCTTATTTTTAATTACAATTACGGCAAGAACTAAGAAGCATAAGTCAAGTTACCACACAAATTATATATTAATTTGTTTTGTGTAATGGTAAGTTATAATAACATTCATACAGCTTTGAGAAAAACAAATATTTTGGTAATAAAAAAATTGAGGTAGATATTCAATTTAATAAACATCTTATAAATGACATGCATTTTTGTTGTTTTGATTGTTCTAAGTAATTAACAATCATGCAAAGAAACAAACACAAGCTAATTTAACAAAAATTAAGTCCCTCAACCTTTCTGAATAAACATAAGTGTTTTTGAGCTCAGCATGGAAAAAGTGTGTCTCATTCATGAAAAGGACTGTCCATTCAACAATATGTTAGCACAACATGCAAGAGTTTGAAATAGAAATAGTGGTTATTAAATAATCACCAACTGAGGAGGAATCAACTGAGGAGAAATCGTAATTCTCGGTGACGTAATATGTGCACAAAATTACCATAATTTACGATTAATATCATGTAAGTAAAAACTATTTTATCATGACCTTGCATCATCTAGACATTTGACATATATTTACTTTTAAGAATTTACATACTAGCGACATTATTTTGTATATACATAATATATGTATTCATATTCCCTTTATTTATTGTATGAGTACCATCAAAGTAAATAGGTTAATATTTTGGGGAAATTTTAAAGTTTAAGCTGTAAAGTAAAAAAATTGATTTTTAAGCAACAAAAGAAAGAAAATTGTAAACAAGGAAGAAAACTAACAAGAAACGTTTTAAATATAAAACAAAGTGATCATTATTTAAAACAGTTTTTTAAAGATTTACACAATTATATAGGCATTTTTAGAATGTAAATAATCTATCTAGCATAGGCTTAGCTTATACAGCTTAAATATGTTAAACCAGTTGGTGAAGTTAGGCCAAACATTAGTTTAGGTGTCTATAATATAGTAAAGAAACTGGTAGGTGAGTACTCATTAAAAAAAGGTGTAACACTATAAAAGACAAAACATATTACATTTACAACTCACATAATAAACAATACACACACACACAATATACAATGAGAAAACATTTGAAACATTAAATATTGAATTCTATAAAGGATGACACTAGCAGCACAATAAATTAAAATAGGCACAAAAAACATCACTTAAGCCGGGCACTGTCGAAGATACTCTGAGTCAAAGTAAATAACTGTAACAGTCATATCATCTCGGAACATTCTACTGACGTCTGGTGACAAGCTGAGTAAATGAGCCAGTCTTGAGTGATCAACACCGTATTCAGTACCACCTATTGCGTGCCTTATTAAATGGGTTGCTGCGTTCCTATCTTTTGGTTTACTTTTTAAACTTTCCTTTCTATGCAATAATAACTCATTTATATCACCCAACTGAATGTTTTTTTTTGGCAATTTAAGAGGATTGAAAAACACTTTTCCTTTCATGTGTTCACCAACTAATTTCACAGATTGGAGCGGTGTCATCATATCCCAGATTCCATCTGATGCAATAATTAAGAACTTGTCCTTTGGAGTCAGTCTGTGATAGAAGACATCAGGCTTTGCAGTTAAATATGGAGGTGTGTGATAGTTTGCGGGGATTGCTCTTTGACCTATTAAAGGAACAGCAAGCTTTCCTAACATGTCAGCTGACCATTTATATCTAAAGTCACCCAAACTCCTTAATGGTGCTAATTCACCTAAGAGTCTATCACGTCTGATAATTGTATTTCTCTCATTTTCTGGATGTTCATTCCATATCCTTTTTAGTTCATCTATATTTTCTGAATTGTGCTCTTTGGTTATCTTCTTTGAGATCCATTCATTTTCTTCAGTCATAGTCCCTAAGACAGCATTGCAGTCACCAATATTAGCTACATATAAATGAGGTCCATCAATATAGGCAATGCAGGCAACAGCACCTGACAAGGCAACAGATAATGTTTTATGATTGATAAATCCATCTGTTGAGTATGGGTCTAAGACTTCCTTTGATAAGTCATCATCTAGATGAAGTACACTCTTTTCTAAACGAGTTTGAACATCAACATCACCTTCTTCGTGTAGTTTTGACAGATCATCTAAATATGTCCGAAAACTCTTTTCATATATCATTTTTAGGTCTTGAACTATATCTGCCTGTAAAATATAACAAAATGTTTTTAATTTTTTTACTTATCATCTCTTTTAAATAATTACTCAACTTAAGATTTAAAAAAACAACATTTTGTTGAAATTCCAATGTCCTTCAGGACAAGATAAATACAAATTAGTAGCTATTTGACCGATCCTTCTTTGAATAGACAAATGAATTATTTAAAATTGATCTTTCAAACCACAAAAATATTTTTAGATTTTTCTGAATGGTTAGGATCATCTATTTAAAGCATTGTATAGTGTATAAATGGGACAGCTATAAAGAAGATGGTTAAGAAACAAATCTACTGACCTTATCATTGAATGTTTCTATCAAATTATCCATGACCTCCTGTTTTTTAACTTTCTCTAAATCATGTGCAGATAATAGACTTGCAGCAATATACTTTAGCATCCGTTTAGATATAACCTGAGCACAAGCTGGGCCTCCGTGTCCATCAAAGACTCCCATTAAAAACCCTAACAAAATAAATACATTCACTACATACTTTGGTAAAAGCCAGACATATATGGGTACACTTTTCTTTTTTTTTTGAAGTAAGAAGTATGAAATTAAATAGACTTTGTTTGTTTTAACAAACTATTTTTACACCCAAGAGGTGGTATTTAAACAAAGTTTATATACATATATAATAAGTATATATACATTTGGAAAAAGTTTAGTCAACTCAGTATAAACTTCAGCCTTAATCAACTGATAATTTAATATCAATACCCTTTATTATTATATTATGTGTTATTATTTACAGCATGACATGATTTTTTCAGCTATACAGCATTGTAGATAAAATACAATTTACAGAATATATTTAAGATTTTGAAGATGTAGATTTTTAAATATAGTACAAGCATTCTATGAGTCTCCTAATAACGGAAATTTGTAGTAATCATTATCATTCTTACTTAATAAAGTATAATATTACTAGAGAGTGTCCTGCAGCTAGTAATTGTGATATCAAAGCAAGTAATTGTCAAATGAAAGCTTTTACTGACACCAATTGAATCTCTTATGAACTTTTATTGGAAAATGGTAATTTTTTATTAGTATGTATGTACCTGGAGTGAAAATACATTGAGCCTCACTTCTAGTGTCTTCAATAGGATGATTAGAAGCCAATTGATTAGAGTCATAGGATTTTATAGTGCCATATATGAATTCTTTGTTATATTCATTTTTTCGCAGTGTTGCTGACACCTGGAATATACCAAAATATATGTATATAATGAAAAGCGGATTACTGGATCTAGATTCGATAAATAAAAATAAATATTTATATATAATCATGTTAACCTTAGGTTTAGGTTAAATTTCTAGAAGTACTAAAATAATTTCAAATACCTCCTGCGGAGATGGAAGCACCGTAACACCATCATCATGAGCTTTTCTAAGGCATTGGTAACTACGAAGGCAACGTACAGGACTCCTAAATATACCTTGTTTGTAACACTGACCGTTTTTAAAGAAAGCTGTTTGCCGTAAGCCGCGGTCTAGTTTCATGCAACCGTTCAGTATAATACAAATATTCGAATAATTCATAATAATGATTGACTGGTTTACCGGGCCATATTATGCAACACAAAAAAATTATAACAATACAAGTTTTTAAAAATAAATGTATAGAATGATGGTCATTAATATGTTTTCTGGCTAAACTGAAACCGGCGACTTTGCTCTTTTATTTGGACCAAAATATAAGATATTCGATAACTGACGAAATTTGTGAAGGTATTCTTTCTACTCAATGTTTTATTTTTGTAGACACTGGAAGATTTTGACATTGGAAGTTTTTAATTTTTTCAGTGTGTTTTTTTACTAAGTGACCTATCACCAGTGTGACCGTTTTACAAAATGGCGATCTACTAAAACTACAAGCCACAAGGTGCCAGTACTAAATAATACCAAAACACATGCTGAATTATACTAAAAATATACTATACTATATAAAAATTAAAAGTAGAAGAGGAAAAATTTAATGAAAACACTTATTATCAGTTACCTTTTTTAATTTCACTAATTACACACCTTCATTATACAGACATGAAAATAATGGTAAATATTTACAATATAAAAAATTTTTTTTTACACAAAACTTATTACAAATAGTCAGTATTCGACGGGTTATTTTTTACCATTTCTTTCGATGAGACACCACCTACACTCCCTTCACTTGCCTTGCTTGACATGCAACAGTCACGCAATATGTTTAGCTAGAAACCTGTTTCTGTATTTAGTTTTTACATTATTTACTTTTGAAAAAATTCTTTCGCATTCAGCGTTTGAAATGGGTATGCACATTAGAAAATCAAATTTTTGTACTTAGTAACATTGCTACTGTTAACAATTATACTTCTTAATTTTATCCAAAACTGTTCAACATTTACAGCACTAGCGCTACTACTAGAACCACACATCAGGTTTTGAACCTCTGAATCATACTTAATTTGACGATATTCCTCGTCAATTAATTGTCTTACTGTATCATTTGTAGTAATGTTCGGAAACCTGTCCATAACGCTGATAAGAGATGTAAAATTTTCATAAGCCGCTACTTGTGGGTCTATGAAACGTAATTCGTAAAATATTTTCTCATTAATGGGAAATCGACATTTCAGTTAAGTACATAACTCTTATCAAAAAGCTTTGACACCTTTTTAAAAAGTCTCTTATTACGATACTACTGCTACTTGGTTGATTTCTTAACAGCGTTATTTCATTAGAAACTTTTATACCTAAGTATATCTCATGTAATTCTACAAAATGTATGTTACTTTTAGGATCTATGTCTTCAATAGCAGTGGCACGAATGTAGCTGATTTTCACGTAGCAACTTAATATTGTTTTGAACATGTCAGTCAAATCGCGATAAAAGTATGAACAACACATGCATTACCTTGAAAAATATGTTAAACTTGTTGACTATATGCAAAATAAAATCTAAAAACAAAAAGTAGAGCTTTATTTGTTATGTTCGGAACTTTCATGCAAAAAAAATCGCCGAATGGCTAGGGTTATATTCTACGAGATGTTCTTGTTGAAAATACAGCTGAAGTGCATTCCACTGTTCTACTATGCGATTTACACAGCCGTGTAAGGAGAGCCAACGTATGTCGTAGTGACGTAAAATATTGTGATGCTCTGATTCTACAAAGGTCTGAAATTCTACAAATTCTCTTTTGCGTTTGCTACTATGGCCAAAATAATTATAGACTTCTTTCACAAACATTACATTTGTTGTATCAGCTGCAAATCCTAAAATATTTTCAATGTTTAAATTTAATTCTCGCAAACTTTTACACAGTGAGTTAAAAATACTTTTAGCAGTTTCACTTGATAGATTCACAGAGCATAAAAATTTGGTTTTTACTGTATTATCCTGAACGCTATAAAACTTACAATGGCAAGTAATTTTTCTGTGGTAATGTCTGTGCTTTCATCGATAATTAATGAAAAAGTGGCAACATTACCTGATAAACTTGACGTATTTTTTATATCGGTTAATAACTGCTTTTCAAATGATGGCGCCATTACGTCGTAAACTAACTGAGCAGATTTAGGGTGAGGCCAAACGAGCGTAAATTTTTGAGTTGTGAGTTGGGTAATTTCGGTCGCGTAATTTCTGCTGCATTCGGTTTTCTTACAAAAGTCCTGTTTCATTCACACGGCGACGCAAAATGAGTTGTTGAACTGAATAAAATGTGCTCGTCTGGCATCCCAACAGAATTTCTGTCAGGCAGAATTTCTGCGAACGAAATTCTGCGACTCACTCACTCACAAAAAACAGAACTGGACTTAGTGCTCTGCTAACTTCACAGACACCATACAGATGTATCGTAAAGCTACGGTTTCCTAGAAAAGCGGTGCCGTTATCTAAAGGCCGTAATGTAACGTTGGGTGACGTCACCCATACGTTGTCTATAAATAACATCGGAGTAGGTTTTCTAGAGAACGTTGAGTGTCACCGTAACGTCAAGTAGCGGTGCTGTCATTTACATGACGGCCGTCATAGCGGTGATAAACAGTAGTTCAACGTTTTTCGCGTGTAGCGGTGCGCATATTTAAATAATACAATGACTTAGACGAGCGAAAATGATGAACAATTAATTGATTTTGTTAAAAATCATGACTCTTCATCATCCAAAAATACTAATAATGCTATGTCCAAATCGTCAATTTTTTACCAGTGCAGGACCTAACGCTCGAGTGAGTACAGAGTGACTACGATTGAATACGTTCGCACTACTTTCTAGGAAACCACAGCTGCCAAGCTGTAAAGACGGCCGTTTTTAACAACCGTAAAATGACGGCCAATAGTTAACAGCACCGCTTTTCTAGGAAACCGTAGCTTTAATCTGAAGTTGTGTAAGAACGTTATGTCACTTGCAAACATTGCGTATACTTTATACTTCGTAGAAGTTGGATGTATAAATATTTTTTAGTACAAGGCTTGTATGATGTTAGATGGTTTTCAGACCTCGCGGTAAAAGTGAAAATTTTTACTCCTAGTAATAGTAAAATACGGAATATAGGTTTTTTTAATTTTTGGGACTTAAACTGTTGGCTAAAAGGTGGCCTTTCACCGGATTTCAACTCGAAGTTCATTTATGAGACAGCCTGTATATGTTATAAGATATATGATAAGAACATAGAATAAATATTCTAATTCAAAAATAAAAAAGTTGATATTACCTTTAACCGCTTGTTGTACTCTATCTGTTCTAACAGTTGTCTTTGGTGCAATTTCCGCTTCTGCGCATCTGTAAACTGTTTATGGTCCACAAGTTTCTCAATTCTCAAGCTGCTCAAACAATTGTCTTTGGTATTCATCTTGCTCTTACGGTTTCTGTTTGAGATTCTCTCTTGCTTTTTGACGATCTTTTATTTGTTCCACCATAGCTTGACGTATTTCCTGTAAAAATAGTTTAAAAAATCCGTATTCTAAGTAGTAAACATCATATTTGCGATTGCGATTGTTTTATACTTATATATTTAAGTTTTTCATGAATATATTCGACGTGATACAACCATTTGAATTATACATCCTTTTTTTATATAGAACAGGGGGCAAAGGGGCAGGAGCCTTACCTGCTGTTAAGTGAAACCTCCGCCCATGGACACTCCCAATGCCAGAGGGCTCGCGATTGCGTTGCCGGCCTTTTAAGAATTGATACACTCTTTTCTTGAAGGACCATATTTTGGTTCGGAAATACTTTATAGTGGGCAGCTGGTTCCATATAGTGGTAGTGCGCGGCAAAAACTGCCTTAAAAATGCTCAGTTGTGGAACGATGGACGTCAAGGTGATAGGGGTGGATTTCGTATTCTGCATCGACGTCCGATGATGAAACTTAGCCGCAGGTGCCGCGAACAACTCCTCTGGACACTCCATGGTAAATGCGGTAAAAGATGAAAATGATGATACATGCTAATATTATGATGAGAAAACATTTTTTTTAATCAGTAAACTCAAAAAGTGCTGGACTGATCAAAAGTTACATTACACACGACATTTTATTAGACTGTCCATTAAGATAGCTAAAAATAATTCGCGGTCCCTCAAATCCATGTGAAATTGTCTTAAACTTAAACATATCTGAACATGTCTTATTAACAGGGCAGATAATTAATAAATTATCTTTTAGTTATTCACTCACCCTATTAGTTTTCTGCGCCCACGCAAGATATTCGCATCTCTTCTTGTCAATGTACTCTTGCCTTCTCTGAGCCTCTTCCGCCAAGGGACCTTAGATTATTATTGTCTCCATGTCTTCGTACTGCTTCTTTATTTCCAAAAGCTTCTTGTTGCACTCATCCAACTCTTGCTACAGAGAAATTTTACATCCAAAAGGGTTACGAATAACCATTTTGTAAATACAATTATTTTCAGATATTTTGGGACAATGTTCAGAAGTTTTCTGGTTTAATATACTAAGATCGTTATTGTACCGCTTTATTTTCACAAGCCTATGTATTCTTTTTACTATTTTGTATCCTTATTATTTTTAGCAGTATCATGGCCTCATGTATGAAGCTATTTGCAGTAGCGAGCTTTAAAACGTATTCATTTATTATCTTACCTCTTTTCTCCTCATGAGCATTAGCTTGGCTTTTTCATCCGCTAATCCCTGACCAGCGAGCGAGTCCCAAGTGTCAGCGATCAGATTAGCGACAGCGTTTTGTTTTCGAACAGTCTCTTGTCTCTCTTCTATCATAATATTCCTCTCTCTGGCTGTCTCTTTTCTTTGTTCCGCGCGTTGATTTTCAGCTGAAACGCATTTAATTGCCCTTGATTCTATAGTGTTAAACAAGAATTCAATTGTTTTTCTGTCTTAATGACGTTACAGCTAAACCACTAAATATATTTGTGATTAAATTAACACCTAATAAGTTATTTTAGTACCTTCTTGCTCCTTCCTTATATCCGCATCCCATATCGCCTTGAATCTTCTTGCCTCTTCCTTCAGAATCTCTCTTTCTTTCTCCTTCTGCAGTTTTCTTTGTTCAAGCTTATATTCGTGTCCGTGTATTTTTTTGCATTCGTAGTCCCTTCGTAGACGTTCAATGTCGTCTTGCTCCATACGTGCCGCCTATTTACAAGTCATTATATATACGTTACACAAGGATAAAAAAATATAACGCTATTTAGAAAACATGAATTAACCCTTTCTTTGAACCATATACTACTAATTAAAAGCTATTAATTATTGTCCTTATCCCTCAAGCATCCTTTGGGAATAAGTAAACAAGACAAAACATTATTTAACTATAGAAGTAACTAAGCTAACAATAAATATATTCACCAATGCATCCGACTCCTTCATCGCCACTTCAAACCACATTTTATCGAATTCTTTTTCTGCCATCTTCCGTGCTTCCTTTTCTTTCATTTGGTAGAGTTGAATCTCTTGCGTCTCTTTCGCACGCAGCTTGTAGATACAGGGCAGGACGTGTACGCATTTGGACCTCAATGTTAAACATGTATTATATATTATTATGAAAAGCTCATACTAGAAATATTATCAAACTTTATAATAGTTTAGTTAAGAATTGTATCAAGATTTAAGCTATAAATATCAGAAATATGTCACTTAAGGGGTGCATAATTAACTAAAAGTTGTGAGTCTGGAAAAATGTTTTGACATTTAAAAATAATTGTAGGGACACTTACACTCACTTCGATTCGACATACCCTAAAACGCGTTATACAACTGCTCAGCCATTGGAACCTTCCGGCCGGCTGGTTAGACTGCCTGAAGATCCTCCCTTTACGTTGGAGGTCCACCATCCTACCTCCTCAACCTATTTCCATTAGTATGAATTGACGACAATGTACTTACAAAGGAGTATCTTTATATTTCTCTTCGTGTTCTTTCTTTCTCTTCGCCAAGAGGAACTCAAGCCTTTTCTTCTTGTCCTCCCACACAGCAACAACGCCAGCCTGCGTTTGTTCGACGAATTTGCGTATATTTTCTTCTTCCTCAACCCCATATAGCCCTATTAATCTAAATATGAAAATAACTATTCAATGAAACAAGTCGTATCTATTTCGTCTGTGTAAAATTCAGACAACAAGAGAATCTAGTTTGTTAAAAGAAAACCCCTACCGATCTTTTTTAATATAAAAGAATTTTCATTAATATACCTTTCTTTTTGCTATTTATATCTTCTTCATATGACTCCATGCACAAATCGATTCTTCGGGCTACATTATACTTTCATATAAACAATAACTTTTTATTTTCAATATATTCATTACTTTTGAAAATATTAAATAATAGGTGAATAACGAATGTCAAAACCTTCTATCATATAAAAGAAATCAGACGTCTGTTTGTCTTTCAGTTCCTTGAGTTTGGTCTCTGCGCCCTTTCGTTGCTCTTCTTCTTCAGCCCGTAGTTTTTAGATAAATTTGACATAACGAAAGGTTGAGTTTAATACTCGAAATGTCTGTAAAACATTAGTAAAAATAATTTCATTTTTCATTGAGTTTAAAAACACAGCGTCTTAGATTATTTCGAGGTTGGTATATAAATAAAAATTCAATAAAAAGTAATAATGAGGCAACTATCCTTTATTCATGTTTTTTTTCAAATCTACTTTGTATATCTTTATTCTAAAGTTAAAATTCCCTTTTAAAAATAATGTTCCTGATCCTTTAAAAATCGTGTACATCGGCGAGTTCTGTGTCATCATCAAATGTATGGCCCCTGAGTCCGATGAATACCTATGGAGGATGTTCAGAGCCGCGACACCTCTGTGTGCGAAGTGTGCGGCACATTCAGGCGCCAAGGCAATAAGGGCGTCGCCACCGAAATAATTTTTGTTATCCTTACACAACAAAATATTCTTTGTAGTGGAGTATCCATAAGTAAGTTTCGCCTAATAGACTAAAATTGGGATAGCTGATGGCGACGCGTATCTCGTTCGTAATGAGAATACAATAGGCGCAAATTTAAATAACAAAACATATATTTCGCCTATTGTACACGTCTCCAAAGATAATATTTACGTTTGTGGTTTAATTTTACTTTGTTTGTCTGTCTTTAATTTAAGATAATGCCGCCGAAGCTACGTCATGAGCAACCGGAAGCGAACGGGTTCTACCAATTTCGGAAAATATAATCTATGTATATAAAACAGGAGAACATTTTTCGGGCAAAATAAACAAATAATAAAAAAAACCGTTTGCACACAGGCTCTGCCGAGGGGTCGGCGCAGCCCTGAGGATGTTCCATCCAGCCATCTCAACCAGACACGGGTCACAATAACTTATCATGGTTATTAAAAAATAACTTACATAGTAGACTTCCAGTGCGCCTCTTGGCGGGACCATCTTTGGGCGGCTCCATCGTTATAAATTGATCAGAAAGTTAATTCAAATTGTATATTGATATTGAATACTGAAAACCATTATTGACAAGATGTCAAAACGTGTATATTTATTCTTCAAAAGCAAGTAGTTTTTATGAAACTTGAACCTATTAATGTTATCTTTGTATATAGAGGGAAGTACATTCAGTACCTTTCAGATTAGAATAATAAAGGTTTTTATAAATAAAAAAAGGGTGTATGGAATTTTGTATTTATTTATCAAAATAAAAAAACTTATAAAACGTTTCTTGATTAGAAAAGAAACTTAAGTACAGAGTATATATAGTGTAAATGGTAAACAAAAAAATAAACTTTAAAGCTGAGAGCCACTAACATCCGGTCAGATGTGTTTATGACAAAATATACCATACCAACTTTTATCAAACTTTGCTAGCTCCGGTATTATTACATGTCTTAGTTTAGTAAGTAGTTCTCTAAAACATATACAAAAATACTGTTTTTATTGATTGATTTTCCGAAACAAAATCTTGAAAATTGAATGCTTTACACCTGTTTTAGCGAAAATATAGGAAAGGCCTTCATATGCTTTTATTTCATCATAATATGATTTAGATCACTTTAATAGAATCACAAAAAAAAGATGGGGCTGATTAGGATTCACCCATCTGTAAACGCAAGCGCACAAACAATGTCAAAGAAATTTTAGTTTCAATCAAACAAGCATAAAAACAGTATTTAATAACAAAATATATAATTTCGTGCCAATTCTGTTGATTTTAAAGTAGAGGCATAAAGTAAAATAGAAAATATTCGATTTTAACACCATGTTCGCGAACGTCAAGCAAGTTATAACTTTAAATTTCCTTTACATATGTAATTTACTCAAAACGAAACGTTTATTTGATGGCACGATAATGTTAATAGCTCCCCACTTTAACAGCTCTCCGCTGATAAAATGCGCTAATTAAAATTAATCTAATAACCTAATCTAAATAATATAAAAAATCAACAATTATCGATGAGCGTTAACCTAGATGAAGAATATACATTATTTGTTTACTAATTTAGTAAAAAAAATTAGAAACAGCCTAGGAAAGTAGTAGTATCGTAAACTTGTTTTCTTTAGAAAACAGAAAAGCTAAATTTTCGCAGATATTTACGACTTGTATCTCGGATACAATGGTACACATTGCCAGGCTACTCTTTCAAGTTACAAAATTTTAACGCTCATCGTAAGAAAATCAACATGATTAAAGTCTATTAAAGAGTTCTAACTTATGTCAGATAACCCATCGAAAACATCCTATATTAACATGCGAGATCTAAGAAAGAACTCATATATGAGTGTTATCAAATTGTCACGAGATTATTTAAAAATAAAAAACTGTGAAAAAAAATCCGTACGATTAACTCGTTTTTCGATATAGTCCCGAGTATAAACATTCTTATTACTTCTAAAAGAAAATACAAGTCTCGTGACATTTTGCTACTAGCTTCTACTTCCCTTAAGTTAAATGTATACTCTATTACCTTATAGACCTTAATTCGTACTGGTACTTGTAACAGATAACTTGTAATAGGAACATTAAAGTTTAAATATGAGATCTTTAACAGGAACCAACTAAAATTAAAAAAATACAGCATTTTAAAAAATTACAGTTATCCTATTATTAAAGTCAAAGAATATGTTTTAGATTCATACATATTGATAAACAAATATTGAAGCTAAACCTTGTTAGAGTAAACTATAATACCCGGATATAAGGATATCCGGGTTAACACTTGCAATACGGCAAAGCAATTCTGTAACTTAAGCTACTAACGAGTTTTTGAAGTTATACTTCTTTAATAACAAGTTTTTTCTGGGATTCATAAATGAAAAACATACTAATTGCAATCTTATAAGTACTCTTTCGTCTCTTTCTTTAAATTGCTTTAACGCTGTAATGAAAAGAGACGACTAGTAATTTAAAACGGTACAATCCAACTGATTGTTTTATGAATAAGGCTATTTACGAGAATTCAAAGTATAAGGGCCGATTTACATTATCTTAGTGTTTAGGAGAGTATATAAATAAACTAGATATAAATAATAAATAAAATAGCTTATTTTAAGGCAGTGTATGCCGAATGCCTAGCCTGTTTGTTTTTGTGCCTGAGGGAAGATCTCGGGAGTTGCGCGGGCGCGGGAGGGGTATCACTTGAAACAAAAATAAAAAGCGATTCTATTTTGATTAAACTTGAAAGTCAAGTAGAACCGTACTACAGCAAGTAGCGTTTACATGTTTCAACTAAAGTACCATCCTAAAGCGCTCTGCTAAACACTAAGATAATGTAAATCGGCCCTTATATACGAGAGAATTCTTTAGATAGTATTTAGTTAGTGGAACTTATAGGTGGTAGTTATTTAAAAAATCTAAGATAAAGTAATAGAAATTCTTACAATTAACTTACGAGGAGTTTTTGTTTAACAAAAACAATGCAACAATAACAGTTTTTCTTTAAGTTTACTTTCTAATTATAAGAATGTTGTACTTAATATTGTATTCTTACCGAATTTAAACCGAAACTTCGCTATTATAATTTTGCTTATTGGCTATTACTGCTATAAAAGCTTATTTGTATATTAAATTTTTCATACTAAATATTAGTTATATAACCTGGCGAACAATATAATATCTACATCATTTAAACCCGGTTGACCAGCAATGGGGTTTATTTGAGGCAGTAAGTCCAGTTTTGATAGATTTATTTTCAGTCCGTTTATATTTTTTGAGAGCGGCCAATCCGGAGTTAAGCATTTAATCTCCCCCTCCCACGTAAATTGTTCACCTGTAGTTTTATTGAAAACCGTAATAGAACCGGTTTTGAATGTATTATCCATGGATTGTGACTGAAAGGAAAATGTTCAAATGTCAAAATAGATGTTTGATAAACTCTTTATTTATACCAGACCGATTTTGATGAAATTTTTTGTGTTCAAGTGGATTCGAGAATAGTTAAGATTTATAATTAGATTTTTAAAAATATATTATGGGGTAAAAAATTTAGAAAATTGTATATGATAAACCTCACCGTCAGAGTAGCCATGAACACATCAGGTTCTTCGTATTTCGCACTCAGAACATAGAAAATAGATTCATATTCCAAAACGCGGCTGCACCAAAGAGGTTCCTGTACCAACTCTCCCAATGTGAATGTGATGTTCCAATTATTCGTTACTTGCTTCATAACTTCATTTTCGTGGATCTGTAATATTTTTTATTATTTAATACCGGGTTTAAAGCTAACAATAATATGCTTCGGATAGGAAAAAAACATTTTTAATTTTTAATTTTTAATGTCAGAGCAATGGCATTACTGTCAGCTGTCATTATGTGTCAGAGCTTACAAATAAACCAGTAATCTACAAATTAATGACGATTTTGCCGGCTTTTTTTAAACATTTGGAGGTCGTATCTCCCAGGTAAGACCTCGGTAGATTCCACAGTTCGATTGCTCGCAAAAGAAAATGTCTTGAGAAGCAGACCGTGGAAGACTTCCAGCCATCTAGGTGATGCAGATGAAAGTATATAACAATAGTGATTTCATAGTAATTATTATTATTAAAAGAAATGACAATGGCAGCCTACAGCGGCGTGCAGTTGCAGATGAGGAAAAGAGAGCCGGAAAGACTGAATGCGATGGAGACTCACTATGGACGCCTTCTGTCCCATTTAGGGGATATAGGGCATTAAGTCAAGTAAGCTGAGAGAAACATTTTCGTTTATATTAATAAAAATTACCTTCAAAATAAATTTTAAGAACCAATTCGTGAAACGACTAACATGCTAATGAAAACATTTCAATACTGTTATGATTATAGGAAAAAATATTTTTAAACATTTTGTTCAAATAAAATTAAAATATATTTTGTGTCTCTTTCGATTTTAAATGATGTAAAGAACAAAATTGTGAAGCTCCTCAGTCATTATCTTATTTTTGTTTAAGAAATATATATACCTTTTGCATATGATAGTCGACGACAATACCCGGTCCGCACCAGTTGCACAACACACAGTTTACTTTTGTATCGTCTACACAATTTATGTAATCCTGAAATAATTAAATTTCCTTATAATTGATAGAAACACAAATTAAGTCCAGTCCAAAATAGAAAAGTTTAGAGTTAATAACGTATAATTTCTTCGTAAATTATGTATATAAATATATAAATTCATTAAATCAGTTGTTAATTAGTCCATACAATACGCCGTAGCGAAAAGTGCTTTTATTATTAAAACCATACCATTAATAATTATTGTAAAAAATAAAACTTAATGTACTTAAGTTGTTTCAGTTCACGAACTGAAAAAAAATTGTTTAATACAAATCAGTCTCGGCGGGGGTTTGACAAATTAACTTTTAATACTACCCGACGAATATGACAAGAAATTAGATTCATACTCAATAAAATCATACAAAACATTCCTTATGTTTTCTATGCTAAGTAACTTGAACGCCCATCTTAGATTCGAATCCTAAGAAAATATATTTCGCTTTATATAGAGCAAAAATTCTACCTCTAATGAAAAAAATTAAATCATTATTTATTTAATATAGCTGTGTGATAAAATCAGGGTCAAATCGATACTTAAATTTTATTAAAGATAATTAAATTAATTAAAGAACTTTATTATGACACGGGCATGTCTTAGACCCAAAAAGACAGAAGGCTGATCAGGCAGGCCGAGCCTGGCCTATTAGAACAAATGATCACGAAACAGTTACAGATATCTGAGGCCCATACGTAAAAGTTAGTACCGCAATGGAATTTTAATAAAATATTTTACCTCATCCTGACTTATAACTTCTAAAGCGTCTTCAATCATTTCTGATACGGTAACATTTCCAACATTTTTGTCAAACGAAGTGGTCTCACTGGATTCTGAAAACATATATAAAAATATAAATGCGTGATACGAAATAAAATTTAACAAAATAAACATCATAAAGCTTTCACGCGGTGAGTTTATTGATAATTTTTAAGATGAGAAACCTGGTTTGGAAATTTCTAGAAATTTATTTAATTTAGCCGCACCAAAAAGGTGAAATAGAAAAAAGAAAACAAACATGTTAAAAAATTAGAATGTGTGGCCTCGATAATACGTACTTACACAAACATTATTCTAAGGGTCTGTTTCACAATGTACGGATAAGTTCTACATAAGTTCCAAATAAGCTATTTATTACTTATTGGTAGGATAAACACTATTGTTGCGTTTCACGACTGTCAGATAGCGCTAATCTTCACATAAAGTCCATCATAAGTTATGAGTCCGATGAATGTCAAATAGCACAATTAATCTTCCAAATAATTTATGTGTTGCATAGCTATTTGGTACTTTATCCATACATTGTGAAACAGACCCTTAGAATTATTTTCTATAACAGGGGGCAATCGGCAGGCTCACCTGATGTTAAGTAATACTACCCATGGACACTCACACTGACAGAAGGCTCGTAAGTGCGTTGCCGGCTGTTTAAGAATTGTTTACTTCCTTTTCTTGAAGGCGAATTGATTCTTCTTTATAATCTTTGCTAAATTTGACTTGTATTAGTGCTCTTTGTCGTGGGATGTGAAAATATAACAATAAAGACAAAATAAAAGCTGGAGAGTTTCTCGTTTCCCTTCGAAAAATCGTATACGTAGATGATGCCTCCTGTTCTATTAAAAAAATGTTTTACCTGCGATATTCTTATTTAAATCTGAATTATCCGGCTGCTGCATTGGTTCCTTGCAAAGTAACATATCGACATGATCCGTTCCGTTTGCGTAATTTACATCGTACCCTATATTTAAACGTATATATTAGTCTTATGAAGGACTAATTCGATCATTTTCTTTGAACTTTATTCACTTGTGATAAGGTTTATTTTTCAATGACTCGTTTTTGAATAATAAGTAAGAGTCTGTTACAAATTGTATTAATGATACATTGACAAAGCGCTGTGAAGCAGAATTTTCTAGGCTATTTTTAGATCAAATATGTGTTTCCCATACCTTATGTTCATTGGATCGGTAAAAAAGGCGGCGGAAAATCAGCAGGCGGTTTTAGAGTTTATGATAACTACACTCGGCGTCCAAAAAATGGCACCTTTCCTAAAATTCGTGTCAAGCTATTATAACTCCGAAGATCCTTCCTGTACCCTATCATTATTAGTATCATTTGAAAGCTAATGAAATCCCTTATTTGAAAATGGTAGGAAATTGGCCACCACCCCCATAAAAAAAGAAAATCTCCCGCCAACTCGACGTAGGTAGTCCATGACAATCAAGACTGTGTGGCACCGGGCGTAGTCGTGCATGAACTCGAAGTTGGCGCCGACAAAACCTGCACATGGGACCACATGCTCCTCCAAAATCTCGGTGATATACTGGTGGGCAGTCAGAGACCCCTGGCCGCGACCATCTCCAGCTCTGGCGACGCACACGAGGTCTGTCTTGCCGTCGATAGAAATGCCGCCCTAGATACATGCAGGATCCTCCTCCATACCCGACGGTTTCCACGTTGCAGGCTGGTGTGAAACGCTCCCCTGGTCGCCTGTAGACTCTCTTACGCATGTTGTTGGTGTACAGGCACACTCGGGTTTCGTCGGAGAACAGGACATTCCTCCACTGGTCGAATGTCCACGGCATGTACGTTTCGTAAAATCGCTTCCTTTTCGTCCGGTGGATGGCAGTCAATTGGGGGCCTGTAGCAGCTCTCCAGGGCAGCAAATTCTTCTCTCACAGCCTTCTTCTGATAGTGGAGACGCTGTCAGCTGTCCTTCGAGTAGCTCAAAGCCGCTGTTGCAGCTCCCCAGCGTTGGAGAAGCGGTTCCGCAAAGACGTCGACACAATGGAGCGATCACCTCTGACGGTAGTGCAGTGACGTCTCCCGGATCCATGTCTCCTGATGTAACCTCCAGTCTCTTGGAACCGTTGGTATACCCGTTGCACTCGAAATCAGTTGCACTGATTTTCAGTTGCCGAGCAACTTCAACCTGCCGTAGTCCGATTTGCAATAGGGCCACCACTTGAGCTGCTTCTTTGCCATGGTATCCATTTTCACTGGGTTTTTTCTTGTCGAAGCTCTTCATGTGTGACCTCTGTGACGTCTAGATAGCGAATAACCCATAATTAACTTTTACCTCCTCGTTTTATACGCGTCCAGGGTGGTACATTTAGTGAGCCTCCAAAGGCGTACATCGCCACTTTTTAATCAAAGTGCTGGCGATTTGTGGTTTTTGATTTTCCGTACACAAATGATTATTTTTTTGAAAGCTTATTAATTGAGCTTTTAAATGATACTAATAATGATAGGGTACAGGAAGGATCTTAGAAGTTATAATCGCTTGACACGAATTTAAGAAAGGTGCGATTTTTTTGACGCCGAGTGTATATAATAAATATAAATATTATTTATTTATTCCAAAGAAACATTAGACATTAACAAAACAGTTTTACCTCTTTCCAGACGCGGTAAGAGTAAGCATCTATTTTTTTTTGGGTTTATGGCCTGGTATCTAGACCTTTAGGCCAAGTCTTGAGTATTTTCCCCACTGTATTAAGAGTAAGCTTCTCTAGTTGCTTACTATAGACTATTCAAAATGGAATTTAGAATTAAAAATGTAAGCAAACCATTCCAAGAATAGTAATCGTTTCTGTGATACGTTTATTTTTAATTTTTAAACTGGCAACATTTTTTGAATACATATTAAAAAGAAAAAAAAATAGTTCATAATTGGTACTATTTGTTTTTGACTCGGTATTTTTGTAAAAAATAGTAATTACTTATTACTATTTTTTACACCAGGCCATAAAATTAAAAATATTTTTTTTAAGGCTACATTTTTCAACATAAATTCCATTTATCTAGCTTTATGACGTCACGTGCAAAGATATTGAAAGAATAGATGAAAAAAACCATAGACACTCACTAGGATAAGCATTGTGCGATATAACTGTGGATGTTGGGTACACCTTCCTGAAAGCCATGCGTTATATACAAATAGCAGTGAACAAAGCCATTACAAAATGCGCCAATCTAGGCTTATGTGGTTTTAAGACTAGATTTATCTCTTAGAATATAAGATATCCGATGTGAAGAAGCAACTGAGTAGACAAGTTATTGAGTACAAGAGTTCGTACTCAAGGTGAAGTAAACTCAAAATTAATCTCAATATCTGTCAAATCATAATTTTTTAATAAAACAAACAATAGTTGATGTCTACGCAATGATTCTTCACAGCTAAAATTTGCAAGACATACAAAAAAACCAAGCTGCACTGGGGTTTAATTTCAACCCACTAGTAATCGCTACGAATTATAGTGTTCCTACGACAAGAGCGATTAATATTTTCTATAGGTAAATTTATGACTTGTAGCTATTACGAATAGGTTCTTGAAAACAGTAAAATTTCAATTCCCGGGTTGAAAAATGTTCTGTTCTCACTATATTTAAAGGAATGAGTGCATCTAATCAGTAAATTACCGATAACAAGCATTATTTTAAAATAAAATAAAAATTATGCATTTAGCGTGCTGCTGATGCATTAGTAAGCCGATGGCATCCAATCATTCAAAGACAAATTTGCTATCTGCCATTTGTCATAACATTCTCTGGATCTCAGCCATAGTGAGATTAAGCATTATGCCTGGGATTGTTTGAATAGGAGCTTTTTGAACGACAACCACTAGTTGAGGTCCAGGTATGAAGAACTCATGCGAAGCATACTCATATTTAATAATTACAATTAGTGATGTAGTTCTGGCTCTAGTCTAGTCTGAATCATTTGTATGAGAAATCTTAATGCGCGCGGAACCACCAGAGGCGCATCATACAAATATTTGACCTGGACACGCAAGACTGATTCATAACATTTAAATGTGTGCATTAAAAATAAACCTTGTGTCAATGCAATTAAGACCCGATAACATTAAGCACAAATTAAGATTAATAATGAAACAATCTTGCTAATAGCCACCATGGCATTAAAGGGGTCAACAAAGCAAGACTAATTAATTTCATGTTAAAATTATTTAGTGTTTAGACCGCCAAAGCAAAACCTAAAGAAAAGACGCGGCAAAGAAGAAATAAAAATGCCAATTTCATAAAAAAAATTAATCTTGCTAAGTGTTCCTCGTAAAAGGCACTGGAGGGATTACCTTTTGTGCAATGTAAACAAGAATGATATACAGTCGCAACTAAAATGAATGTGAATAAATTGTTTTACGTTTACGTTACGTTTACTACGGGGGAGACCGGGTACAAAAGTAACACTTTGTACTTCACACTTGATTTGTGGCCAGGTTTTAATATTGTCATTAAATTAATATAACCATATATAAATTCAGTTTATGTTCTTTACACTAGCAGCTCGATTTTTTTTACTATGGTGTGTTTTATATGAATAACAGAGAGTTAAAAAAAAATCATCAGTTGTTACTTTCGACCACGTAGGCAGGTCGAAAGTAACAAGACGAAGAGGGTTGGTAATTAATACAATATTATATGTTTAATCAACAATTATTTATTTAAAAAGTAAAAGTTCTGCATTCTGCATCCATCCACTAGCATTGCCAGCTCCGGCACAACCAACAGGACCCTCAAGAATCATGTGGTCTTGGAATTGTTTAAATGGGAATACGAAAAAGGAGGTATGTGTCCTCCTTGAGCATTAATGGCAACAGCAACAGTTCCTAATCTTCCACGTTCTGAGGTTACTGCACCTACTTGTTTAGTTCCTTTTTGAGCAACAAACTTGCTAGGTTTGTTTGTTACTTGTGTACCCATAGGACTATGTTACTTTTGAACCCTTCCTCATTTTTGTTGAAACATGAAATATAACTTAAAAACGGAACGTGCTAAACAAAAACAAATTTAAACAATGTACAATCAATCTAATCAAAAATAGATATGCAAACATTCAGATTACTACCATCCTTTTACGACTATGTAAACATTAAATAACAAAATATCGAAAAACTTAGTTTTGGTTTGTAAAAACACGTAGTATCCTCTCACACAACCTAACAGTGCGTGGAGTACGCGGCGACTAACTACAAGTGAGGGGGCACTCTCAGCTATCGCCTGACGGCGGCGAAGCTGTTTTCGCCCATTGGATGAATCTAGAGAGCATTTGTTACTTTCGACCCGCCGTTACTTTTGTACCCGGTCTCCCTACTTTAAATGTTGGGACATTGCTAGGTAAAAATAAAAAATAAAAAGTGGTCACGTGGCCATCAAAGCAGGATTGAAAGGTCTTATCAGAAACGAGACTATTACTCCAGTGTGTTAAAATCTAATACATTCTGAAAGGTTAAGAAAATTGTATGTATCATAATTAAATTAATCTAATTATGAAAAATTCATTCTTGGCGTACGGAAGTCAAGTCTCGCGTCTGCATATCGACGTAGGAAAGCATATTTGCTGTAAGTAGACAAAATACCTAAAGTGACTTTTTCCTGCCATTAGAATCAGAAAAAAAAGCCGCATCGAATGACCTGGGTCCTGTGTCTCTACGATGAAAAAAAAATTACATACGCCGTTGAAAACGCCCGTACTTATATTATTTTTAGCAAGATTAAATGCTGTATGTAGACCAAAATCTAGTCATTTCAGACATTTTGCACTTACAGCAAAAGAAAATCTGCATTTTTTTCTTTACAAATACTTACTTCTTCCCATTTAAAAACTTAACGCTACTTACAGCATTTCAGCGGCGTGTGATTTTTACATTCGTTTACTTACAGCAAGTTTAGGGAACCTACAGTTTTGGTTTTTTTTTACCATTTACGACATTTTATTTCAACCAAACATTACATTACCAAATGACCCACTGCATTTCTAGATCTAATCATAATTATAAACTAATCTTACATCTTGAATTGCAATTAAAAGTACCCAAATACATAAATTTCCTGCATACAGCATATTTACCGCCTGTAAATTGATAATATTTCCGCGCGTACATTTTTCTTCCTTAGTTACAGCGTTTTAAAGGTTTGTGATTTAAAAAACTGTTTGCTGTAACTAGCCAAACACGTACTTATAGTAACTTTGGATAAAAAGTTTACATTGCAAATGGTGACTGGCAGTTAAATAAATATATGTTTCAAAAATGGTAGCAATATCATGGATAGGTCAGACACTATTAATTTTTTTCCGAAATTAATAAAGTTTTTTAGCTCTGGTGAACAATTGCAATATGTCTACTTACAGCAAATGTGCTTTCCTACGTCGATATACCCACAAATACACCTTAACATAAAGCGTTAAAGACGAAATTGCAAATTAAAGTAGTGGTATACAACTTACGTAGACATAATAGTCTTTGTGCTGTTTGTGCATGTGGTTTCATTCTTCGTACTGATTTGTAAGAGTGAAGAATTTGTTAAGGGAGACTTGAAGTTATATATGGTCTCCAATTGGATGTTCTGAACGGTGGTTTGAGGCATGTATGGAGATAAACCTGAAACGTTAGAATATTTATGTATAAAAGTGAGATGTGTCCCACAACACAGGGACTCTCTAGTGTGGGGACTAGCGATATATGAATTTTTTCACAACCATACTTCTGTCATGAATAAATTTTTTATTTATTTTTTATTTCTGATAATTCATAAAAGTGTAATTTGTATAAATATGTACCTATACATTTCAAAAGTAGTAGAAATATGTTTTCAAGTTTCATGTATTAAAATATTCATCAAAACTATTCAATCTCTGAAATGATTGAAATAAATGACACATTTAGTACGGAACGTCTGACGCCTGAAACGTCATTTGATCTAAGTATGTAAGATTGCCGAACTGCGCCTCACTTGTATGTACGCGTAAGATACGCGCGCCCGCATCGACTGACGCCCGAACCCAATATACTAATAATACCCCTATCTCAATCAATTTTTAGCATCTGAGATAGTAAACTTAAATCTCATTTGTTGTAACTAGTGTGCCAATAACCAATCGACGAATTGTAATAGCCATCTGTCGATACAAGCTATCCATGGGAAGTCGTGTCGGTGTCTGTGGATAGACCTTTGTATAAAAATGATAGTTGACGAAAGCTCGATTTCAACAGTTAATTATTTTAACAGATTTTAACTTACACCGGTTTTTAAAATAATTAAAAAAAACTGTTTGTTATGTTACATACACATGTATATTTTAATGTTATTTGTACGGTTTTATTTACTTTATTTGGTTTACATTGTTTATCAAATATGAGTGTAAACTCGGTAAAATTGAATGACAGAGAGCATTTTAACCGTCGCCAAAAATGGATTGTCTTCGTAGGGTTTGGTTATTGGGATGGAGATAGATATCGATCGACTGTCACGGTCTGATCTCAGATTGCAAACAAACTGAGATTGTGGATTAATTATTGGGTTCAGGGGTATGTCCCGTGACAGATTACTTGACCTAAGGGCCGATTTACATTATCTTAGTGTTTAGGAGAGTATATTAGTACAAGTTGAAAGGCAAGTTCTTTAGTGCTTTAGTGCGTTGCGAGTGAACGTTTACATTTCTTCCAGTAGAGTATCATTACAGCGCCACAATGAACGCGCAACGACGTCAGCAAATACGCCCTATACTAACTGTAGTTATGGAACAAATAGAAGACGAGATTTTATTCGAAATAAATAAACTAAATATGAATAATAAATAAAATAGCTTCTTTTAAGGCAGTGTATGCCGAATGCCTAGCCTGTTTGTTTTTGTATAAATTGTTTTTAACGTTCCACAAACATTCGTGAACAATATATTCAGACACAAATTTGATAGTTGTATCTTCCGACCATTTATCCATCTTTAAAAATCAAAAAACACGCACGCGTTTCACGGCACTTGTGCACTCTCCTAAAGATTGTACTAAATTACGTGTTTACACACAACGAGGGAAGATCTCCGGGGTTGCGCGGGCGCGGGAGGGGTATCACTTGAAACAAAAATAAAAGCGATTCTATTTTGATTCAACTTGAAAGTCAAGTAGAACCGTACTAAAGCAAGTAGCGTTTACGTGCTTCAACTAAAGTACTATCCTAAAGCACTCTCCTAAACACCAAGATAATGTAAATCGGCCTTAACGCCACATGAAAAGAAATTGTTCCGAACGCAACTTGAAAGCTGAAATAGGTATATCATAATTTTTTACCTTATTTTTCTTAAAATTTATTCTTATTATTATAAAATGATTGCTCCTTCATTGAGCTCAACATCTCTACTAGTTAAACCATATTGAAATTATAGTAATTTATTTAGAATCTTAAAACATTATGTCGTTGAATTAACTAATAAGCCGTGGAGCCGAAGGTAAAGGTTTATAAAGGCTTATAAGGTTTTATGTACAATCTAGTTCTAGAGTAGAGCTTCATATCAAAATAATTTATTAAATATATAACTAGTTTAATTGCTATATGATTTAAGTTTATAAAAATTACAGATTAAATATTTCAAATGAAAACTTACACTCGTCAGACTTGGCGCTAACAGATAATTGTTGCTCATAATCCCGATGATGGAATTTGCTGAAAACGTCTGCAATTTTTGGCAAAGAGTTCTCTTTATATGTTTCATATTTCGTTTGTTTATCGCGTTTTTCATAATACATAATTCCATCGTTTGTTGCCATGGATGTGTTCGCTTCACAAAATGCCGAATCAATAGACATATTTCTTTGTATAAAATTATGTTCCGAGTTATTTCTCTCAAGATCTTGTAAGACATCCCTTATTATTTCACTGGTTGGTGGCGGTTTCTCCTGGATAAAAGCGTTAATTTTTGAGACCGTTCCATCATTTCTGCGTAGGGTCAAATCAGCTTGTTGAAGCTTTAATATGGGATAGGGCTTTATTGGATCACTCAGGATTCTCTGTCGTTTCGCCGGTAGAGGTGCAATAGTGTGAGTAGACTTGAACACAATAATAAAAATAATTAATGAATGTTAATATTATGGGTGTACTAATAAATGTATTATGACTATATATAAGGCACGGGGAATATACGTAACGTTCCCTAAGTGCCCAGAAATAACATGCCGCAATTAAGACATAAATTTTGTTACACTAGCCTTTAATGTCTGTGGTAATCTGAGATCTAAATCCACAATGGCGATTAAATTAGAACGATGCGTTAGCTACCATTTTAATTTGAAGGTACTATTTTAAGTCTTTACTCTTTCGATAATAACTTCAAGAAACATTTTTGTTCATGTGTTCTCTACAATTTATTTATTGCACCTTTTTAAAGTGAAACTTTTATTACATCGTATCAAACTTTCTCGTCTGTGTGTTGCATGTCGCTTTACGGTCGGCCGCGGAGTAGGGATAAAGTGAAAGGCGCTCGTCCAGTGTTCACAACCTGAAGCCAGGCAGATATCGTACCAGGGCCGTAAAATTATCGTATTTGGATCAAAATTATCGTACACGTCAGGAAAATTGCTAAAAATACTTTAAAAATCATATGAAACGTGACAATAATATGTTGCAAATGGTTTATAGTTTAAATCTTGTAAACTTGTGTTTTTTAAATTGAAAAAAAATATATATATACAAATTAAATGTTCGACGTATGGCACAGACCTGAGCTGGGCCCTCGTCGACTTCGAGTGTGATGAACGCGCCATCATTTCGAATTTATAAAGAAGATATTGAAGTGAAACTTCTTTATCGAGGTTGGAAAAAAATGTAGTGTAAAATTTTTTCGTTACGCGTCACATTTTTCGGTTACGCGCCATGTTGCTTTTTGAAGTCAAACTTCTTTATCGGCGTTGGAATTAAACTTCTTTATCGACGTATGGGAGAAATTTTGTAGCAAATCGTCATGTTTTTCAATGATAGTAATAATTCTATTACAATTAATGAAATTCTATAATAATCTTCGTAGTAATAAGGTAAAATGAAATATTTGTATTCATGTCTATGATAATAAAAGCCTTTTGTTAAACTTTATCTAATTTAACGAATTTCTGTAAAGTTGCATATGGTAGATCATTTTTCGAAAAAATAAGATCATAAAGAAGTTTCACTTCTTACGTGTGTACACCTAGTACACGCACATTTTATTTTTTTAAAGTTAGATAACTGAATATATTTGCGAGAACAGAATACACAAATATTAATGACACTTGACGTTTTATATACAATTTTTAATCTTTTCTGTCAAAGAGGAACAAAAATACGCAATATTTTCTCTTTTGAACGATATGGTGTTCGCTTTTAGTGATTACCTATCTATATACCTATCGTCTATAAACATTGCACATTATTTTTATTACTTAAATTCGTTTGGCATTAAAATACTATCGAAGTCTTCCGAATCTGCGTCACCATACAAATCGTGGAATTTTTTGGCAGTGCATTCTGGTGCGTTTTTATGTTTATACAATTAACGCTTTGTTTATCCAACTGTATTCGCATTTAGCCTTGTGACAGCATGTGTTCCTAATAAAAAAAATGAGCCAAAAGATGGCACTGACACCAAAAACTGTAATTGTTACTGGGCTATTGGTTATCTGTGTAATCATCAAATTTTTCATCAGAATGGAAATTATCGTACAATCTGCGCACTGTTACATCCCTAGATTGCTAGCTATAATGCTAACTCATCATCTGCATCATCAATGCATAATACTTCAGTGATCACTGATCAGTCAGTCTGCACTCTGCGTGTATCATTCTTAGAGAGCGTTTGTCTAATTTTTGTATTGTACCTATTATTTTAATTAAATCCTTTTTTTTAAAAGGCATTTTAATTCCACGGCCTAACAGTACGATAGTCATGTGCCATCGTACATAGATATGAAATTATCGCACATGTACGATAATAATAAATTTATCGTACGGTTCCGAACGCTGCGCTCGTCATAGCAGCCAAGGCCAATATGGCGACGCCTATAGTTCGCAGCAGCTGACCGTGTAGTGTATAGAGTATAGACTATTATTCATTTGTGCCAGTGCTCCACGCTATTTTGTTTGTTTTTGTCAGTGTTTAATGTAAATGTTGTTTATTACACACTACAAGGGGGTAGCAGTAGAAAAATATATATATCCCAAATGTGTATGTGTGTCAGTGTTCATTCCTATTAAACAGTCTTAATAACACATGATCAATCTTAATAACTTTGTGTGTCAGAAATAAATTTTCTTGTTTTCTTTGGAAAGCTTTGGTTAATAAAATTTGACCATTTTATATTATATATTAAATAAAGTAGGACTTATCTATATATAAATATGTGTATGTTGTTTGTATTGTTTAAGAATCACTTAAAAATATTTGCTTATAAAATATTTATTCTATTGGCCATATCAAATTAATAGTTTTTATTAATTTGATATTAACCAAAACTTTAATGACTTTAAACTTAACAAAAAACAATAAAAATTATAAACAAATGGAAGTTGAGTAACAAACAGTTACAATGTAATGTATGGTATGCAGCTTTGATAGTAAAAATATTAAAACTTACACTGGTGTTATACATCACTTTCACATTATCTTTCCTCATAATAATATCTCCATTCACTTGATATTTCATGATACATTGTGATTTTAGCTTAACATTGTGTATTTGTTCATCAACCAATTGATTTGTTTGTTTTTGGTAATTTCTCAAACTCAGATTTTCATATTGTTTCAAAGTCTTATGGGCATCCAATTTTTTTGCGGTATCAGCATGGATTAATCTTGCTAGGACGCTCTGACGAGTATTATATTTTGTTTTCATCTAAAAATACCAAAATAAATGTTAGTTTACTATCATTTGAAGCATCTACAAATCTATTATAATAAAATATGTTCCTACAATGTAAACTATTGAACATTTTTTTACAAAAAAAAAGAGTTATCTATATTTTACAAATAAATTTCTTTTCCTATTTTAATAATGTTACATAGAAAGAGGGCATCTTACATAGACATAACCTTTGCTATGTTGCTGTTTTGCAACAAAACATAAAAATACATAATCTACTGAATTACATTTGAAGTGGTCTAGAAAATATCAAACTTTACAAAAAATTTAAAATGCATTATTTTATTATTATAATGTGCAGTTCTTAAATCATCTACCAAGTATAGTTACAAAAATATATTTAATATTTATGTCTATTGTTAATTTGAGTTGATTTTATCAATTATAATGCATTGGGTCGCTGTGCCAGGAATAAAGTTATCTTTAAATGCTTTCTTACCAATTTTTGGCATTACCTTTCCACTTACTTCCTGGCAATTAAAAAATATAATTCAGAATAGAAATTTGACATACATGAGTCACATTTACCACTATGCCTAATTACTAAATATCATCCTGAATAACATTTACTGTGATTTCTATCATTTAACATCAGGTAAGCTTCCTTCTCTAATTCTATAAAACTAGGCAGATATCATAAAAATACCCTGCAACATACCTGAGATTTCAGAGTTCTATTTTTGGAGTTTTTCATGCTTTGACGTTCCTTTGTGACTTTTTCAATGATGGCTGTTACTGACTCCTCTGAACCCAATTGTTTTGCGACTAACATTTGTATAAGATACAATTTCTAAAAATAAAGTGAAAGTTTTAAATACCTAAGACATGAAGGATAAATTTCAAATGTCTAAATAACAAGTCAAAGCAAGAATACAATTGTTGAGCATTTATCAGTTATTATATACACTTTTTTTTAAATTAATCAAGTTTAAATTGGTCAAGGGACAAGATAAGTCTTAATTAGCCTACATTTAATATGAATAGGGTAAAACCTTACTTTGTAATTAGAAGGTAAACCATAATGTTTCGATAGTAGTTGTAAATGCCGATAACTAAATTTCCGTAATTCTTCTATAATTTTATGGCTTTCGTTGTCCATATTTCTTAACGAAACAATTAAAACGTGTTAGGAAGCAACCGTAACTTATGTTAAATAAATGTGTTTTCTCTTTTATGGGCACTATTTAATATAAGTTAACTAAATATACATTAACAATGTTCATCTAAGTGTGGGTTGCAACTTGCATCAACAAATTTTGACGGACGCTTTAAATATGGCGCTAACGAACGTTAGACAAAAAAAGTGTTGATTCACCATCTATGAACGCTTACGTTCGTTGAAAAGTTACGCTTACGTTAACCAGTGCTTGAACCATTGGTAATTGTTAAATTTTGGTTTGTAACTTCTTAGTTCGCACTTCCTACACGCGGCATTAATTTTAAAAAGTTATTACAAAGTTGCATAATGGAACCAATTTTATTTAATACTTTTAATGGTAGTTTTTTCGAAGAAGGAAATGAAGCTCAAGTGCTTGTGAGAAAAAAAAAAGAAAAGAGCCACATAAGAACCAGAAATTTGGAGTTTGGAAGCGAAGGTTCCCCATAGTTGGGTCCAAAATAAGATGTAAGATAGATAACATCCAGCCAATTATTGTTGCAACTGTTGTGTTACACAATATTTGTAGGACACATAATGTTAAACAGCCTACAGATTTTGTAAATTTGGACCAGGAGGTAACTTCATTGCCAACACAACCAGAAAACTCTGTTTCCTCTGAATTTAATATTAGAGATGGTTTGATTAATAATTATTTTGCAAGGCATGTTAATATTACGATTATTTTTGACTTCAAAAAAATAAATTGCAAATTTAATATTAAAGATGTCTTATATTTCAGATTATAACTTTTTTATGGCATGGGTGTGAAATATAGTGAAGCACTAACATATTCTATACTGTTTATATTGCTTACTGCATGCTTTTGGGAAAGAAATAAAATATTTGACAAAAATAATATGCCTTTACTAACTGAATTACAAGCCTACAGATTTTATTAATTTAGATCAAAAGTTAACTTCATTGACAACAAACAGAAAACTAGTTTTCTCTAAATTTAATTTTATTCTAATATTAGAGATACATAGTTTAATTATTATTATTTTGCAAGGTATGTTAATATTAAGATTATTTTTAGTTCAAAGAAAACAAATCTCAAATATATAATTTTAAAGCTGTCTTATTTTCAGATTATAAGTATTTTATGGTATGGATGTGAACCATGGTCAAGGATTAACATATTATATACTGTATAATATATTGCTATTGCATGCTTATGGTGGAGAAATAAAATGTTTGACAAAAATAATATGCCTTATTATTACCGAATTACAACATTACATAGTTATGCATGCCTATGCACATAAGAATTAATTAATCTTAAAAATCTATTTTTTTACAGTTTTTATTATTTTTTACACTTATTTTATTACATTGATACACACAACTGTTTAATTATTTTGAAGAGCATTTATACTAAGTTTCAAGTAATTCTGATCATAAACAAGTTATAGTAAGTTTATTTTTTATTGTAAAGGTAAATACCACTTTTCATGCATTTTACATAAGAAATGGCAGTTTCATACAATCTTACATCCCTTTAGTATAATTAATAGTAAGTAATTTATTTAAAAAAAACTACTTTTGTTAATTTTGATGTGACTGCATCAGTAGGAGGCGGAGGTGCACCACCCTCCGTTTTAAAACGCTCTTGCCTTTGTTTGCTTGCATCCTTAAAATCGGTATAGGTACTTTATAGTAAAAACTTATTCATTATGTATGCTATAAAATCTGTCAACTTGTTCTGGAAAATTGTAGGAACATACTTTTTGAGCATTCCGCTTATGTTGTCAAATATGGCTTGCAACTGTTTAATAGTTCAAGGGTTATCTGAAAGGGCATTAAATTCTGCATGAATCGCACTCCATGCCCGCTTTTTTGCAAATTGTTAGTGCTGTCTGCCTTTTTAATTAATAATATGTGTTTATGTTTTTCTATTACATTTCTAAATCTGTCCTTCTCTTCTTTTCCAAAATTTACCAAACGTTCTCTGAAAGTCAATGAGTCACGTAAATAAATACACTTCTAACTATATCTCTCAATATAATATACATACTTTGCGCATATACAATTCATGCAATAAAAAAATAAAATAATAGCTTTATACTTACTTTGGCGAAAAGGTTTCCATTATTTATATTAAAATTAAACACTTTTTAAAAGTAGCCTTTCGTATAAAACAATAAACATCCGATGTCAAACTTGACAGAATGTTTCAATTTCAAATGACATTGTTTTTATCAATGTTGTTATTACTAAAAAAAAACTTTTCGACACGAACTGTCATTTCCATACAAATTAAGTTTTCGACTTTCTACATACACTACTGATAAGGGGCCTTAGTCAAGATGCCTTAACAGTAGTGTATGTAGAAAGTCGAAAACTTAATTTGTATGGAAATGACAGTTCGTGTCGAAAAGTTTTCATACAAATTTAGTTTTTGACGTTCTACATACACTACTGTTAAGGCATCTTGACTAAGGCCCAAGGCATCTTGACTAAGGCCCCAGGCCCCTTACCCCATTAACAATGACGATCTCATGTGCCAATGGACTTTGTATCCGGCTAATAAATATATTTAAAAAAAAAATGACTCAACTCATTTCGTGTCTGTAAAATTTTAACGAAGTAAAACGTAAATTACGATAGCAAAGGGTTTGAAACAACCCACCCTAAGTTTCGCACTTTCATTCTAATCACAGAACACAATTACCTAAAGGAAGAACGACGACTAGGAACACAGATTCTAAGATATGCGAATGTATCGCCGGCTATCACCTATGCGCAGGCGAAAAGCTGAAGTCTGCTGAACACCACAGATATAGTAGGGGACTGTCCATTTAATTTACTGTCATCGAAGTGTCAAATCTTTGTAGCAAACCGTAGATAGAGTATAGCTAGATGAGCTTCTAAAATAACATTAATAACTAAATAGAGAAGGCATTAACGTGAAATACTTAAGTGCGAGCGAAACAGAGTATCAGTTTTTCTGTCTCTATTTGTGTATCGGGTTTTATTTGTTTACCACCGAGCCCTTGGTGGTAAACAAGTTTTCACCGCTTACTGATAAATCTGTGAAACCCAAGTCAAACCAATATTTTAATACTTTAACCTTATAAGAGGTGTATTTAAAGTGTCAGTCATTGTGAATTTTTGCATAATTGGCTGTAAAAGCTATAGTGAACGTAAAGAACCAAACAAAACCTTTCATCGGTAAGTAGCTTATTTTGTCACGACTCAGTAACTTTGTTCAAGAATTATTCATTCGAATGTGTATTTTGGTCAATAATAAGCAATCTTCAATGAATTAAAACTGTAAATACGACATATGTCGATCATTCGCTATGTCACACGCTGTACGCTGATGCCTGTTCTATACCATAGTCCGTCTACGTACCAAACCCATAAACTAGGAAAATATGAACAGAAATTCTATTATTTTTAATATTATATATGTAGTGATAATATAATTTATTTTGGAAGTTTCCTTTTAAAGTGTTTTAAATATTGAATTTTTATACTGACCTATGAACAAGAACTAGCTGTTTATAAATGTGACAACTGAAATTCATTTATCTGCCAACTCATATTCAAGTGATTATCTGATGAAAGTTGCGTTCAATATATTAACTTTCTATATCATTATAACATCGAATATTTTTATTTACAGATATGATAAAATTACAATATTATTAAATAATTAATCTAAAATCATAATATATAATTATAGTTCAAGCGCATTAAGCAAATGCTTGTTACACTTAGAAATTATACAGGCTTCTTGTCTATGAACGTTTTCAGAAAATAGAATAATTGAGAACGCATGCGTATTGCGCATGTCGTACTCGCCATTTGGATTTCGGTCGTTTCTCGTTTTCCGTTCGCTGTGACTGACAACGCAGAAATAAATTTTTTGCTGTTTCTAATTTTTATCAGTGCTATAACGATTTAATAAAATGCCTAACCAGGTACTAATAATAGAGCCTCAAAATGAGCTGAAGTTTAAAGGTAAGTAGATACACTAACTTTTCCAATCACTGCGTTTTCGGCAGCCGCATTGGGACTTGGGCAACATAGGTCATGTTAACTAGTGACAAATGGAGTTTCTATTTCAAGATTTCAGTATTTTTTCAGGGTGCGGTTTTGACAAACTTTTTTGTTTAAAGAATAATTCCAATATAATTTTTCATTTTGTATCGGTACATAGGCTCTCAAATCGCGTAAACGTTGCAATGAGTCGGGTGGTAATTGATTGATTAGCCAACTCCATTTTCGTTGTCGAGTCATAATAAACTATTTTAACACAACAAAACCCATTTGTTTTTCTAAATTTAAAATATATAATACTAAGAGGAGTTAACCAGTTGTCAGTGGTATTATCTCTCACACATATTTTGATGAGGGTATCACATGTTACTCACTCATATTTACAAGTACTAAAATATTGAATAATATTGATTACCTGTTATTTGTAATTTTTATATACATATAAAATAGAACACTGTTTGTCATAATAAAGTATATAATAAAATATTTGTTCTACTTTAAATGGCTTATAACTAATTGCTTTATTAAATCTTCAGATGATGTAAACCTTTAAACCTATTTTAAAAATATAAAGTGTTATTTATAAACATATAAAATGATTTATAGAATGCATTCTTATTTATTTACTATCCATTTGACCCACAGTTACTAGGATAAAACAATCATTAGCTTTATGTAATTTATTATGTTTATGAGTTAAGATGTTACTACTTTTTAGATATGTTAAAACTTATTTTCTATAAATACCAGTAAATGCAATTTCTGTATTCATTGTATGCTTGAAAATAAACTGTATGATGCCCAAGTTCCAATTTTACTAATGATTTATACTATTAACTATATCGTTTACCTAATTCAGTATTGTAGTTAATCTTTCAGGGCTTTTTGACCAAGGCCATACAACTCACATGAAGCTCACTAATCCAACAAGTAATACTGTTTTATTCAAAATAAAAACAACTGCACCAAAAAAGTATTATGTCCGACCAAACTCTGGTGTTCTCGAGCCCAACGATAAAGTGGATATTGCAAGTAAATATTTTTTAAATATATAACATTAAAATTGTTATTATCCTCTTTTTTTGTTAATAATGATTTATTCTTACCAAACAATTTTCTATTACAGTCACTCCACAACATTTCTATGTAGATCCTAATGAGACCCATAAACATAAATTCATGGTGCAGAGTGTTATTGCTCCTGATAATAAAACCAACATTGATCAAGTAGTAAGTGTTCAAACGACATTGTGACATCAATTTAGTAAAGTCACAGTTATATAGTAATTTTAATATCTTCTTTTTCAGTGGAAGGAGACACTTCCCAACCAGCTCATGGATTACAAATTACGTTGTGTGTTTGTGTCCCCACGGGAAGGCAATACAAATGTAAGTCATAACTATTTTGTAGATGTCATATTTAATAGAATCATATTTATGAAGAATTTTTTCTCAATGTTCTTTGATAGCAGGATGCGGGTGATACTGCAGCCCAGAATGAAGTTACTAAAAAACTGGTGGCTGTAGCTGAAGAGGGCAAACCCCCAGCACCGAAATCTGTGTCTAAGGTAGTATTCACTATGTTAAGGGTTTAGAGTTTCATACTATTGTAATCAAATGTTATTTAAATATGATTTATGAATGTGTTTAAATGTTTAAAAATATCATGATTTCTAATATCTTAGATTTATGATACATGTGTGTGTGATACTTAAAATATTTTAGAAATGAGTCATTGCAAAATTTTATTTATATAATCATTCAATCAACTGCATATTTGTTTATAAAACTTTTCCTGACTTATATCTAATAAAGTAAATGACTCATTCTTTAGCCTTCATAAAGAACAATTGCAAAACAAACATTTATTGCATAGGATATAGCAATATTAATATAAGTACGAGTATGAAACTCTATTAGACCTGATTTGCTTTTTGCTTTATTTTGCCTTTCATATATTATTTATCCAGATAATCATTATTTAATTAGGGTCTTAAGTAGATACTTAACTTTTCTAGTAAAAGCAAATACATTTCTGTTTTGGATATTTTTACATATTTCTATTACAGGAAGAGTTAGTCAGTGTTTCGAAATCTATGAAAGCAATTGTCATGGAGGAGGTAGCAGATGATTCTAATAGCATTACGGTACTTCGGTTTTGTAAATTATTTATGAGAATTTTTATATTTCAGTAGTTTTAATGATATTTAATTACACAAGGTCTAATCTCAGTATGGATTTAAGTGTGCAATCATTTACATGTTACAGCTGAAGTTTGAATGCGCTCTTTTACTTATCTAACTAAAACCAACAACTTCCAGTTATTATTAAAATTGTTGTCTGATCAACTCACTGACTAGTGATTGTGACTGCTGCTAGTCTGCTGGATAGTGACTGCTGTAATAGACATGATATTATCCTGTGTTGATTGGTTAATATTGTGAACCTCAAATGACCTGTCTTATATTTATTTTGAAATCTATACTTTAAATTTATTATCACAATACAATTAACTAAATAATAGAAATTTAAGTGGTATTTTTAGGATATAGTGGAATTCATATTGCACTTTCGATTTCCTTCATTCATACTACAAGAACATTACAATTGCATTTTAAATTTTATTTGCTTGTATTTTAGTTCTCAAATTTCCGTTGGTTTTATATAATTAAATATTTTATTATTGTCTTTTATTTCAAGGCTTTCTCGAAGTCCGAAAACGTTGAGAATGATATGCAAAAAGTAACAAGCGAAGTAATTCATCTTAGAGAGGAAGAGAGTAAACTACGCCACGAAAACTTGCGACTAAAAGTAAGGACACTTATTTTTTTAATTATTTTGGGTTTTCAACTTTTGTAAGCCAAAAATTGCTGTCTGCAAACCATAATGTGCCAACCATAAATATCATATACGACTGTTTTTATAATTGCTAAAGCGAATCCTAATTAATATAGCTAAGCTTTGCTAATTGGTCTAATTGAGACGTCTGCAGAAATTTCAATGGATAATTTCTTTACCTACTCTACATCAAAATTTAGCAACATGGTTTAATTTTTAATATAAATTAGATAATTTTCTTGGAACTAGTGGTGCCATGTCATAATTTCGTTACAAATAGTATTATGCAAAGGCTATGAAGTATGACAAGCATGCAGCATGATTGAAGCTTGCATTACCCTTCCATAAAGTATAAATTTATTGTGTGATAAAAAACTTATTTTTTAAATGAATATGTGTAACTGTACTCTTATTGATTAAACAATTTGTTGCATAGCGATTTTTAACTGCTGAATTTTACTGGCTATTTGCGATTAAAACACATGTTATTATTTAAATTGACATGCCCGGTCAAGACTGATTTTCAATACAAAATTTACAGGAGGAGCTTCTGCGTTTGCATCAACAAGTAGGAGGCGAGCACACGGCTCAACGTGGCCACTCATACAGCCCTGATAGGAAGGAACAGCTCTCTGTACCATGGTTAGGTATCACCCTGGCTATGGCTCTTTTGGGAATCATCATTGGCAAGTTTTTCATGTGAATAATAGCCCCCCCATTTCGCGGATTAACCCCCACAGACACGCCCACATTACAAGGCAGCTTCGATCTTGCAAACTTCCGCTTCAGTGCCGCATTTGTTGAACTCATTGCGCGTTACACGTATTGGATGTTGTGTTTCTATTTGTGTGTGATTTTGATCATCATCGTCTGAATTAGAACGAGTTAGATAGAACGGTGGGCTTGTCGAGAGGTTAAAATGCGACTTAATGTTTCGATTTATAATATATTATTTGCAGCCATGACCGCGTCTTCACTTAATCAGTGTCTTGTTTGAATAATGTGAGAAGTTGCTGGTAATATGTTTTGTTTTTAATGTTGATTAAATTATAATTATGTTTTTATTTTAGGGCATATTTAATAATGTTGATACTATTGTCCAATGTAACGTTGATACTATTGTTCATGATTATGAAAATCAAATTGTGCACACATTATTACTTGACTATTCAAACCTGTTAGGTAATGTATGTGTATGTCAAAATGTAAGCTGTGGAGAAAAGTTATGTATATTAAAAAACCCATAGGTATTTCTTGAAAGGAATTAAAATATCTGACTTTGTTATTTTTAAATAACTACATCTTATTAATAATCTTTAATAAACAATGCACAACAACACTAAAGTGTTTTATTTCAATGAATCATCAAATATCAAAAAATATGTATCCATTGCTTTTCTCCATGGTTAACTATGTAAGAGTGTTCTGAAATAAGAAGCATCCTGTTTACTTTATAAATTCATACTTTCAACAGTGCAGTCTCTCTAGACTTTTCAAATTTGTCCATGCAATAAATATAAACATTTAGTGGCAAGCTAGTATATTCCTAAGGACATTTTTCTAAATTATACTTTGAAACATGGTGATTTTTTGTTTTGAGCTGGGAAACCAGGGAAGCTCATTAATATTTATACTATTTCTGTATACTATCTATATAGACTCAAAACAATTTTTTTACCAGTCATGCGTGTGCATAATAAATAGGCTTTGGATCTAAACCAGACATGTCTTCCATTTATTTACAAACTATCCATCTTCAATATATAAAATTGATTCCCTGCTAAATAAATCTACCTTTGACTAAATTTGGACGCAAACTCAGCATAAAAACGTACCATTGTCAGTCACAGTAAATTTAATGTACAAAATTTTAATGTTGTGTTAACTCACCAAACGACAAGCTCACCTAAGTATAATATTTGTCCTTTACTAAGAAAGATGTCGCTGTCGTTTGATTATTATTGTAATAAATTAATTATAGATACAAGTGCCTTCGTATGAGTTGAGGAAAAATGGTTAACTGCTGTCTGCAAAATGTTTTATTAACATTAAACAAACGACTCGCAAAATAAAAAGAACGAGAACGTAAATTTCAATTTGTTTTGAAACTTGTGTGTACTCACGTAAACTTATTAATATTTTATGTCTCCTATGGTATTTAATTACAAATCTTATACTCTTCTATACATTGTCTAAGTCGAGTTTAGTTTAAGAAGAGTTTACAAGTGGAGCTTTGGTTTGGGTGATACATTGCAACAAGAGTCATTTCTGTTTCCGAGTTATAATATTTTTTGTGATATTTACGAGTAGTGTTATAAATTGTCTTTTCTCACTCAAATTTTACTCATTATTAGCGAACCTTCCGCATCTTATCGGGATAGATAGATCAATCGATAGCGACACCAAATATACGATTTAATTCTGTCAAACATTTTAGTAACAACAGATATGACAGCAATTTTTTTTGTTCTCAAATTTGTTGTTCTGTTGTCAAATGTTAATGTCTAACTACTCGGAAGCCAAAGTTATGCCGTGTAGGCAATAATGTGGTTGTTCCAATCAATTAACGTCAGAAATTTTTAAATCAAAGTAATATTATTTTATTTCACATCTTACATTTGATTCATGTTTCTAATTTCTGAATCAATTGTAACTTCAATAAATCTTTAATGTTTCTATTTTAATTGGCCTGAATAGAGGCCTGAAAGTTTTACTGTTAAATATACTAAAATGCAACAAGTTGCAAATGCCAAACAGGTGGCTTAGTAATTGTTAACAAAATATTTTCTATGATGACTAGGAAGTGGATTTTTCTTATTTACTTATTAGAAAGAACCACTTTCTTCCTATTGTTTTGCTAACATGTTCTGAAGTTTTAAGAAAGAAGCCGCGGTTAAAGGCTTTCAAGTTAAATAATGTATAGTGTCGAGGGTTTCCGAAGATTTGATGTGGCTAGTCACTTGGTAAAATGTCAGAAAATTAAAATACAACCTATGTTATTATAGGTTGCCCAAATTTAAGAAATGCCAAAATATTGGCTAGTCTAAGCAACCTTATTCATTTCCCAGAAAATAAATTGGTGATGGAAAGGGAACTTGTTTTGGTCACGAGCAAAAGCGTTACTAATACTGAATATGCTGTCACTTTAAAATATATTGCATTTGTCTTTCGTTTTGTAACTAACGTCTAATAGTCTTACGAACAAGTACAATAGTTATTAATAATGCCACTGCCTGTACAAACAGTTCCGTAACAGCTATCTCGTTAATGATATTGCTATAGAGAAAATTAGTAAGCACGTAGTTTAATTAATATATGCTGTAAAAACACGACATTTATTTGCATGAATTTTGAATGATTTACACGTCTTTTCTGTTTCTAATGTATTATTATCCAAATTATATTGGTTATATCGAGAAACGATGTTCTAAATATATATATATTATACATATATTTAAAATGATTCTTATTATGTAGTTATAGTTTGTGTGAATGTATGATAAATACATTATGGCTTTGGATGTAATGTCGGTCGAGTAACTATTCATACCATGTAGAAGTTCTGCGGTGTAGCACTTTAAAAATAAATCGTATGATCAGTTATATATCTCTAGTTTGGAGTGATTATAAGCAACCATATTAAGAAGTATCGGTTCATTGGCAAATATTGTTATTACTGTATTCTCAAAAAATTATATTACCGCTTGTGAATATGTCGTGGATATTATGTTGGGTAAGGTTATTTGGATTGATAATGATTAAGTAATAAATTCTTAGGTTTATCTTTAAGTAAATACAGTAATATTTAAATTGAATAAAATTTCCGTGTGGTATTGTTATATTATGCTATATTGTATCGTTTTCTCAATAAAAGACTTAATTTATGACTACTTATTTATTTGCCTACCATTAATGCATACATGAATTTCTCATCATTCTAGCATGTTTAGTAATCTCTTTGTTTAAGTAACATACTTAACTGTCAGTAAATGGTGGTCTAAATTAATATCTAGATTAAATGAATCCTTATAACGTGTTTTTATTCTTACCGTTTACTTGAGGTAACTTGACGACTTGGACGTTATCTATAGAAAACGTTATGCTTAGTCGACACTCGACACAAAGGAATATATTAAAAGAAGTTATTTCAGACGTGAATAAAGGTATGATACTTTATTACTCTTAATACGGCTGTAATCTTTAACGATGTTTAAATGATCAATAGTGACATTCACTAGGATGAAATATGGCAAATCTAGAACAACACCCATTGTCAAATGTTTAAACCCACAGGATTTTCTATTACAGTGCTAAATAATACCATGAATCTATTACCTTTTCAAAATTTATCTAATCGAAATTTCAATATATTATCTATATTGAAATTTTATTAAGTATAAATTCAAAAATTAAGCTTGAAAGCTCTATTGGCTTGGGTATATTAAGCAAGAAATTATGTGAGGCAAAGTCGTCAGATACAGTAACAGAAATGTATGACTTTGTAATGCCTAACATTCCGTTCCGAATTCCTCTATATTTTAATGGTTTTTGTAAGAACAGTAATTTAAAAAGTACTTAATAATTAACATAAATTGATTTATAGATAAAACAGTTTGCTTAGGAAGCAAAGCATCAGTAAAGAAAATTTTGTATGAACAAATATATGGTTGAGAAATATTCTCATAGATGACGATGACTATTTTCGAAGATGATGTTTGAAGAAAATTATTTACAAAAGACATCATCTTATCAATATCTATTAACAGAATAAATATTTTACAAAGAGATAATGAGAGAGTATGCTAAATGTTAAGCGCAAGTCGAAACAAATCTGAGAAAAATAACTTATGTGATCGAATTGGCTTGTAGCCTAAGTGGGCCGGACTTGTCGCAAGAGCTTAAGACAATAGGTGGAGTTGAGGAGCTTTAAGACGGCCGTGACGTTGTTAGGCCGATGACCTAGTTAGTGCAGCTGGGCCGCGGCGGGACCAGGTAAGCCTAAGAATGAGGAAATGTATAATAATCGTAAATATAAAAAAATCAACTAATCAAATGCTATTTGATTTTGAAATTTTGTATACAATTCAAAATGTGAGAAACAGGCTTCATATTTTATCAAAAATCTCCCTACTTAAGTAAAATGCTGAGTCATTGAACACATCCCACTATGTACGTATTAATAGACATAACATTTATTACAAACGAAAATAAGTATGTAAAATTCTACAGCAGATTATATATGAGCAGTCTTGTAATCATAACTAAGAAAATATATTGTTACAAACCTATAGGTAAATATAAACAAAAATATAGGTACTGACGTCTTCTTGATTATTGTGTTCGGTTAGCCTATTATAATATAAAGGATCATTCAGTAGTCTGGAAACGAGTTCGCTGCTAGATCAAAAGAAACTTAAATAATAAAAATGAAATTAATATAAACGTTCCATAGTCAACCCCCTACAACGACTAGCTCTTAAAGCGCCTCGCAGCCTGTTATTCAGGTTCAGTTTCATAATTGCAATATTCAACATGTCAATAATTATTATAATAAATATTTTGTTTCTTTTATATTGCATTTTATTTTGTATCCTAGCTACCTATAGCCATAAGATTAAAGTCGTGGATGCAACTGCGTATAATTATACGTGTAATCTTATTTTGAAAGTCGCCTGCGGCTCGTTTCAAAAGACATGTTTTAACACCCTCTATTATATGACAGTTGCATAAACTACTATTTTTTGTTAGGAGAATAATGGTTTAATTAAATTTTCTTAAAGAAGTATGTAAATAAAAGTCTGTATTTCATATCATAATTAGAGTATTACCGATGAGATTATATAAAAGATAATAATATATAAGTATGTAGGATAATAGTATATATGGTACTACGATATGCGAAATAAATTTATTTATTAAACTTATTCGAATAAAACCAAATTGTGACTGAAAATTTATTTATATTGTTTAAAAATAAAAAGTACAATAACATGTTTACATCTTTTATTCGAGACTAAAAATCAAGCAAAACATCTAACTATTGTACATTTAACACTAAATAATTAATAATAAAAGTACATACAATTTTGAATATGAACCAAAATAGTAAATACAATTGAAAGAAATGCGACACAGAATACTTTTAGGTTAAATTGATAACCTCTTTCAGGTAATTTAAAGTCTGTCGATTGCTTAGTCTTCGAATAATAATCACAATTACTAGAGCTTAGCTTAGCGTACTTTATTCGTATAGAAAAATAATAGTCTCTAAAAATGGCTGATGCTTGACCAAACAATTAAATACTGTGCATCCTTGAGATCATTTCAAAAGTAAATCTAAAAAACTATTCTTACAATAAAAACTAAAAAACAACAATGATAGTTTAAGTTAATCTTTTCTATTATTTTGAATATATTGTTTTAAGTACTTGATTAACGTTCTTTTGATTTCTTACATAGGTGTAATCATCCTTTGTAACAAATCAGCATTAATTCAGGGCCAGCCTTTATTTTTACAAATTACCGATGGCGATACATGTCTTGAATATCAAAGTACCAGTTCAGTGTTACATTAGTTACATATTAATTTAAAGTAAAGTATAGTAAAGTAAACTAAACAATACAATCGCAATAATTAAATAAAATGTAACACCATTGTAAAAAACAGAAAGTGTCAAAAAAAAGTCTATAAATTTATCACTTATTATTAAGATAACCATCTTAAAATACAATGTCAATAAACACCTTACACTATAGTTAACATTTAAACGTACGTAAGATTATAGAATCTCATATAAAATATAAACTATGAAACAAAAATAAAGAAAAAAATAGCCTATAAATTAAATAGATTTAACGTCGAACTAGTCTGGAATGTCAATAAATAGACTTATAATGGTAATGTGGTAAATATATTTAAAACTATGACTAATTAACGAAGTGTCGAGGCTAGTCATTCTTGACGCATTATCTATAATGTCGTTAAGAAATAATTTGGGGATGAGACTAAGATTTTATATAGCTGTCCTTGCTCCGATCTTATAAACGAAAACCTATTAGATTTATTTAAGCTTGAAGCGTTAATCAACACATAAGCTAGTCAGGAACAGTTTACTTTCTATTTGACATTAGTATGTCTATGTCTATGGCTTAGTAGCCATAACCTTTATAGATGTGAAGAAAATACGTAGTCGTTACAAGATCGCTTATGAAATAATGATTTCTTTATATACAGAAAACAAAGGTAATTTAATTTTTTACAGCAACTCAGATTGATCTCTTATGGAAAAAATATTTTATAGTGCACACGGTAAACATCATTTAAAAAAAAATTCAAGTAAAATGGTTTAACATAACGCTAGGACAAAATAAAGTTATTTACTCATTAACTTTGATTCTTCACTGAAGGTCGGTTCATCCTTTAAGAACGTGCCTGATCTTCCTATTGGCCTTGATTCCACATCCTTTGCTTTTTTAGGCACCTTCTTCGTTTTGACGGGTTCCTTCAGAACTTTCGTCACTATTTTAGCTGAACTGGCTTTAGTAGCCATCATGAGGGAACCAGGAAATGAAATCTTCGGTTTAGGTATATTTGTTGACATCCTACTGGATTGTGTTTTATATGTTTTTGGTTCATTTTGAGCAATTTGACGACGACATTGGCTCTCAGTTTTGGATCCAGCATATGAATATAAAGGTATTTTTGTTGTGTTTCTATTGGAGCTTATACTATGTTGCGTCGTTACTGCTGTAACAAAGTATTTTATATTTTATTGCAAAATGAATCTACTGCTTAAGTATTGGAGATTCATCAGACCCTTAATATCAATCGCAAGACGACACGAAACATTAGAAAATGGGATGTTCGAATCCACATGTTTTTCCGCTTTATCTCCGCAATTCACTCTTACTCAAAGAAAAAAATAGAAGGCTTAGTTGGCTAAAAATAATATGATTAAAGAAACTGATTAATGACCAAGCCAAGACCGATGATGATTATAGCCACTAGACTATTACTTATTATACTTTAGATTATTAAAGTCACCAGTGACTAGAACCGTTCGAACCACATCTATGCATCAATGGCCTGATGGCCTGGCAAGACTTAGCCCTAAAAATCGATAGAGTGTGTCAGGCACACAAGGCCGATCATCTGCTTGCCGTTTATGAGGAAATTAAGTTGGTACAGACATCTGATCTCCTCAGATGTCTGTTCCAACTTAATTTGGTTGGTGGGTTGTAGCGCCACTGTCTTTTTTGGTACATAATTATTAAAACAATAACTAAAATGGATAAAAAAGTACTGTCTGCACATGATGCGAATAAGTCTAAATCAATTTTAATGTATTTTTTAATACACATTTAAAGCACACTTATTATACTTATACTTACATTCGATAGATCCTTTGAGGGCGTGTTTTGTTTTGGTGTAAGTACCGTACTTGTTACTTTGCGACTCGCTAAGTGAATCCGTCGATGGTTCGGCAGTTCTCGGCCTCGATGTAGTTGCAAGGCTATCTTCGGACATTGCTTTAGCTTGTTTTATCTCATTCCTTTTAAGCACGGGACTCGAGTTACGGGAGCTCTCGGTAGATGACATAACTTTATTAATAAAATTCTTTTGCGGCATCTTTGTATCTTTACACGAATTCGGGTCAAGGTAACGTGGTGTTTTCGCTGATGGATTTTGTGAATTCGATTTCGCAGGTCCCGTCTTCGACATATTGTATATAGCGCGTTTTTCTTGGGCCCGCGTTGTCCGTACTAAAATCGGTTTTTTCTTTTCTCGCTCACACTTAACTTTCTCTGTGGTTACTGCGTAGGGTTTTGCTTTGTAGGGAACGAAAGACTTTCGTACGTGTTCCATATCAAGGCTTTTTATTATATCTTCGCAAGGTTTAGTTTGAGACATGCTTTTGGTATATCTTCCTGGTATGGGTGAGAATGTAGGGTTCGCTTGATGTCCGTACACAATACATCCAAGTTCTCTCAGCCTCTTCCTTAACTCCGTTGGTAAATCTTTGAATGCTTGAGTGCTGACGACGCGCGGTGCGGCTCTGACCAATGTATTCTCACACTGCAAACGCCAATTATTGGCGTTTGTGTACAATAGGTTATCAGGGTCTGCGACTTTCCCGTTAACATTTAAAATCAGATCTGCCTTAGACCGAATTATTTTAACTAGGTTTGATAGAAAGGCGTATGCTTTGCAGGTTTCGCCGGGTGGAGCCCATTCTATAGCTGCTGTTAAACAGTCCTTTAAAGCCTGCTTTGCTAACGGAGCTGAGTCGTTTGGAACGGTGGCGATTAATTCGAGGATTTGAACTAGTTTCGGTGCAGCAAAATGCGCGGCTGCGTTAACCAACCGTCGGCACATTTGAGCCACTTTTTCAGCCCATTTTGTATTTTCCAGTATACCAACTAAAAGATAAATAAAAACGATAACGACTTAAGCCTCAACACACCGAGATGATGATCAAGAATCAAACATTTAAATGGATACGTAGTCAACGAAGAAATATCCAGGCCAAAGGAATACGATACAATGCTACTAAATGACATCATTTTAGATAAAATTAGTTGCAGTTCGCAATTAGAAATCGTGCTTTGTTTCGCGTTCCTTACATTATAACACCGAGTATGCAACAACTCAGTATCGCGTAGCCACTATTTTAACCTCGACTTGTTTAGATGTTTTCGTTCTAATAAAATTTGGCTATATCTTTTATAATTGTTGGAGCTGTAGGAACACAAATAAATTTAAATCATTTGGCCTGGATATTAAGAAGCGTGTTTTACGCTATACATAATTAATCATTAAGTTATATATCATTGAATCAGAAAAATAGTCTAGATGTTTTTTTAAAAAGTAGCTTAAAAGATGAAGAATTCATGAGGCAAAAGCTGACCTCATATTTTTAGGTGAATAATATTTCTTAACATTTTGGAAAGATTGAATCCCGATATGCTTACCTATGCTTCCGCATCCATACACCGTGTCGAGAAAATTATCAATTGATAAATTAACAACATGCTCTTGGTAACATTTTTCTAAGAGCTCCTTTGGTAATGTAGCGAATGGTTTCGTCGGCCAAATGGTTGCAAAATGTTTTGTCATCCATCTTAAGATTTTGCGGTACAGATCGTCCAACCCATACACAGCCGATAGCGGTAAGCACTCGACGACACCCACAATACAAATTGAGCACGGCTGAAATACAAACAAGTGTTTGTATTAAAACATGGGCTAAATATAAACAATGAATAACAAAAGACGTTGGTATGTATGGGCCATTTGACAATGAAGACGGTACGACGAATCGTTTTGCGCATCTGTGATTTGACTCACGCATTCAATGAGACATTCAAGCTAAGCTAATTGTCAACATTGCGTCGTTCACGTTGGACAAATAAGTTCGCCACTGTCATTAGAAGAAATTTTAACGGTACTGTCTACTTAATGTACATAGGCCAGCTTTCCACCACCACATAAAATTTGACCAGGTAGCCGACACTAGGTAATAAAACAGATAATGGGCTATTTGACAAAATTTTAAAAACTACTTTAAACTTCAACTATTATTTATCAGTAAAAATAGAACCTACACAAATTGATATTTTTAATTCTATGACGTAAAAATTATTTAAAAATTCAAATTAATTATTAATATAGGACATATGACATTGCACCAGCCTTACTATATAAACCAATATAAAGATTTTACGTGTTTTTCTTCACTAGGAGCGAGTGTTAAATGCGTACATGGTCAGTCAAAATGCACAGGGTTCGAACCTTTGACACCAGGATTGAGTTGCATGCTAATGCCATTAGAACAAAACTGGTCAACTGCTTGAAATTTAAGTACTTCTTTAGAAAAAATATTACACTAACCGTATGGAAATTATGACAATAAGTGACTTTAAGCTTGACCATAATTGCTTCCTTGAGTCCCTCTAGTCCCAACATATCCGCCATGGCTGCTAACTCAACAATGCGTATACTGTCAGGAAGATCGGACGTTCCCGAATATATATGGCACAGCACAAAATGAACGGCCTCAAAGGAAAATCTGAAAACAGAAATGTATTACAATGGTGCCTCTAATGTCTCAAGCAAATAATTAATTGAATCAATGTCTGAGGAATCGAAATATATAGAATTTGCTTTGAAAATGCTCGCAATGAGCACATCACTCAGTGCCAAAAGCAGTTGGGACTGAGATCTTCTCGAAGACAAAATAAAGTAGTCAAAGTTAACCGAAAAACAAAAGAATAACCATTTATGAAAAAAACATCTACATCACCATCCCATATACAAATAAAACTTTAAACACAGAAACAAAATACTCACGCATTTCAAATTTACAAGAATATTGCATGTACATCATCATAAAAAAACCTTTAATTCAAAAATTAAATACAAAAAAAGTGTGAAACAAGAAGCATTCAAGTTTCATTATGAATTAGCAAGATAAAGAAATAATAGAATAATACAAAGCAGGATAATCAAAATGAGAACGAACTATCCCCTGAAATCACCAAAAAATGCAAGTGAAAATGCATCTCACTTTAAATAAACAATTCATAAACCTAAAATTAAATTGCTAGTTACTTACAACGATAAAGTAATGACATTTCCAGCACTTTCGACCCAGCCTCCACTAAGCATTCGAGCGAAATATTGACATCTGCAATATAATAACACATTAACAATACTGTTCAAAGATATACAAATGACAGGATATTTTTGAAAACATTGAAATATATATTATTAAATTTATTGCATTGAAAATAATATTTGATATATTTCGGTTGGTAGAAAATTTCAAAAGTACAAACACAAATAGTAAGATTATTCGTGACGCTTAATTAAAAACAACTGCTAGCACATGGCAATAAATTAAGCCACTCAGAGAAATAAAAAAATACAGAATAAAATAATATAGAAAAAGTGTATACAAAATAAAACAATTCACACATGCTTAAAACTGAAACGGGCATAGACAACATAATATGATAAGCAACAAGAGAGAAAAGTGGACGTAAATAATAACAGAGTCATAAACAAGACGGGCATTACATTCGTCATTATGAATGTGATACAATGTTCTGTAAAACCGATAGGACATATAAAATTAATGACTACTTTGTATAGAAACAAGAAATATTTTTGTTATTGGCATATTGGTATTCGTTGATGCAATGTCCGAGGAAAGGCTTAACGTAACTCATTTAGCACAAGCTGTTTTAGACTGATTCGTTCTGCACCTACCTTCATTAAGTATAATGAAGGTAGGTGCAGAATAGTATTTCAGTAGAAATACTATTTTTAAGTACTCAATAACTTAACTTACCGGGAAGATAAAATACATTTATGCGCTTTAATACGTTTTCCAGCCACCTCTACTATAACATCCGGCGCTATTTCCTCTATGAACATTCGAAGCAAATCTTGCCCTAAACGGGACTGACAATTAACAATCAAATTTGCTACGTGACTTGACTCTTCTGTTGTACTTTCTGGAAAGTAAAATTATTTTTATACTAAATCAGATTAAAGTATCTTATAAAAAATTCTCGTGTCACAATGACCGCTCCCATACTCCTCCGAAACGGCTCGACCGATTCGTATGAAATTATTAATACATATTCAGTAAGTCAGAGAATCGGCTACTATCTATATAGTATATTTCAAACCCCTTAGTGATAAGGGGTGTCTACCCCAACAAAAATATTTTTACTTTTTGGATAAATTTTTTATTTCTTTATTCTATGTGGCATTAAAAAATACATACAACCCTTAATTTTCACCTCTCTACGATTAACTCCTATTTATTATTATAGTAGATAGTTATTTTTATTGAACTAAAAAATGTTTCCTAGAAATAATATACATGGCAAAACAACGCTTGGCCAATGGCGCTAGAAACTTTTTGGTCTGGTCTCTCAGATTTCTGTTATTATTTCGTGGTCATTTATTTTTCGTAATAAGCCAGTAGGTGATCAGCCTTCTGTGCCTGAACCGCACCGTCGATTTATCGGGTCTAAGGCAGTGCGGTTTCCTCATAATGTTTTCCATCACCGTACGAGTTAGTTAGATGCGCACTTAGAAAGAAGAATCTATTGGTGTTATGCGCCGTGATTAGAACACACAAAACAATTAAAAATATATTAACTTACCAACAATAGAGCGGCATGTACTGCTTTGGACACTGCTAATTTCAGAAACATCCGACGTCATATTCGGCTCATCGGTCTCTCCGGGACTTGGAACTATACCAGGCTTTAATAGCGACGTCCTGGCTGACAATGACCCGGGCATACTTCTACTGATATCATTCTTTAAATTTGGAAAAAGTCTATTTAAGCTCAATGCGTTCTCAGAGTGAAAAGAACTTAGCAAACCTATCGATACACAGGTAGACTGATATTGTTTTCTCCAGTTGTTGTCTGGAATAGATCTAGTCATTCGGGCGTCATTTGCTGTCTCAAGACGTTCAGATAAATCTGTTTGTGACACTGGATTATCCAAGTCGGACAATTTTACGTAAGAATCGGCCTTTTGAAAAACTTCTTGACATATTGCAGATTTGCTTTGCTCACTGTGGTTTCGAAATGGTTCTTGAGACAAACTTGTTTTCTCATTTTTATTCTTTTTTGTTTTTGGTGTATGAATTATTTCAGTAAGACTTATATTTGGGTCGTTACATAAAGCTTCTATTACTTCAAACTCAGATAGTGTAGAGTTGTTACACAATGTGGTTTTTTCGGTCAATGCAGACTGGCGTTTTTCAGCATTTATTATTTTTGAATTTTTATTAGGTTTTTCTTGAGCTGGTTGACTTTTATCGATTTGTCTTTTTACGTTCAGTGCGGATGATAGTCTACTGGGCATCTCCTTTACTGGTGCCTTATCACCTAAATCGACAAATATGTTGAAAATCTTACTTTTTTCATGCGCATTATCTAACTCACTTGTTTTTTTAGGAGGCAACGAATCAGGTAAACTTGACAAATCGATAAAATATTTATGGCTCGACCTTTCATTTCCCGAATCGAAGGACACTTGGCTTTTAGTGTTACAATCATCATCGCTATTCTCATTTTTTAGCTCCGCAAATCTTCTGTCAGAAGTCGTATTTACCACACAATTAGTAGTATTACTTGTTACGTTTTTAGTTATCAAGGAATAGTCATCCATTTTGTCCAAAGATTTAACTTCTTCGCTGGCGTTTAACCGAGAAGAATCATGTTGAGTATTTATTACATTGGCAGAAGCCTCTTGTGATGTAGTCAATACTTCAGCCCTATGTAGGTCATGGACATTATTTGTGTTCACTGATAAAATAGAATTATTCGGTGTTGAGGCATAAAATACTGGTTCTATGACTGCAACAAAGTCAGTATTTATTTCTGAAATTTCACTTGGTTTCTTATTCATTATTGTTGGACTAACGTATTTTTCATTTATATTCAACACAGAATCATGCGCAGATGTAATATTTAAGACTGAAGTTGGTTGTGCTGTTGTTTGATTAAAAGAATCTTCGGAATCATAAAACTCAAAATCATTGTGTACGTCTAGATCATTTGTGGTATTAAAAATAATTTCCTGTGAATCTTTTCCTAAATCAGATGACATGCAAATATCATCCATATTAATGTACTAGGTGCTTGGTACTTTACTTCTGAAGACATATGAAACGAGTACGACTTCACTTTTAAAACAAATATATGGGTAAGAAAATTAAGTATTCTGCACGCCACTTCAATGTCCGATATATAAATAGATTCATCGAAAATCTGTAAATAAAATGTAATCAATGTTATTACTAATTTAAATAAAGGTTCATAGAAAATATACTAAGAAGAGGAATAAAGTTTACGCCAGAGAAGTAAATAAAGCTAGTTATAATAACTATACAACAACACATATATTATATCAATTCTACAACAGCAAATATACTCAAGATTTTTTTAAGTCAGGATCAAGTTCAGTTTCATAGAATAATTTAATCATATCTCAGGAACAATATTTCATTTTTGTTCAAAGTCCATTTATTTAAAAACGCTATTTAACATCATGCTATTAGTAACAGCGGAGCAAAACAAAGAAAAAAAATCCTTTTTGCCTGGGTTGCATGTGCTCAAGTCATGTGTCAGCATACATCTATCTTTTAAGATTGGGTTGTTATGTTATGTAAATTTGTTTCAAAATTGTACATAATGTGCAAAACTGTTGTTATGACATTAATCTTAATCCAAAAAAAATCTTATACATCATACTTTAGAAACATAATTGGCCTTGACATTATTGGAACTTAAAAATTATCTTGGAAGATTTAAAATACCACTTCAAAAAAATAATGGTCACAAACATATCTTGAGGTGCTAGAAAAATCAATGTGGAACTGCTATGCATAGATAGCAAATGAAAACAGGTTAGGTAATAATTAACCTAATACACAACACCATGATTTAAAACTTATATTGCAATCCAATGTAAAAAACTTATTGTCTATGATCCTAAGACTATCTTATTGACCTGATATGTATTTTATTTTACACTTTAGGTAAATTAACTATTAAATTGTATTTTTTAATTAATAAATTAACACTAAAATATATAATACTTATATTTTTTTCATATATAATGTTGCTTTACAAACTGTACCTTTAACTTTTATTTCAAATATATTTTTATAAAAAATACAAAGTGAAACAAGGATAATGTAGTGATAATATGTTAGCTTAGTTGGTTTACTATGATTATAAAAGATTTATACCATGCAAAACAATAACAAAATAAAGTATATAAAATTTTCAAATCAATAAATTGATGAAGAAAAATATGAAGGTAGGTAAGTAAGTAAGGTACAAAATTAATTAATACCTACCTAATTATAAGTGGTAGGCATATAGCTCACACATACTAATCATCAATATTACTTGTATTCAATTCATTTGCATTTAGATGTTACTTCATACTAAAATATGACATCATCAAACATCAGATAATTCAAACAAAAAATAAGATACCTGGCTACATAATGTAAGCAAAAAATCAAACAGGAACTTTCTGGGATTGGGTAGTTTTCTATATAATAGGGACAAATATATCCTTTTAGAATTTCTTGGTAGTATAGGATTGGTACATAAGCAATTTATGTAGCCAAACTTTAGAGAAAAAAAAAGGATATTTTAGATAGTATTATGAAGAAGTTCTACACAATCAAACATTTTATACTTTTAACTAATAATTGTTAATACATTTCAATTAATACTATTTTAATTAATCTAATGACACCTTATATAGGTACGAGTAAATAAGTTTAAGTAGGCGTAAGTATAACGGACAAATTATGTTATTAGAACCAATAATTTTATAACATGTAAGTTATAATTAAGCCTCGTCTAAAACTAAAAGATATTGTACTTTACCACTAGATTCGTGCTTCGTCGTTTAGGAAGTATAATACAGTGCGCGAACTCAATATTACTAGTCACTACTGTTCAGAGGTCACTACATAATACGAATACCGGACAAAAATCAAATTAAAAACCGGTGGTAGAAAAAAATAGGAAAATAAGTATTAATATTCAAGTAATTATTATTTTTCCAAATTTAAAATAGAATTCGCAGTATTTGGTGGATTGTCACCTCGTCTGTCACACTATCTATAATAATTAATATACTAAAATCTAAATACATAGGTCCTAATACACAGATAATAAATTAGCGATATTTATTTTTTGACTAACTTTATCTATATATAACGTCCTACGATACATAGATAAAGTATATATTATTTATATTTGCGGATCGATCCACAGCGCCATGTTTTTGGGAGCCGATAACCGATTTGGAAAGATGTCAAATAGCTACATAGAAAATGCCGGTATTATGTCTATACTACTTAATAAGGACAGATTGTCTTACCTTTATTTTGGAAACAGTGATTTGAGTCGCTGTGATAGATTAGTCAATAATTCCTTTAATACATTTATTCTTAAAACAGATTGTTCAATTATCACAAAATAATATCGCCATCAGTATATATCTAATTCAAAGCATTGCGCGTTCTTTAAATTTTAAGGTACTGCGCATGTTATAATTTCCTATAGGTTGAAACCATAGATGACTAATATATAACAGGTTGAAACTACGACACAAGATGCACTATGCAACCATGCTAATTTAATAGTTCCTAAATAATTCAAATAATTGTTTGATTATTTGAATTATTTGGTAGTAAAATTAGTATAATCATATGATTTAAAAAAATATTAATGTGTACTATAAAATTATTTCTTCCCTGCTTTATTTAATGAACTGAACAAGTATCTAGTTGACATTATTGCCTAAATAAGTTATCATTAGGGTGCGCAGACACGGGCAACTAAAATTGCTCAATTCCAGTCAATACTCGTCAATTATGACGTCACGACTACGTCAAGCAATTTACGGCAACGGCAGCAAGCATCAATACTGCGCAATGCAATATTGAGCGATATGGCGCAACTTCATCAACTAGGCAATACTGTCCTACACGAGCATTTCAGTATTCGCTCGCTATGGACGACATTCTTCTTGCTGCGGCGGCTTGTAGCGCTTTTTTTATTATTAATCAAAAACAAAAAAGAAAGAAAAGGAAAAGGCGTCTGGTGCGTCAAATCTGGGTGCGATCGTTTTTGCCAAAGAGGCCGAAATTTTCATTGTGAAAATAAAATTAAACAATTAAAGAAAAAAATAATTAATTCATTAAATTTTTTAATTTTTCTTTAATTCTTTAATTTAATTGTTTTTTTTTTTCAAGAATTAGATAATATATTATTCAAAAACTTTACTAGAATGTCACGAACAGACTTTGAATTACTTTTGAATAAAGTAATTAGAAATTATTATTATTTAGACCTCTCGCTCTCCCCGCGGAAGCAAGACGGCAAGCCGCAAAACAAACAAGTGCGAATGAGACATACAAAAATTGCTAGGAATTTCCAAGTCCATTGGATATTCGTCAATTCGTATCTGCGACATTGAGCGATATGAAATATCTGGAGCAATTAGAAGCAATATCGCCGAAATAATTTATTGAAATTGCTCCATTAATTGCTCCAGATCGGTCCATTCGTGTCGCCGAGCAATTATTGCCCTCGTGTAAGCGCACCTTTAGAGAATAAAGAATAGAAACCACGCTACCAATTATTACATATGTAAAGGTGCGCTTACACGGGCAACTAAAATTGCTCAATTCCAGTCAATACTCGTCAATTATGACGTCACGACTACATCAAGCAATTTACGGAAACGGCAACAAGCATCAATACTGCGCAATACAATATTGAGCGATATGGCGCAACTTCATCAACTAGGCAATACTGTCATACACGAGCATTTCAGTTTTCGCTCGCTATGGACGACATTGTTCTTGCTCCGGCGGCTTGTAGCGCTTTTTTTATCATTAATCAAAAACAAAAAAGAAAGAAAAGGAATATGCGTATCTGGTTGCGATCGTTTTTGGCAAAGAGGACAAAATTTTCATTATGTAAAGATGATATATTATTCAAAACTTTACTAGAATGTCACGAACAGACTTTGAATTACTTTTGAATAAAGTAATTAAAATTATTATTATTTAGACCACTCGCTCTCCCCGCGGAAGCAAGACGGCAAGCCGCAAAACATATACAAAAATTGCTAGGAATTTCCAAGTCCATTGGATATTCGTCAATTCGTATCTGCGACATTGAGCGATATGAAATATCTGGAGCAATTAGAAGCAATATCGCCGAAATAATTTATTGCAATTGATTGAATTTATTGAAATTGCTCCATTCATTGCTCCAGATCGGTCCGTTCGTGTCGCCGAGCAATTATTGCCCTCGTGTAAGCGCACCTTTAGTCCTTTATTTCTATTAGCACACTGATGCGTAAAGCCGGCTCCAGACTCTCGCAAGGCGCCTCATCGAGACCCCAACCACCAATCTTGTTGAGTGGAATCCATCAGATTTATTTAGTTGATCTACTTTATATGCCTGCCAATATTATAATGTCTTGCGTTTATATCACAAATATGAATAAAAAATATAATGTCATGCCGGTATAATTTAAATAAAATTTAATTTAAGCTTTTTCTTTCTTAGGTGTCCTCTAAAAGTCGCCATTAATAACTTCTTTTAGTTTTTAACTTCTATATAAATATATTTAAGTCTTTGCTTACCCAATCCCACTTTTGGATTACAAAATGTTTGGTTCTATTTGATAAAACTCTATAAATGCGATACACAACTCGTAACTCCACTCCGTCATGATAAGAAAATGTGCGCTTCCTTACAGTTCTGAGTCAGCGAGCACGAGAGCGTTGTTGATGCTCGTTCCTCGCCCCTCCTGCAGCGATGCAAGAGCACCGTAGACAGTGGGGATATGGTGGTACATGGTTGTTTACAACATCAGCCTAGTCGACAATATGATCTAATTTTTTATTCAATGAAAATTGCGGCCAAAAACGATCGCACCCAGATACGCCTATTCCTTTTCTTTCTTTTTTGTTTTTGATTAATATTAAAAAAAATGGTGCGTGTACTTAGGTACGCGCGTAAGAAGTTATACTTCTTTGGCTTTCTTTATTTTTTTTAATATTAAATAATTAAATATACATATTTAGCGTTAATAATTTAACAATATTTAATATTTAGTATATTATTCAATTATTAATTAATATTAATAATAATATTATTATTTTATTATATTATTAATTCAATTTAATAACTTGGTATGTTTCATAACCTTTTAACTAAGTAACAATAGGTATTTGTGAAAAAGCATTCCTAAATTTCTTTGAAAAAATAATGTAAACTCCTTTATTTGTTTAAAAGGTACTACAAATGTCATTATGGTTATTCAAAATTCTTGGCATAGCTGCTAACGTCACGCATATTCTATTTCTTTTTACTTGTAGATTGTCTTATTCCCATCTCGCTCGCGCACGCTCGTCGCCCATACTGATAATTTTGTGTCACGGTGCGCGCGCATCGTAAAATTTCACTCTCATAAATTTTTCATAACGCGCCTAAAGAAGTATAACTTCAAAAAGTGCTACAAGCCGCCGCAGCAAGAACAATGTCGTCTATAGCGAGCGAATACTGAATTGCTCGTGTAGGACAGTATTGCCTAGTTGATGAAGTTGCGCCATATCGCTCAATATTGTATTGCGCAGTATTGATGCTTGTTGCCGTTGTCGTAAATTGCTTGATGTAGTCGTGACGTCATAGTTGACGAGTATTGACTGGAATCGAGCAATTTTAGTTGCCCGTGTAAGCGCACCTTAAGATGCTTTTGCATGTTATCATCTTATTGAAAATACTACACAATATAGTATGTACATTTTTAAGTGGGTATCTACGATACGTTACAAGGTCCAAAAATAGTAATTGATTTATGAGTTTCAAACTGCACAATAAAAAATCAAATATATAGTTATATAAGTAGACATATAGTATGTTATAGCAGATAATGAAACATACAGTATAGTCAACTGTCAAGTAAACTCTATAGTTTATACATAATCTTTACCAGTTTATACTCCTTAGTCCTTGCCTGTAGCTGTTATAATGCAAATTGTAGCTAGTGAATTTAATAAAAATCATTTCGTAGTTCGAATCTTTGTATAAAATCACTACGTCTTTTTACTTGTCAGTGATTTCATTAGTCTACATCATTGTTATGAATTCTGATCCTATTCAATTCAAAATGGCTTATGTTAATAGTACGTAGTATAGTTATGATTTTCTGAATTCAGCCATTCATGGCAATTTAATTGATTACTCTTGTTATGTTATCGAGAATTTAAATCCCAACGATGATGATGCCTAACGCCACTGATAACAATTGGGACCCTTGTAAGTATTGCTTTGTAATTTTAATTATTTTTATACATCATGAATATAAAAGCTCAGTTAATTAATATTGTAATTTATACTATATTAATCTGAACAAATTAATTTCTGGGTCCCTTATGATTAACTTAAAATTACAAATTTTAGCCTTGAGTAGACTGTTGACATCATTAAAGGAAGTACAGTCAGATGGTGAAGATGTAGCATTCCTTAGTGAATTGTTGCAATCAAAACAACTGCATGCTCTTGTACAAGTCCATAACAAAATAGTAGCCAAAGGAAAGGATGACAAATTTTATCCATTGTTATCAAATGCAATGCAAGTTACTTTAGAAGTTTTAGAAATGTTTGGTGAATTGAAAACTGTCTCCAAAGAATTTCAAGAGCTCCTGAGTTTACTTCAAAAACCACATTTTCAGGTATCTTTGAAACACAATTTTGTCTAGATAGAACTAAATTTTTGATCGAAGGTAAGTTAAGGATTACAGCTGCTATTGATAGCTAAGATTTTTTTTCCTGTTTTGCTTTAGCTGGCAAGTTTTGTCTGCTTTTATACTGACATATACTATTAGACTCCAAACTTAAATAAATATTCAATAATATTAATCAGTGTGTTATAGAATGTAATGTAGTAAGATGCTCTTGCATGTTGTTTGTCTGTTGAACTAGTTTATGTATTTCTCTAAACCTTATTGACTTGAAAGGCTAAAGTGTCTTGATGGATTCAGTGAGTTATATACTAGCTAATATTTCAGTACATTTTAAATATTTTTGAAATAAACATTTAGGTTGATATCAGCCTGATTTATCTTTCAAAGTATTTTTTGCAGAAAGTACAATACAATAGTATCCCAATACAAAGAAATTTTAAAATTCTTCTGCCCTTCAATTACAGGCCATTTTGTGCACACATGATGCAGTAGCTCAAAAAGATTATTACCCACATTTACCAGACATTCCTCCAGATGGAGATGAGGATGAAGAAACTGTCAAAATTGTACAATTAGTTAAAAGTGATGAACCCTTGGTAAGTTATATTTTATTTAAATTTAGCTTTAGATGTTTGTTTTATTAATATAATGTTTATTTTGAATTAAAACATCTTTATTGCTTATATTGTGGATGGGATCTTAGAATGTTTATAAAGCATAAAGGTAAAACTTAAGTTATTTGGGCTAAATAATAAATATTAAACACAAAATAATAATCAGTTAAAAAACATCATTTTTAATTAATCATCATTATGTTTCTGTATAAAATTAATATTTTTAAACAGAGAGTTATTTTCTCAATACCTATAAAAGTTGTGTTACCATTTAGAAATAGCAGCTATGTGTAACTAAAGCTATGTATATCTTTTTATTCAAATTTATTCTTATTTCAAGAGTAATCTCAATTTATAACTTCTTAAATAAATTCTTTCTATGTACTTTATATTTATTGCTAAAATATAAATTTCAAGGACAAAGCTTTTGACGGTGAAATAAGAATTCATTACCATTGTAGCTTTCTTAAATTAAATATTCAATTTGGATCTTTTATTAAAAGGGTGGAGCACTGAGTGCAGAACCAATTGTGGTAAGTTTTATCATTACTTCTTGCTTTTTCATCATTTATTCCCTTCATATTTTTTGTCGACTCATCCGCCTTAAATATTTTTCTATTTTTTATAGCTGCTATATCTAGATGTTGGCACAATTTGTATTGTGGTTTGCAAACCCCCTATAGTGTAAAATTTTGTTAATCATCACTTTATGTTAAACATTAACCAGATTGCTTGTTATGAAGTTTTTTTATTACCCGACCCTTTAAATTATTTTTTAAGCATATTAGAGCATATATTTTAGTAATTTAGATACGCTGGTATATGAAGAGTTAAGATATTGCTTTGGGTAATAGTAAATATGGTTTTATATATTATCTTTGGTTAACGGGATGACTACACATTCAAATAAAACTTATTCAAGGGATATACACATTCATCACATCTGACATTATTCACCTTAACTGGACGATTCTTTAAAACTTATTTTAGAACTTTAAGCAATTATGTTAGCTAACCTAAATTGTGCCATATTATTAAATTAAAAATTGTTTTCTTTAGTTACGACTTTAGTAGGTATAAATCACATTTAACGTTATACTTTTAAATTGATATTATATAAGATAATATTAATTGAATGTTGTTGTTTATTGTCCAGATCGTTTTTAATCTTGTTAACATTTTTGTTATGTTTATGTTTTAAAAAATTGAATGTGTAATGAAGTATTAAAATATTATTTCTGTGTTTCAAATTGTTTTAAATTCTTGAAATAAAACCTCAGATTTACCTAAATAATTTTTAATATAGTTTTATAGACACATAATAGTAAAATAAGTGCCTCAGTATAAGGATATGTAATATACCTTTGGTATATTATATTTTATATATAAAATAGAATATACGGAACACGTTTTTAAGCGGCTTCAATAGTATTGACTTTTTGTTGGGTATGAAAAATGACGATGGTGATGATTAGGTGATTGATGATTCTGAAAATAATATGACATAAGTCTATTCCGTCCAAGTAATGGCACAGTTTTCGTGGGCTTAGTAGATAAGATAATGTGTATATAACCTGGAACGTTAGGTTCCATTTCTGACAGAACAATAATTGTTTCGGGTTAATGGGCATAAGCTCTACTTGTCGTAAAAACGATCAACGGGTTGTAGAAATGTATATGTATAAGCCCTAGACCCTAGTTTTGTCTATTAGCGACAGCAAAATAGAATTTTGTTTAAAACAAACAGCGGGTTCTATTACTATTCCAGGGTAAATTAGCATTATGAGTGATGGTCACGACCGATGATTAGTATTAGCTCAAACGTTTCAGGGTGCCACTATTAAAACGGACGAGGAGACTGGTAAAATTGTAATAGCTCGCGTCATGCACGGCGGGGCGGCTGATCGATCCGGCCTCATTCATGCTGGCGATGAGGTCATTGAAGTGAACGGTATAAGTGTAGAAAATAAAACTCCCGCTGATGTACTCGATATTTTAGTAAGTAGCTTTAACACAGACATTTCGTATGTTAATTGACATTTATAAAGTACGTAACAGTTTCTATATATCTTGATCTTATATGTACACGAATGCACTCACTTCGATTTTCAGAAAAAAAAGCCAAGAACAAAAAAAATACAGTCTCGTATACAAATTTTTTTATTTGATTTGATTTTTATATTTTTTATGGAATGTATTTTTTTTAAATCGACCTAGGTTTAAAAACAAATGCACTTTACAAAATTTAAGTGTTCAGTATTTGTAGTCATATTCTCTTTTCAGCAAAATTCTGAGGGAACAATAACATTCAAACTAGTGCCTTCTTTTGGCAAAGGTGGGTCTCGGGAGTCTAAAGTGAGAGTGCGAGCTCTTTTTAATTATAACTCGGATGAAGATCCATACATTCCTTGTAAGGAGGCAGGTCTTAATTTCAAAAAGGGCGATATCTTGCATATTGTTTCTCAGGATGATGCATACTGGTATGTAGACACAGCAATAATAACGAACAATATTTTTTTAGGTTTAAGATTGTCATGGTTTTATAACATTGTTTTAGGTGGCAGGCTCGGCGAGAAAACGATAAAGTTATGAGAGCCGGTTTGATACCGTCTCGGGCCTTGCAGGAAGGTCGGATTATACATGAGCGGCAAAGTGATCCACAATCTACGGACGGTACGTATAAGCTGAGGAAACCGGCATGTTTTAGACGTAGAAATTGTCAGGCAGAAAAGGCTGATCTACTTGCCTATTAAGAAGAAAAAAAATAGTCTCGAAAGACATAGAAACCTTAGGGCATGTAGCGCTTTTGTTTTTTTTAATTCTATATGCTGTACAGGTTGTATTGCTGCATTGCTGCATTAATGTATTAAATAAAAAATATTTAATACATATATATTTAACATTTATAATAATTTTATTGTTTCAGGCAAACCAGCTCTATGTTCACCAACAAATGGCAACACGGACTGTAGCCCAAAAACACCTTGTTCGCCGACACCAAACGCGACTGCGCTTCTTCCTTGCAAATCTACGCCTAAAGTGAAGAAAATCATCTACGATATAAAAGAGAATGATGATTTTGACCGGGAGATGATACCAACATATGAAGAAGTGGCAAGATTATATCCAAGACCGGGTTTTGTTCGACCGATTGTGTTGGTTGGGGCACCGGGCGTTGGTAGAAATGAAATGAGGCGAAGACTCATCGCTACCGATCCGGAAAAGTATGTCACACCGATTCCATGTGAGTACTCTTAAATATCGAGTGAATTAAGTGTCGCTAACCCCTAACGGAAATATTAAGAAAGGAGAATATGAAAATCCAATACATTTTTGATGTACGTTCGGCAAACTTAGCGCTAAATCTCGTTTTTGAATATTGTTTAGGCAAGTTGGTAATCAGCTTCTGTGCCTAAGATGTGGATTTTTGTTTAATACATGTCGGTTTCATAGCGACGTTTTCGTATGAGAGATTGTTAAATGCACACATAAAATAAACAGGCCATTGGTGCACACTGCACAGCCGTCATTCGAACGCACGACCTCAGGGTTTGAGAGGCGCTCGTTTAAGTCACCAGGCCAACACCGCTCACTGCTAGTGAGGCAATAGAAACCCTGATTAAAAGAAATGTTTCTCTTTTATATACGTTTATATGTCTTATATCAAATGGGGTTCAGATGTGATGAAAGGCGATGTGTTAAATAATTATATATTCTAATAATAAATAAAATCGTCGTAACGTTTGGCGTTAAGACCAAATAAATTTAACAGACGCGTACTCTTTCTTCATCAAACAGCAAGGACATACATAAGGGTTTAAAGAAACGATTTTTTTTTTATTAATTTCAATAATTTAATGTATAAATTTTTATATTTATTATTGAAATACATTTGTATATATGCATAATTTTTAGGCAAAATTGGCTTAAATATATAAGTCAAATTATAATGATCGTTTTATAGTGCGCTTTAATTTGAAATGCTACTGACTGACTATTTTGGCTTACCTATATTAAAAAAAACACCGAATATTGTTTTATGCCTTTATTTACAGATTATAAATTTAGTATTTAAATATGTTTTCGTCACTATTTGAAGAATAAATGCAAAAGTAAATATCATATGTTTAATGGTCTCTTTCATATCACATACCCAATCGCTTGTTGTTTAAATTTACGACGTAAATTACTTTCAGATTATTGTATATCTTTTTTTTCCAAAATATTCGTGCTTCGACTTATACCAGTTCATATGGAATCACCATCATATGCATTACCAAATTTTCTTGAGACAAATTTATTTTGATTTATTAAATTTTACCGATTTCTTTTGTGTCTGGTGAAATGCTTGTGAGTGAGTGTCCTTAGCCCAGAATTAAGAATTATAAATAACCACCAGTGTATTGAATCATTCTGGGGTGGGCACGACCCACTCGGCCCCCTTTATATACGCATAAGGTCAATTGCCTGGGACCTGGACCCAATATAAGAACATAATTGTTTCTGGTTGTAAAAGGATATACAGGTTTTTGTTCTTCGTTGTTCTAACATTGTTAGTTTATTGTGGCGTGCGTTTTAATGTAAGCTATTGCGAATATAATTTCTAGCTTCGCGTACTGCTGCTGGCGCAGAAGCAAATAGTAGTATGCTATCATTTTATTATTATATCGTATCTATTTATCTATTTTCCACAATTTTTTGAATAGTTCTAGAGATTAAACTATAAAACATACACATTTAAAAAAAAGTTTTGTTATTCTGTTATACAGAATCAAACATTTGATTGTATAGGTTTTTATTTATATTTTATTATTGTAGATGACAAACTTTGCTGCGCGTGCGACTCTCGCCCCTGAAGTCGTAGGTTCGAACCGCGGCTGTACACCAATAGACGTATTTTCCGAATTTAACATTCGCTCCTACTGTGAAGGAAAAGGTCGTGAGGAAACCGGTTTTCCTTAGACCCAAAAAGTCGACATTGTGTTTCGGGCACAGAAGGCTGATCACCTACTTACCTATTCCAATAAAACAAATTATTTTATTAACAAACAATTGTTATTTGAAAAAAAAAAATATGACAAACTTCGCTGCGTAGCGGCGATATGCGAATTATAAAGCAATAAATAATTTATGCAATGTAAATAAAACAAATATTACATATTTGTGACTATATGATTTACGAATTAAGTATTGTCATGTATAACTAAAAATGAATCGGTCCAATTGCACTATTTTATTTACCGTCTTTCAACTATCTCTTTACAACACAGTGTAAACACAATTTGACGAAAAGAAACGAAAGAGTATTTTAGTTAAAACATAAATTAAAAAAAAATACTTGTCTTTGATATTGGCATGCTTTGCGTCCTACTATACTATCCTTGAATTTAACAGTTGAACTATAGATAGTTACTTTTGCATTATTTTTTGCTATAATATATTTTACAATAGGTACAATATGTACAATCTGGAAAGAAAGTTATTTCGTTTATTATACTACGATTTTAAATTATTATATACAATCTGTGTCGTAGATAATACAGTTGCCACGATAACGCACAAGAGCTCAACGATCTTAAACGAATTTCAAAATTTTAATTAAATCTGTTAAGCCGTTTGGTAACAATAATGTTTTTTCGTTTTTACAACAAACAACATATTGTTTGTAGTAAAATAAAATAGATACAATTTTTGCAAGAGACGTTGCCGGTTTTTGTTAAGCTGTTGTGCGAAAAGAAAGGATATCTATCTAGTAGTAGGCAAAAGACCCTGCACACCGTCCGCTGCCCTACCCTACTTACCTTTTGACCTCTCAGTCGATTTGTCGTTGTGACCGAATTTGAATTGGATCCCTTTTGCGCGCGTATCAATCTTAAGTCCTACGAATAAACTTGTGATGTGATAATAGTGGTAGTATCTTAAGAACCTAGGGGTAGATACACCAAGAAACTATAGGTATAAATAAATGTGAATTAATATTGGCTAACAACAAATATAATTTTCTTAGACATCAGATCTAAGAAAATTGAACAATGCACAAAATTATTTGATGTCGCCAACAGCTCTAATTCACAGGTTGGTGCTTTGCACTTTACACCTAGGAATGAAAATAACAAAATCATATGATGCTACGTATGGTTTTTACATTAAGTTTAAGAACGTGAGTAACCATTATTACAAAGATACATTTATGATAGGCTACGCGGCATACATTAGGTATAGTTAAGATTTATTTAAATATTCATACGACACTTCTGAACATCTAAAAAGTAAACAATCGTATCCTATTAATCTTAATTGATATGATTTCGACACTAGTGAACTTAGCTATAATATTTACATGCCGGTCGTAGGTATTCTTTTAATCGTTCCGAACTAACACGCCAATGTGCGGCGTTGCCAATTTGACCGTCGTCTAGTTACTAGTTTAAATGAATTAACCATGGTGTTCAATTTACTAACTCATTTTACCTCAGTTTGTTGGCATGGAAAAATGGGTTACTTAATAATTTACATTTTCCTTGTAACTGTACGTTAATATGGATATTGGCACCGATATCCTTTAAATAGAAAAAAAATCCATAACGTATAAAACACGTTGTATACAGAAACAGCAAAAATATAAATATAAATCTATAATCAGAAAAAATGCCAACCCTATTCAAATATAATATAAATGGAGATGTGTCTATGCTACATTTGTATATGTGTATGAGAGTAACTATCTTAATATATATATTTCTTGTGTGCGTGTGTATGTGACTGAACTTCTCTCAAACGACTGGACCGATTTTGATGAAATTTTTTGTGTGTGTTCAAGGGGATCTGGGAATGGTTTAGATTCACAAATCAGCCCGGCAGATGGCACTGCAGTCGGTACTTTCATACTTTGCTTAATATCCTAATCGCTTTAAATATCATGCAGGACAACGTCTGTGGGGTCCACTAGTATTATTTAATATTTCATTTCATACATCATTGCCGTTACCGTTTCAGAGGTTTGTTTTGAATGAATTGGACATTAATTATATTTATGGGTGCGTTACGAGAATGGTTTTTAGTAGTTGATGGAGAAAATAATATTGTCTGGTTGTAGGTCTAGGGACATAATATTTAACTAATAAACAGACACCAAAATTTTTATTCGCGTTTAGCAACAAATTGTAGGTAGTAAAAATACATTAGATCCCATTGACAATATTCATATGCGAGGGCAACGTAATAAAAAACATGGTAATAGTAGTTAGGCCTCTGACCTCTGACCTCTCAGCTCAGTTCACAGTTGATTTGTCGTCGTGACTAAAATTGGTTATGTAATTCGTCCATACACAGGTACAAAACCAATACGCAGCGTATTAAACCAATGTAAATAAATATGATAAATTATAAGACACTTATACATTATTTAGTCATAATAGTGGTGGTACCTGCAATACCTAGGGGGAGTAACACAAAATGTTTGTGCAAAAAATGTAAATTAATGTTTACTTATAAGAATCAAGAATTGTTACTTATTACTAAAACTTAAACCGTTTAAGTAATATGCCACACACAGCTCTAACCCTACGGTAGGCGTATACCGCTTCGTGTTTATCACGTTACATCTTGGTAAGTACATTTGTGTAGCTTAAGCTTCCTAGAAAAGCGGTGCCGTTATCCAATGGCCGTAATGTAACGTTGGGTGACGTCACCCATACGTTGTCTATAAATAACATCGGAGTAGGTTTTCTAGAGAACGTTGAGTGTCACCGTAACGTCAAATAGTAGTGCTGTCATTTGCATGACGGCCGTCATAGCGGTTATAAACATTAGTTCAACGTTTTTCGCGTGTAGCGGTGCCCATATTTAATTAATACCATGAGTGCCTAAGCTAAGAAACCTAAGCTTAAAGATCACAAAACAACGGTTTAACTTCATAACGTGAGTTGACCCAAAAATTCATCGTTGTGATTGTTAGACCTCTTCCATCCAGTAATGCAGGATTTCGTTTTAAAGAAGAGATTAATAGATTTGGTAAATATTCTATATTTGTACACTAATTTATACTTAACAATTTTTGTACAATATCTAATCGTTCATCAAAATAGAATACCCACCCGAACCTCGGAACTACCAACGGAACCTAGCCCCGCGGTCGGTTGTTCCGCCGTAAACCAATTAACGCCCGAGATAACGCCGACATTTTAACTACCACACAATTTAACTACCACATCTACTAATGTCAACTAAATTAGTCACAACGCCACGACACGCGAATAACTCAAACCTGGCTTAAACCAACATTTAGGTCTTCATATGAGCTAAAAACTGATCCTTGTCTAGCTCAGGTCTGAACCTCTTAGATTACAAAGTATGCTCGTTGTTAGAGGCTATGTCATGATCTAAACGACACAGGAAAATTGAGCCCCCTAAGACATGGCTGCCGCAGCATTGGCTTAAATTGCTTATGGAACCAGGGAATAAACGTAAAGATTCGTGGTCAGTCTGAACCCACGCTAAGGGAATTCAATTTATAATTAGAATTGTTATTTATTGACTTGTTTCATCATCATCAGCCTCTTCATTTGGTTCATTTCTGGACGTAGGCCACCCCATTTTTCGTCCAGTACGCCCTGCACTGGCCTCTCTGTATCCACTGAGAGCCAACATCCTTGACGTCGCAGTTCACCTAGTCGGTGGGCTGCCACATGGTATTTTGTTCTTCCGAGGTCTTAATCTCAAACTCAAGGAGCTTGCGGGTCCATCGGTTCTTGTCCATCTTTGACTTGATTAATAATTACATCATTAGTTTTATTTAGATACCGTTACGTCATTAAAAAAACATGAGTTACAATTGATTACGTGTCTATGATTTTATTACCGAGGATAGTTTTGGCAGATTCGTATAGAAATTCAAGAATTGGCTTGAAAAAAAATGTTAATTCATACAAAGTTTGAGCTGAAGGCGCAGAGGTCGATTACTCGTTTGAGGCGAACTTTATGTTACTCTAGAATATGGAAGTTTGCTTCTCCGAATGTATACCTACAATCACAAGTAAGAGGGGAAAGTCATAGTTTTTTAGTTACCTCACCAAATCTTTTTGATTTGTATGAGGTAGGAAAAAGAAATCGGGTCCCAAATTTTCCGCCCAAGGGTCCCACGTAAAAAAGAAACCTATGGCAAACGGATTTCGCTATTGGGTCAAAAACTAGTTGTTGGAAGTGGTAATGGTGGGAGTGAAAAGCAGAAAACCCAGAAACAAGAACCATACTTGTCTACAATCATCGTTTGTAGACCTTTTTAGGTGAAATTTGGCAACTCGCACAGCTAGTAAACAATAATAAATTGTTTATTTGCAAAGAAAGTAGAACATTCAAAGTAGGTATATGATGTATCATAAATGCATAGGAGCCCTGACATATGACCCTTTATTATTGCACGATCGATTGAGGTGCCTTGTCAGGGACAAAGGATTATAGAAACCGGGCTCGCGCATGCATTTTAGGTCTTTGACTAAAGTCTAGATTCCTCCTTTTCGTTCGAAGCGGACCTGGTAGACACACGTATTTATAGTAAGTAATTATTGTTTAAGTGTTTTTGTGTCATTACGATTTTCGATTTTGATGTCAATTTCTTCAATGTGTTTCGTTCCAATTCGGTAATATATTTTGATAATTATTCAATGCATTCTCTATGCTTGTAGTGTGGACTCAGGTTCCGCGCTTAGACCCCTATTTCGTCCATTGTACATTATTTTTTATGCTTTTGTCAGTTATTGTGCTTAAAAGTACACAATTTTTAGGGATAATTAATTAGCTTATACTATGAGCCCATCTGAATAGGACAAATTCAATATTGTTTTACTATCTATTTATAATAGATAGTAAAACTGTTAGTTTCAGCGTTTAGGTGTACATTTATATTTTTGCCTTGCTTTAGTGTTTTCAAATGACTTAAACATCGATCGGTTACGGTGCGTTGTCAAGGGCTTCGTGCTAGTTGCATCCAAGCCGGGTAACGCATGCGCTGTAGGCATACAATTGACGTCTAGATATGTTGTATTCGCTCGTATCAATCTTTGTGAGAATTTGTTTACAGTGAGTAAGTATGTAGTGTAGACTCAGTCTCCGCACTTAGACGCCCATTTGGTTCGTTGTGCGTCAAGTCCTGGCTAATTAAGCCAGCCAAGCTCCTTCCAGAGTCTGAAAAGTTTCCTAGACAATCACTTTATATATAACCGCAAACTCGGGCTGCGCTGGTATTTAAGGCATCCAATTGAATTCTAGATTTCTCTCAAACAGTTCTTTAGTTCCTCGGAATCATATCGGACTTTGTGATCAGTGGTGTTTATGTGTATAGTTTATATCTTTGAAATGTGTGAGATCTTTGCAAATTAAAGCCGCGATATCTAAAAAAGATAGCCTAGATAGATAAATTATAAATGTTATTAAATCGACTGAGGGGAGTTCTCAGGGCCATCGAGCCAGTCTCATCCGTGGGGTCGCGCATTAACTTAACTATCATATTTTTTTTGAATTTATTTATTTCATATTTTAATGAAAAATTTAATTTATTATTTTGTTTTGAATTACTCCGTATCAGTACATATTTGTGATGTTCGGAACTGTTTATAATTAATGTGTCTGTACACCTTATAGTAACGTGCGTATGGGTTTAAAGTAGCTGGGGTTCGATAAATAGATCGTCCATCTTATGTTGACGCATGCGTCATACCCATTGCCATTAAATGTCAATCCATAACTTGTTGCGTCCCTGTTTTGGTGTATTGTTGAGGTATGCGACACCCTAATTGAATAAAATTTGTAGCTCCGCAATTTCAATGACGATTCTGTTGAAAATCGGTATTGATTAGCGTTTATTGTTATACCTGTTTTTGTTTTGGACCTCGCCTATTATAACTTATAGATTCAATAATTCATTTCAGATACATCGAGACCATTGAAGCCCAGCGAGCAAAATGGGAAGGAATACGTTTTCGTTACCCGCGAGAAGATGGAGCAAGATATTACCGATGGAAAATTTATCGAACACGGCGAGTACAAAGGGAATTTGTATGGTACGTCGGCGGAAAGCGTGGAGACAATCGTTAATTCTGGTAAGGAAATTAAGATATCGATTAGTTTTTGTAATGATATTGAGTTACTAAGAAATTAAATAGTTTTAATTTTTTAAATTTTGAGTATCACATTCATTATATTAATCCACGAATTATTTTAGTACTTCTTTAATTTTGTCACATATTGTAAAAGCAACGTTTAAAACGATAACTACCAATTGTTTTATCACATGTTTTACAGGTCGTGTATGCGTCTTAAGTCCGCATTGGCAAGCGCTGAAGATGCTTCGCACGACTCGTTTACGGCCCTACATTGTGTTCGTAAAGCCGCCGTCATTTGAACGCCTGGTTGAAACCAGAACGAATGCCAACGCTCGCTCGACCTTTGATAAAGAAAGTTCAAGGGCTTTTACAGTTAGTATATTTTTATGAGTCACAATTACTAAATTTTTTAGCCTTTACTGCTTAAAATTTTATCCGGCGCTAACTGATTTTGAGCCGCCGGTTGCCACATTTGATCCTTATTTGAAAGGAGAGACTATCTTATCATATCTTTGATGAAAACGCGAAATTATGACATTACATCACTAGAATTCTATTCAGCAATCGGGGCCAGTGAGAGAATGCGCCATAATAAAGTATTTAATATTAAAATTAGAGTGTATTTAAAAGGTTGCCAGTAACAAGCTCTTTAGAGAATCTTGTGCGAGAATTTTCTTAAAACTTTTTTTTAATTGTGAAGATTTACTAGCGTATTTGTATTTTAAAATTTTCAGGAAGAAGAGTTTCACGACATTATTCGTTCGTCGACGCGTATCAACTTCCTCTACGGCTACATGTTTGACGAGGAGATTGTGAATGAAGATCTGGCAATTGCATTATCGCAGCTCCTAAAAACCTCATGGAGGGTCCAATCTGAGCCTCTTTGGGTTCCTGCTTCTTGGGTACAGTAAATAAAAATAATATCCTATCCGAATACCGAAAAATGCTAAATTCACTTTCCTCTTGGGAACTGTTGAATGTATATAAATGTACATGTCACATTTTAGAACTGGTATTTTCAAAAGGAATCTCAGATACTATGTAAGGTGCCATTTCTGATACGAAATTTAATTAATTATTAAATAAAATATGAAATATGACTGTATATCTCTCAGATGTTAATTTTGGATTTAAAGTTATTATTAACAATGCCCTGTTTAGAAATAAATATTGAGGAAAAAAGAAACATCCGGTTTTGGTTGGCATTACGCTTTAAGTCGCTTGATTGTTATATTGGCAGCGTGACAGGTCAAATATCGCCGGTTATTACGGACTTTCCAGCTGCTATTCTATTATTCCTAATATATTTGTATACCAGAAATGCCACTTTATTCATTGATATATTGGCTAAATTTACAGTACTCCTGAAAGAAGTCCAGAATTGAAAGACCAGGAGTGAAATTTTTTAACATTACTTCGCTTTTTAAGAAATTTTACAATTTGTTTCTTGCATTGAGAGGGCAAAATTCTATAACACTTAGATTTAATTCCACAAATAAGTTATAATAGACAATATCACAATCTAAAATAATTACATTACATTAGTTTATAAGTTTATTTATATAAATGTAGCTGCACTAGTCGCAACTTCCTATTATAATTGCTCAAATATAACCAAGCGTTGAAATTTTGCAGTCGTGCGTTAGGTTCATTGCAACCGGTAATATATGGCCATACAATTGATATTCTAAAGAAATTAATCTCAGTCTAGTCAAAGAAATTAAGTTTATATTAGTAGATAACGATAAGTTTTACATGTGCCTGTTATTAAATGCTTAAAAAGGTCATCATTATTGTTGTGTATTTTTGAGTTGTGCTAAAGTTAGTGTTATTGTCGTTAGATAACATAGGATAAATGTTAGTTTAAGTAATGTGAACCAAATAACCAAAAAAGCGCGCTGTCAAGCAAAGTTGCAATACTAAATATAGCAAACTTAGGTAGATCTTATGATTTATACAAAAATAGTATTAGTCGTTAAAGTGTCCTAGTCCAAACTTATATCGATCATTTTGACGTTAGTGGTCCCTATTGACAGTAGAAGTTAATAATAATAATAAAAAATACCTTTATATATACAATTCTTTCATAGAATAGTATATGCAAACATAGCAGGCTAATTTAAAATAAAAAGATGAATATATCTGGCATTAAAGTACTCTCTCGCATAAATGTGAATTATATTAAATAACAAAAAAATTGCCAGGCTAAGCGATCTATGAAAACTATAAAATAAATACTAATCCGACTTAATGTATCATGACTACTCTCTAGCGTGCTTAAATATCGTGTATTCAATCCTATTTCTATAGAAATGCTTATTTTTGTTGCGTACATTTTGTAACAAAGACATATTTACATTAGATTTCTGCATTTGTTTTATATCTTTTTAAAATATTCAGTGTTCCATAGATGTCGTGATGAATTTGCTGGAATTCAGATATATATAAAAATCCGTTTTTATTGACACGTTTTTAATACGTCTATAATATTTACTATATACGTGTAGGTTAATATAGAAGACAATATGAATAGGCAGTTATAAAATTCCAACGTTTATTTGTAACCCAGAGTTGCCTTTAGATTTATTAGTATTAAGAAATCTTATTATATTGGCAATAAATTACACCATGGTTTTGTGACATGAGGAAAGTCGCGGTTAGTAAATTAATACTAAATAAAATAAGACTTGTATCTCAGAGAGAAATTAGAATGCAATAATATTGAATTTTTGTCTTCAATTACCAGTTTTCTAAACGATACATTTATCAATCAATAATATTGATTGATTTCCTAGTTGTTGGACGTAATCGAAGCTATATGTCAAGATTCTATATAATTTGAATCTACTAAATATACAAGCGATATTCTATGGTAAAGATTTTTGCCATTTTCACTCCTAAAATTTAAAATCTATATGTTAGCTCTTTAAAATGTGGATGGGGGTCAGTGAATAATCAAAATATATAAATCCTGTTTTAAAATTTACAAGTATTAAGGCGTACAATGAGGATAGAATTAGGTTAAAAGTTGAAATAGAATGTGTAGGATTGCTGTTTTAGTATAAAAATTGCGACGGCTACAAAATAATAAGAAATAAAATTCATAACTCGTTAATTATATGATAAAAGCATGTCTAAGAAATTTCCAAAGGTTTTTTGGGAATTGTATTTAGAATAATAATTTTATTTTATAAAATTGCCTTAGATTGTTTTAACTTTAACAAGTTAAACAGATTGCACTGTTCGGAAAATTTAAGACTTTTAATCATGAATCAACGCTGCATCACTGCTATCACCTAATCACGCTAAAGAACCAAATATTCTACATTCTGCGTTTGAATTTAAGTAAACGTCTCACGTTCTATCGCCCGTCTTTGTTGGACTGAACTGTTACATATACAGTCGTAAGTTCCAGTAATTTTTGGTGGCTCCCATGTCTGCACATGTTTTGAAGTTTTTTCCAGTGATTATAGTCTAGTCTTGATCTTCTATAAAAATTTTTTGGCTTTGGCAAAATCGGAACATATTGACAGAATTGGTGAGAAGCTCGCGAAAATGTCTTCTGGAACCCGAACTTTCGGGTCATTAGCGAAAGTAACTCAGGGAAACTTTTGCCAGCCCTTCCTACCATCCTTGCGAAGTGAGGACGACATGTCGTAAGATAAAGCAGAGCTACTTTGCTCTCTCGATGCGTCTAACTCCACGCTTTATGCTTCTTACTTCACGCTCGATGACTCAAGGACCTTACCGTCTACTACTTCTGTCGAAACTACCGCAATACGGTTTGTCCGATCGATTATGCCGATGGCTAGCTAATGTCCTTGTAAAACTTAGCATTAGAGTCCTAGTTGACGGAGCGTACTCCAAAACTATACCCGTTGATGCAGGCAACTCTGTTCGTTCTGGATATCAATGACCTGTTGAACATCGACAACAGCCATTGCTATGTAGACGACGTCTATTGCTATTGCTATCTGAAGTCCATGAGAGCCATAACAAACGGGATGGGCAGGCAACGCACCCACTATAATGGGTGTCCATGGGCTATGATGACTGCCCTTTTTTGGACGTCGTGTAGGCTGGTTTGCGCTTCTATCCTAAGAAAAAATTAAAATATGTCTTTCAATTTAGTTGTGTAGGACAAGTGTATTTTTAAAAATCAAAACGTTGGTATAAATAGTAAGTTCTTGCTTAGTTAGCCTATACCACGCGTTATACACACATATATTAAACTTTTCGTAATAAATACCACATTCGTAAATCGACTTTCGATTTTTTATTGAAGAAAAACGTTTGAAGTTGCTTTAACGTTCAAAGATAATTCACTTGAGGTGTTGAATACGTTATTGTATAAATAACCTAAAGCAAGTGGGAGAACTGGTCCAGGTTCGAACGGGGCAGTACCACCTCCACATCTGCACTGTACACAGTGAAAGGTAAAAGACAAAACCGCTTCGCATCTGACGTGACACTCAGCCAAATGGATTTGGCTGTATGTATACAAATACGTTCGGTGTTAGTGGGTGATAACTCATACACAAATTGACTCATTTTGATACCGCAGGTGTGGAAGCCGCAAAACATATGGACAATTGAGGTGACTATCTTAGCCCTCAAATCATCTATAACCAACAAAGACCTTAATTAAAATCTTGTCAAAAGAGACGCGTGCACCTTCAAGCGACCTATTGACCAGTTTTAAGTGGAACTTAAGCACCTGTATTAGGACCTATATTATGCTTTGATCATCCTAATGATTACAGTATGTTTGTGGATTAATACCCATATATGCACATAAATATCGAATCTAGAACTTTGACGTCGATAAAAACTCGTCTTACCTGAAACTGGTATTTGGCTGTAAAGGAGACTAATCTATAATCTGGATAGTCTTTGTTGGTTATCGATAGCACTGCACAATTATGTAATCATCTTTTCAGTTTACTTACAGAGAATTTGAGATTCAAAGTAAATATTACAAAAAATATCAATTTTTTAGTTAATAACAGAATCCCATCTTCAAAAATCATTATATTTTATATAATAATTATCTATAATGTTTTGGCCTAGATCTGACTTATAAAATCTTCTTTTTATAATATGAAGTACTTAATATTTCGTTATCGCCTACGATCTCAGTATATATAACACCAAGCCCAACCACATCTATATTGGCAGTGATATTATAGCAACAATTTTTCTACTTCCGATGTGTTCTTTATACTCTTAAATTTTGCTTGACATTATTTGCCGTTTACTTGGCTGTATGAATTTGGAAAAGAGCTTTAGAGGATATAACGTGTGACGTTAAATTCTCAAAGCGGAGTTGACAACTGTCACGAGTTTTTGTAAATACTGTGCTGCAGCTGGGTGTACGGCGCAGGTTGTTAAAAGCTCTTAATAACGACCCGCTCGTTCGTACGACGTTCGGACCGTACGAACGAGCATACGTACATACAAATTCGGATGTCCATCCTGGGTCTAAACATTTTGAGCTTTGTACGACGGACGCATAAATTAGACTTGTTGCAGTTCCGATGTTACCCCAATTAGTTCAGAATAAACCGAAGATGGTGTTATTTGCAGATGACACATCATTGATTTTTAAAGTAGATCGACGGTCACAAAATCGTGACGACGTGAATAACTCTATTCTTCGGGTCCAAAATTGGTTTACGGTAAACAATTTGGCACTGAATGATAAAAAAACTAAATGTATTAGATTTACGTTGCCAAATGTTAAAAGTAAGGAATGTGACATAATGTTGAATGAAGGAAAACTGGAATTTATTACTCAAACGGTTTTCCTAGGCATCACGCTAGACGAGAAGTTACAATGGGGACCTCATATCACATCTCTTGCGGGGCGGCTGAGCTCAGCCGTTTATGCGGTTAGAAAGATAAGATATTTAACCAATGTAGAAACTGCGCGTTTGGTCTATTTTAGCTACTTTCACAGCATAATGTCTTACGGCATTTTACTGTGGGGTCGGGCTGCTGACATAGAATCCATTTTTATTTTGCAAAAGAGAGCGGTCAGAGCCATTTATAATCTACGTCGTTGCGAATCTCTCAGGGAACTATTTAAAAAGATTAATATTATGACAGTACCTTGCCAATTCATTTATGAAAATATTATGTATGTAAGAAAGAATCTACATCTTTTTAGTAAAATAAATGAAAGACATAATTTTAGTACTAGAAATAAAGATAAAATAGCTCAACCATCTTTCAGATTAGCCAAAGTTCAAAATTCATTTATGGGGTACTGTGTGAAATGTTACAATAAAATACCTTGTGACATTTTAAAACTAAATGAACGAAAATTTAAATGTTTTATTAAAAGTACACTTTGTAAACAAGCATATTACAAATTAGATGATTATATTCAAGATAAGAATGCTTGGAAACATGCTGGTCCTGCTCCATAGGACAATCCTATGATTGGCTCTATAGCCTGGACAAAATCAAATTGGTTGCTGATTTTTTGCTAAAAAAAAATATGTTAATTTTTGTTATTATTATTATTATTATTATTTTTTTTTTTAATTTATATAATGCTACAAATGTAATTATTTTTTTTTGTATCTCACACACTGTTTTGTTGTGTTTTTTTTAATATTTTTATTACTCTTTAATGTTAATATTCTAAGGTTTCGATATTTGTAAATATGTGAGGAACATGTATACTAACTTTTTTTAGTATAGTAGTTTATTCTAAGAGTACATTGTCTTCACATATAATTATTTAACAAATGTAACAAAATATTGTAAACCTATTTTAAAAGAGTAAGTGTGGAGTTTCTTGCCCATTCTTCTCCACACGAAACTACCTTTTGGAAGGGGCAACTAGAATCATCTTTATATTTTTTTTTTTGACGTTCAAAAGTGCCATTTTAGATGGTCTAATTGAAATAAACGATTCGACTTTGACTTTACCATGTAATTATAGCGTCGGCACTCCAGTTAAATGTCTAAATTTTAAATTTAATTTACTACATTGCGGACACACCGTGCCTTTGCTACAAAGACGTTGAATCTCATTTCGATTGAGAAATTGTTACGTATATTGTGTAAGCAACAAATAAACTCGCAATTTGAGTGTTAAAGTTATAAGGCTTCATATCTTCATAGTAGGTGACCATAAATTGTAATTACGTTATACTATATGTATATAAGCTGTGTAAAATATTTTGTAGTCGTCGTTAAGTGTTTCCTAGCATAAATATTGGAGTCCCTGGCTCTGTCTCTTCACTAAAGGTACCGTTAGTACGAGGATTTTAATTATCGGAAATACAAACAATGCTGATACAACACAACTTCTGAGTTCTTTAATGGCAAAGTTAGGCAATGAGTATGGACTCATGATAAGAGACAAATTTGTTTTCCCCGTAGATCGTTAGGGGACAAGGTAACCTTTAATTTTTGTTGTGCTATAACTATGGATAATTCATTTGACTATAAACATGTTTTCTAGGTATTCTCGCATACATCAATAGGGCCTTATTAATCTCTCGAACTAGTTTGTTTTCTTCTTCTCATAGCGTCTCAGTTCTGTTAGTCTCACGATCATTCTTTCGTCCCCTGCGTCGGGCAATTTATTAAATAGATACTAACATGCCGAATAACAGCTTAGTCGTTAAACTTAAAACTAGTTTTCTGTTTGTATTTATAAAATTAGTTACAATATTTTGTTTCTCTCGTTGTAATGAATTATGTAATATAGCTATGTTGACTTAACAATGCTCGGATTATTAAATTTGTAACGTTTGGTTTTAATTATTATACATGTTTTTTTGTTTACATTATGACACCCATATTTAGGTAAATTAACTTCTAATATTGAAATATTGCACTCACGTTTTTGACGATTTTTAAACGCTGTAGTGTTATTCACTGTTGGGCCTAAAAAATACTTTTAATTACCGTTTTTTGCTTTGATTCAGTACTGTGTTAATTGCGCATCTTATATTTATATTGTTCTTGAAGAATATTAGCCTGTAGTAAATTGGGAAGCGCTCAAGCAATGGGGAGGGGGGGAGGGGAGAGGGAATTATAATTTATTGCTATTTATCTAGTCTTATTGTGATAACGTTAATTTCTATTTTATATAAGTGTAGGTACCGGATTTAAAATTTCTTCCTTTTGGTATTTGTAACACCTAATTCTTAATGTCTCATGTAAACTTTGTTGGAGCTCTGAACTTACGCGAACTAAATACTTAGTAAGAACTTAAACCTAAACACCATAAGCGCAGTGGCTCGAACAAAATGCTGTGTTAATGTGTACTCGAATTCAAATAAAGTGAATAATAATTGGTGTTTTATTTTAACTGCTTAAAACCTGTCTAGATGTAGGTACCCAAACAATGGATATATCGATCTATGTATTTAATGTTACATTGAGACACAATCACTACAATAAGAATAGACGTTTATAGGAATGTTTTTATTATGGTTAACCTAAGGAAATCTAACTTAACTAAAATATTAACACTTTGAATAGAGAATAGACTTTAAACCGCAATCAAAAAGAATTTCAAGTGAAAATAATATTCTTTTTATAGTGTTTTTAATAAATTTATATTTAAAAAAAAGATTAATTATTATTCATTAAAGCTAATTATTTTGTGTTTAGCGTTGTTGCCCATCTGATTTTGTAATGTTTGTGTCTATATTCACTTTCTACATTTTTATATTCAATCATTAATTCAACTATTACTTAAAAATTAATAGTAGAATTAAATTTAAAATAGTATATCTGAGCTTTAAATTTGTAAATATTAATTCGAATTAAAAATGGGAGTCTACACATATTAGGATCGGGGAGCGTACAATTAATAATTACCTCGCGATGGAACGGTTGATCACGCTAGAGACGCAGAATTTTTTCCACTAATTTACGAGCCTCTACGATCTTCATGTCAAGTAGACTAATTTAAGTCTAAAGTAACGAGAAGCTTACTGTCCGATCAAGATAGGTTCGGATAGTAACGTTCTTTGGCAACATTTTAAACGTAATTTAAAATTTAAAGAATATTAGATTAGATAGTTTTGATTTAAATAAATTTTTGATGTTGCATTTTCAACTTATTTTGAAAAAATCTAAAAGAACAACTCAAAAATCATTCACTTATGCATTTTGATTAGCATATGGGGTATGAAATTCCCACAAATAGCTGTTATCTCTATCTCCTCTTAACGAGAATACGTCGATTTACCAATAACCTATATACATACTAGTTGCCCCCGTGAACTTGTTTTCTCCTTAAAGTCATTTTACTTAGCCTACCTTTTAGTACTTTACTTTTTACTTTTGGTTTTTTACGTTTAGGTTGTTCAGTGAATTTTTCTCTATACATATATATAAACCTCAGAGTTCAAGTCAATAGTTTTTAATATAGAGATAAAAAATAGGGGCTGATCGAAGAGAGGTAAAACCTAAGAGTTGTATGTATTTTTGTATCATAAAAATTTTTCTAAAAAAATAGAAAATATTTTTTAGGATGGACACCCCTTATCACTTAGGGGTTTGAAATATAGATAGTAGCCGATTCTCAGACTTACTGAAGATGCATAAAAAATTTCATAAGAATCGGTCGAGCCGTTTCTGAGAAGTATAGGAACGAACATTGTGACTCGAGAATTTTATATATTAGAAGATATAGCTGGTTGCCAACTACTTAGTACTTATTCACGGTTTCACACTAAGCATACGTCATATGTAGGTACTATATCAAGTTCTTTGAAACATCAAAGTTCAGTCATTATTCGTAGTGACATTTATTTCTGTCTATTATATTTCTTGGCAAGTTTATAATTTAGAACCTGCTTTAATTATATTTTTAATGAATTTACAAACATACGCAACTTTATCATTGGTTATAATACGCCGATATATATTATGCGATCAATATAGCTTTAATGATAGATTTAATATTAAATTAGATGAGCTGGTAGATCTGATTGCAAAGGAAAATCATAATAGTAAGTTAAGCAAGTCCACTTGCTGGAAATGGAAGAAAATATTTACATCTATTTCAACGCCGTCGGAATCATATAATATTAATACTGGTAAGTAATTAACAATATTCCCTACGTAGTTATAAATAGTAATTAAAAATTGATAAATAGAAAACTAATTTTAAAAGTTTGGTGCCTGTGGCAGTGTATCTTTAATGTTGGCAGCATTTACTCGCTGTATTGCGATACTTGCTCGATGAGCGAGGATAGCATCAGCTCTGAGTCACCGATACACTCTCCCAGGCGCCAATATTAATTTTTAATTAGCGCCTGTGCACTTGAACCGCATGGACCAAGACTGTCTACTCCAAAGAGAACAAAATCAAACTTGGGGAAAAGACTCAAATATTTTGCCGTTTATTATATTCCGCCTGCTCTGCGTTTTGTAGGTTTTCCATTAAGTCAAAAGAGTATACAAATCAAAAAAAAATTGTATCTTTTAGTTTTCACGATCCTTTGTGATGATGTATAAATTCTCCCACGTTGGCAATGTGTTACAGCATCTATTCCTACCTTTTCCTCAGATTATCAGCCTTCTGGGCCTGAATACAGTGACTGTTAGGAGACTACGGGAATCGAAACTCGGCGGGAGCTATAATAAATAGCTAGTTCGCGCTGTCTCGTTTTTGAGTTTTAGACTAAGACTTGTTTACTAGTTTTCTCACTGACGTTCACAATTCCTTCAAGCAAGTTTTACTTAGCATATGCACGAAAAAATTTATTGGTGGTACATAGCCGGAGTCGAGAATTCAGGTGACTGCAGAACATACCATGGCAACTTAATATTTATTGTTATATGTTCTTAATTAAGCCCTTATATTCATAATTGGGTTAATACATAATTGTAGAAACGAACCTACAATGACCGTTGCCTCGCCGGTTCCTCTTAATAAAATGTCCCTAACTAACCTAACTTTGCAGATTTGTCAGAAGATCTAACAAAACGCCATAAAGTTTGGAGTCGTTGGGGCAAATGGGGTGATTGTTCAGTGACATGTGGGGACGGAATTATATCCAGAAGGCGTCTGTGCGTCGCCGGTCGATGTGCCCCAGGTGAAATAGAGGAACAACATAGACCATGTACTCGAACGCCATGTGATGGCACTAGAAAAGATGATTTTGAACCGGATTTGAGTCCGTGAAAAGAAAAAAAATAAATTAAGTAGGTAGCTGTTGAATGTTTTATTTTCTTGTCACCTTTGTGACGACATTTTTCTTAAGGTTCTCTACAGAAGATTTCCATTTTTATCCGTTACACATAAAATCAAGCATATACATTATACAACACTTGAATATTAATCGAAACGATAGTTTTTATACGATAGGCTTATTCAACACGGCTAGGACAAGAATCTAGGAGTAATATTATAAAACTGATTAAATTTGACACTCCTTTACTTTGCGCCCTGAATGTTGCCCTTAGTTCTTTGGTAAGAAAACGTTAACAAAGACTAATATCAATTCATCTGTCGTGCATCGTTCCATTACAAACAGATAAGGAAATCATCGCGTCAAATCCTGGTAATAATTGACACTATGATTTTCACTTGATTTTTCATTTATCACACAGATATACCCACAATAGTATTAGTAAAGAACCCACATTAGTATTAGATACCTACATAAAGAAACATTTTATTAATGAACGTACTTAAACCTTTATTATGGTAATTATTTGTTAAGACTTTAAACAAAACGTTAATTACATATTCAACGTTAACAATTGAATAAATATTGTGGAAAAATACTTGACTAAATAATACTATTTTTAGTTTTATAATGAGAATGTGGCCTTTATATACCTTGGGAAGTAGAAAATTTTGATTTAAAATTATTTTATTAGCAGCAGCGTAGTTCAGCGTTCGTCATGCATGGTCTTTATCTCCTGCGTAAGATTTTAACATTTTTTATAAATAAAAAGCGCCTCGCCCAAAAATCCAAGGGGTTATTTACACGTGACCCATATACAACAAAAATATTAACAAAAGACGCGGCGGATGACTTACGAAAGCCAACTTGATGCCTAGGTTTGGTGTATTTTTGTTATTTGAATAGTATTTATGTAACAGGTCTTATGCAAAACCACCGTCCTTTTTCTATTTAAGTTAGGCGTAGTTCTCTCAATATCAATTGCGCTGATATTTCAAGTTTTGGATCGCGTGGAAAAAAAACTCATTGTTGAGATCGGGCCCGCAGTTTTGTCAGAAAATTAGCACGTAAGTAATAGCACGGACTTTGAGACGTACAGTTAAGTACAGACTGGACATATAGTAGAAAGCTGCGGATCAAATGTACGAACAATCTTTCACACGTCGCTTGGTTAAGGACCAACAGAAATGTTTATGTATTGTCAAAATTGACGCAACGCATATTCATGATATAGTTGGAGCACCATTATAGTAAAGGATTATTTATTATGATTTATTTCATTGGTGTGAAATGAATAGATTAATTAAAATATGTCTGGCAAAACAGCAAGTGAATAGAATTCTAGAGTTAAAAAAATGTTTCGTTTTGGTATCGAGTATAAGACAGTTACCTACTCGTAAATCAGAAAAAGGATTTCGCAGTTTCAATTGAAAGCTATTTTAAAGAAATATCATAAATGTGTGCTGTGCGTTGTTAATATATATATCAGAAGTCTTAGAAAGTCGATAAAATAATATTTATTTCTTATTTGGGGATAGTCCATAAAGTACATTTTAAACAATCTACTTTATAGGTTTAAAATACTTCGACTATCCTATTAATAATATAATTAACTAAATAAATAAAAGGTTCACAGTTTTACAGCATTGAAATAATTTGCTGTAAGTAAAATTATAATAGCAATAATAAATTACTTTAGACCATACATATACTGTTAAATGGGTCAATAATAATTAAATCTTAGGTGCTTACTAAGACAACAAAATTAGCTATATTTTTTTAACATTTTATATTAAGTGTTTACGAGATGCGAAGCCACATTCAAAGCGGATATATAGTCTTCATCAATGCTTATTCTTATGATTTCGCGAATCAGTTGCACTGTCTTACCTGGAACTTTGAAACAAAACATACAAAGGCATCATATCATCCAACAACTGTCGTTTTCGAGCATTCGAGCAAACGGTTGTGGGATAGAAGCTGTTTAAAAATGAAATATAATTTTTTACCTGCTCTTTTTGTATTCAGTGTAAAATGTGCAACGTTGGAGAGTATGTATTTACCAATATAATTAAAAATATTTAAAGCAGCGAAGGGCATACGCGAATATTATTAAGTACGCAAATTATACTTGCTTATCCTTTCCCGCCCATATTATAATGACATTGTGCTATTCATTCCAAATATCATTTATTTACTATATTTATTCAATAACATACTTTGTAGAAAAGGTCAAATCAATTATTTTAATTCGGCCTATGTAAAAACTTCTCAAACGTCACTTTTGAAAGTCAAAATTATAGTATAAGATCCCGCTATACAACGACCTTCACCGAGATGCTTATTTAATGAAACTTATTTTATATTTAATTTAATATGTCAATAAATATAATTCATATGGGTTGCCTAGCAAATTTCAGTCCAGAGTATGTTTAATTAATATTAAAAAAAAAAAAATTATAATTTGCATGTAGTACATTTTTTGAACTTTTTTCAATCAATATTTTTAATCAGGGTAGTATTATATATGTATCACTATAACCTTCTTTTATACTAAAGATGTATATATACTTTAGTGTCACATAAAAAATATACACATAAATAATTAATTGATTAAAAACAACCTAACGTTTGCATATTCTATGGGCTTCATACGTTCGATTGGTATAGAATTTATCTAATAATCATACCGGTGAAATGTTTAAAAAATATTTTTTTTTAAATTAATTAAACATACTCTGGACTGAAATTTGCTAGGCAACCCATATGGATTATATTTATTGACATATTAAATTATATATAAAATAAGTTTAATTAAATAAGCATCTCGGTGAAGGTCGTTGTATAGCGGGATCTTAGACCATTATAATTTAAAAAAATGACTAGTTGCCCTTCCAAAAGGAAGAATAATGGGAAAGAAACTCTATACTTACTCTTTCAAAATGATAACAATATTTTGTATACTTTGATTCGATAATTATATGTGAAGACCGTGTTCCTAGAATAAAAAAGACGCATAAAATAGGCGCATGTTGTTATAAAAAACAATGCAGCAGATAACTAAATTATTATGTAGATACATGGTGCTCACAATTATATTAAAACCATCAGAACTAACCCAGACTATTCTTGGCTTCATATATATAATTGACCTATTCTTTTCTTGATAATTGTATTTTAATTTATTATAATTGACAGTGAAAATAAAATGGCAGAGTGACAGCACACTTGTTCTTTATTTGTTACGTCTCCCAAAAAAGTAGGTTTTAATATGGCTGGCTTTGGCTTATATAGGCTCATCCCCTCCAAGTGGCTGCCATTTGCGGTTGGCAGGCATGGCGGTTGGTTGGAGGGTTGGTCAACATGGCATGGCTTGGCTTTGGCATTGGTTATGGCATTGGCTATGGCATTGGCTATGGCTTTGGCTATGGCTTTGGCTATGGCTTTGGCTTTGGCTTGGCTTTGGCTTGGCTTGATGTGACTGGCGACGTCACGTCCGTTACACTCGGCCATCCTGAAACAGTTGTTCCCGTGGGAACAACAACCACGATTAGCTCTCTAATAAATCAAACAGATCTTCGGTTTCAAGTTGCTCATCTGAACTGCTGGCACTATCAGATACAGTAATAATGCTTTTATAGGGTCTTAACGAATCGGCAGATACTAATCCAGTAAAACTCTTATATCCACGTAAACCATTTAGTGTACTTCTCATTTGGTACCTATCATTGCCCACTACCTTAGTTACGACATAAGGACCGGAATACAAGTCGTCAAGTTTAGTGTTAACTTTGGATGCGCTACAAGTCGGTGTTTGTCGCCATAGGACAAAATCACCCTGCTTATAGATGTGAGCAGATTTTCGTTTTTTTGTCAAAGTAACGTTTCATTGTAGCACTCGCTTTTAGTATCCTATCAGATGCTTTCTTTCGACGCGACTCTACTGGTTCAGAAACACGCCCGGGAACCGCAACATCACATACTGACCTACCAGCCCGAGCAAACATCAAGTCGTAAGGTTTGTAAGTGGTGGTGTTATTAATTGAGTTGTTAATTCCCCAAATTATGTCGGGCAAAGAGTTAGCCCAATTGCTAGAGGCTTCACTGGGGTCTGTGGCTCGTAATGCATCCAGTATTGTCCTATTTGTACGTTCCACTTGACCGTTAGAACGCGGACAAGCAATAGCATTGAGAGTATGTCTTAACTGTTTATCATTCGAAAACTTCTTAAAGTTCCTACTCGTGAACGCCTTTCCGTGATCGGTGACTATGTGATCAGGGAAGGAAAATAAACTAAATATCCTTCGTAGTACACGAATAGTTTCGATCGAGTTGACAGTACGCGTTGGCTCAGCTATTACAAACTTAGAAAAACCGTCTGTCATAACGAGCATATATTGATACCCCTTATTTGTCTTAGTAAAAGGGCCAATGTGATCAATATGAACCATTCTCATAGGCTCAGAGGGCTTAGGAATTGGATGGAGTTTACCTTCTTTTTTTGCCGTAGCCCCCTTTGCCGTATGCACAATGAAGACATGCAGTCACATATTTCTTTATAAATCTTGTCATTTTAGGAAACCAAAATTCGTTTTTGATTAATTCGTTACAGCGATTAAATCCTACATGACCAATGTCGTCATGGTGCATTTGCATTATTTTCCATCTGGCCGAATTTGGAACCACCAACCTATTCCCGTTCAAGGTTTTACGATAAAGCCTATTATCAATAATTTCGAAATTATTTTTTTTTAATTCCGATCCGCCGGTATTATCTTTTAATTGACTAACGATTGCGCTCAACTTATCGTCCTGACATTGCACCGTATAAAACCAATCCGTCACTTCTAGACGATTCACGCGTTCATAACGTCAACCAGATGTCTACTAAGCGCATCTACATGTTTCATGTGTTCTCCCGGCCTATATTCGACACTTATATCGTAATCTTGTAAAGAAAGCCACCACCTCGCGATACGTGGTATAATGTCGCGTTTAGTAAGCGTAGCGCGGACTGCTGTACAGGCAGTAACAATCTTAACTTTTTTTTTCCCGACGATGTATACGCGAAAACGACGCAAAGAGTCCACGACCGCCAGAGTTTCAAGCTCATAACTATGATACATGCTTTCTTCTTTACTGGTCACTCCACTAAAATATATAACGGGTTGCAACGTAACGTCAGTCTGCTTTTGTAGAAGTATACCGGCAATTCCCAATTTACACGCGTCAGTATGGATTTCCGTAGAAAGCGCGGGATCATACAAAGCTAAAGGAACATAAACACTTTTTAAGTTGTTCAAAACTATTGTTTTGATCACTTCTCCATATCCACGAAGTTTCTTTTTTTTGTTAAATCAGTTAAAGGGCGGGCAATGACAGCGAAATTGTGAATGAACTTTCGAAAATAACTACACAACCCGATAAATTGACGCACACTATGAACATTGGTCGGTGTCGGAAAATGAGAAACTACCAATAATTTTGACTCGCCTGGCTGAATACCATTTGCCGATATCTCATGACCTAAGTAGGTACGTAATTTCTTTTTGCAAGAACGAACACTCATGTTTAATTAATTTTAAGTTTTCAACTTCAAGTTTGACAAGAACCGCTTGCAGAATATCTAAACTTGTAAAATATGTTTTGCCCGCCAATTTCGAAACCTGATCATCTATGTTTGGCAATGGAAATCTTTCTTTTACGGTAATAGCTTTTAGGTCACGATAATCAACGCACATCCTACTGTCACCGTTTTTCTTTTTCACTAGGATGACTGGGGAGGCATAACTGGATTCGGACTCTTTTATAATGCCGGCATCTAATAATTCACTGACTAGACTGGACTATCGCTTGTTCACCATGTGATAATCGATAAGGCTGGCGATAAACTGGCTGATCACTAGTAAGCTTAATTTTCATCTGCACTAAATCTGTGCACCCTAAATCTTTTGTACCAATAGCAAAACAATGTTTATATTGTATTAATAAACCGATAAGATCCGAATGTTGTTTATTATTTAACGGTCCTATCTGTATGTCGTCTAATTTTACACCTCCTATACATAAATTATTAGTTAAGGGTTGACCTAAATTATTGGCATTATAATTGGCAAAAGTATGGCAAGCAGCAAGGGATAGTACCTGGCTATACGGCTGTAACGGGAATTCTTGGCAGCTTTCAGCCCTGGCTAGGACCTCTCCCGGCGACTACACGATAACCTCGCACCCGGTGTTGACGACTTTGATGTAACCATCTTCGCCACGGAGCAGGGTAGAGGGACAAGAGTAGACCACCACCCTCGTAGTGCCGAGGTGGCGTTACCACATCGTTGCCGACCTTATCCTCCAGAACGCGCACTTGAATGATGAAAGAGCCAGATGGACTTTTGTTGTTTTGTTTTTCTTTGTTGACTTCGCTGTTGATAGGTTGACCGAACAAAAGATTAACGTCGGCCATCTTGATGCTAAAAATGCTTTTTCCATTGCTCCCACGTATAATCGTAGTCCTACAGGCGATTATACCTCTTCTTCGCTTGACCTCGTAGTATAACGTATATTCCTCACTGTCAGGGTCGAATTACGGAGTCAAAAATGCAGCACGATGTACTTGTAACTTATTTAGAGCTTCATCAACACAGTCATGTTGAAGATCGCGTAGAGCCTTTATTACTTCTTTTTATTAACAGATTCTTGAGCAGCTACAGTGCCGGCGGTGAAGGAGTATCCTCATCTTCCTCCGACATTGATTCATCAGAAGGTCGAAAAACTTGTGGTCGAGGTCGTTTTATCCCACTTCTGAGTATAATTGACCTATTCTTTTCTTGATAATTGTATTTTAATTTATTATAATTGACAGTGAAAATAAAATGGCAGAGTGACAGCACACTTGTTCTTTATTTGTTACGTCTCCCAAAAAAGTAGATTTTAATATGGCTGGCTTTGGCTTATATAGGCTCATCCCCTCCAAGTGGCTGCCATTTGCGGTTGGCAGGCATGGCGGTTGGTTGGAGGGTTGGTCAACATGGCATGGCTTGGCTTTGGCATTGGTTATGGCATTGGCTATGGCATTGGCTATGGCTTTGGCTATGGCTTTGGCTATGGCTTTGGCTTTGGCTTGGCTTTGGCTTGGCTTGATGTGACTGGCGACGTCACGTCCGTTACATATATCTGCATTAGTTTATTTGTTTAGCCATTGCAAGACAGTTTTTAGGCCTGTAGCATGTTGGTTTTCTGACGTTCTTTTCCTCCAACGTACGAGCAAATGCCTGCTGGTTGTAACAAACAATGATACGAATATTTCTGCCCAGCTACTTTATTTAATAGGGAATCTATAAGCATTTGAATATTTATCTTTAGCTACAAAGGAACCTTCGAATGACGTAAACCAGACAACATCTTATAAGATATCTTTAAGTGAATACCAAGCGACCCCAGTTTCGTTGGATAAGAAACGAGACATGAAATCGTTATGGGTGTATCATCCACCATCGTTGGTAAGCATTTTATTTATAGTCAATTTGTATACGCGTTATATGTCTTGAAAAACTTTCAGGAGATTTGAACTATTTACATATATTTACCATGTCTCGTTATGCACCGGTCGTGTCTACATAATCCCGTCATGGAAGTTTTAGATTTATGGAATAGAGAGCGAACTTGTAATATACTCTAAAGACTGGTCAAAGTCTATTGAGCCTGCACCAGGCACGCACCGAAATGTCGTGGAAAACGTTATTATAATTATTGATTAAATTTATAGCAGTCTCAAGGGGAAGACCAAGAGGTCCAAAACGCGTTGTTCAAGGCTCCACATTTGCTCACGAGACTCGCAAAGCCGTTCAACTTTGGCATAGATCCATACTTTAGCAAGGTAACTCCAAATTAACCATAATCATTTTATGTACTCTGCAACTTTCGGATTTTTTTTAAATATTTCGCGTTAATTCAAATGTTTAATTAAAAATTTGTTGATTCTGGTTTAATAAAACTGATTAGTCTAAGTAAGTTTGATCAGTCTTCTGTGCCAAAGCGAAATATTATGTTTCTCGGGGAAATATCCAAAGGATTCACTTTGACAAGCTTGAATTTTTTTAAATCAACGTATCTATTTATAATACGTAAATTTATTTTTACAGGACTATTTCGCACCATTTGAAAGAAGAAATAGACCTATAACTCTAGTGGCTTTTAGAAGAAATGCTTTGATGCCTCGCAGAAGTGTAAGCTATTTAATTAAGAGTGTAATATTACTTATATAAGAGGAGTTCTGATAATTACTAAATAATATTGTCAAATAATGGTAAAAAGTTATATGACATTTATAACACGGGTCACTCATTTTCGTTTTTATCAATAAGAAGGTTTGATATAAATTTTCTCGAATTGTTTTTATTTATCAGGTTCGTCAAAGCGAGTCAGCAGAAGTTGCGGAGTTACAGTCACCATTCAATGAAGTCGGCGCTTTGTGGCGGGAAGACCCGGATATATTTAATTTATAAGTTATAGTTGGTATTAAGATAGATAAGCCTTTCAGCCCAAATAAGCAGTAAAATATTGAGTCCATATATAATTCTTATTCTACTTCTTAATTTGTGATGATTCCAATTTCAGATAATCTGTAGGACATCGGATTTAAAATGATCTTAAATGAAAGCAAAGGTTTTTTATCTTTAATTACTTTCAAATTTACATCTGACACTGTCTAAAGTTTGTCAAGAATTACTCAAGTTTCATACTATTTTACACAAAGAGTATACTAATATAGGTAGATTTTCAGTTAATGAAGTAATGAATATTAAACGTAACTAGAACAGAATATTTTATTAAAATTAAAGATCCTAATGGAACTGTAATAATGTAAGTAAATCAGCATAAAGTATTACATACAAAATTTCAGGAAGATTTGAAGAAGATATGCGATATGTTGCTATCTAAGTAGTATTTGTCTTTTACTGTTTTAGCGCCTATATCTAACTTATAGCAACGTAGGTTTCAGCCTTAATTAATACATAATAAATACATACTGCATACATTTAGTGAATTATTTATACGATATAAGTTTCCTATTTTGTGACGTTACAACTCGTCTTGGCCTTAGAAGTCAATATATTTTTTCTTGATAATCATCATCAGTCTCGGCCGTCGTATTTTAGGTCTAAGAAATGCCGTGTTTTCGATGTTTTCCTTCATCATACGACCAAGGGAAAATGCAAACATATAACGAATAATACTCGGAATAACGATCTCAGGGTTGAGGTTCGCGCGGCTAGCCTCAGACTTACTCTCTTTCTTCAGTCAGTAGCTCATCTGGTCTGAGAGTCGTGAGCAAGACAACATCTGACGCGGACTATCTGATCCACCAGTTCCTGTCCAGCGCCTCTCTTATTACAGTGTATAGTTTTGAAGACAATTAGTCTTTCACTTCGGTTCTTCTGGTTGGTGAACGGGCACTTAATCTTTTGCCTTCTGTGTTACCAATCACGATCAGTTTCTCCAAGTTCTCGACGCCTCTGAGCATTATATGGCCGAAATTTGAGATAATTCAAACTCAAACTCAAAATATCTTTATTCATATAGGTAAACAAGAACACTTATGAACGTCAAAAAAAAGTTAAATTAATTGTAAATTTAGTTCAGTTCGCAAGTCAAGGGCGTAGAGCGGGCAAGAAGAACTGGCAAGAAACTTTCCGCCACTCTTATTAATCGCTAAGTTTTGAGTCATACAAATTCTTTGAACTGGAGCAAATCAATCCCAAGGATTAGGATCATTTAAGTACTTGTCAAATTTATAAAAAGCTTTATTGATTAATTTACGTTTAACGAGGGCTTTGAATTTATTTAGTGATAGTTCTCTAATTTCGCTTGGGAGTTTGTTGTAAAAACGAATTCTTTGTCGGCATATCGGTTGACAAGCGAGTTCGTAGATTAACTAATTATTGTTATATATACCTAAACCACGGTGCAGCTTGAAGAGTCTTGTTAGTGTCTTGGAACCAGGGGATGGTAAAATTAGTTTATTGGATATATATTGGATTGGACGTACCTATGGCTTTTAGACCTTAATCCGACAATACACTTGCGAAGTCATTGCCGTTACCCGTAGAATGCAATTTTAAGATTAAAATTAAGTCTATAAGACGGCATCCTGCATACATCCTATTAAAGTACTGTTTTTATTCAGATTCCTTTCGTACTGAATAACCCTGATGGCGTTTGAAATATAATTCATTTGTGTCAAGAAACAATTACATCAATCTCATGTTACTTGATGAGCTAAATTGCTGATAGGAACCAAACCGCAACCACAGGTACCCTTATAAAGATATGCTATGTATGAATGACCTTTATCTGTCGCAGTATGAGGAGCGGGTGGTGAGGTGACGAGTGAGCCACCTGCGTACACACGTGGTCCACCAAAACACATGTTGAGGCGTCCGAAAACACGACAGTTTTAGAAAAACTTTTAGTTGAAGTGCCGACATCAACTGACTGATGTTTGTTTTAAAATTAAAAAGCCCTTACGCTTTGCTGCCTTTCCACCTATTTATCATCAGATTCTATACTGTTCTGAATGTTTGCCTGTAAAAGTCGTTACATAAAGTCCCTCCCCGACTCTTAACGGTAATCTAATGTTACAATGTTATGGTAATTAAGCGATAACAATATCATTAACTGACCTTGTGTTTAGCTGTTCATATCGATTGAATGGAAATAGCTAGATTTCATGACTTACGACCATTACATAAAATTGTTGTGAAGTGATAAATTTTACTATCCAGCTACGATATATAAAGTTATTTTGTCTGCGGTCACTCTCATCAAGCAGATTAATGATATATTATATTATTTAGCACATTTTCTGTACGGCAGTTTCAACAAATTCGGTCGCGAAACTCCCTGCGTTGGTTAAATGTACGTTATTTGTGGGTGGATTGTATAGAGAAAGATGTAGGCGTAGAAAAAATGTTGTTGGTAGAAATGAGTTTCACGATGCTTGATCGGAGGGAATTCAAACAGGTATGAAAATTACGAAATTGATATACTTATGCTAATAAATGCAATTGTTACTTATACTAATCTGACACCAAAAAGAGTTGAGCCATGAATTTACCTTCCGATTAAATTTACATTCATTTGAAGGTGACAAAGTGTTTAGAATAAAGTGCGCGTTGTTGTTGCGGAACTTAGGCTTACCCAAACTGCTACCAATAGCGATGCTGCTTTATCATTTTATGTCACAGAAATGTTTTCAGCACACAAATCTTCAACACAAGCTAATATTATATTTATGAAAGGACTAAATATTAAACTGCATAATAACAGCTTATGTTGATAATGTCTTTCATAGAATTACACAATTATTAATCATGTAATTAGTTTTTATATTGTTCGTCCTTCAAATCTTTTATCGTGGTGGTTTTTAAGGTAGGTGTAACAAAATAGTATTATATCTATTAGTTTATTTATTTATGTGGTTTAAAGTAACGAAAGACTTACTAAAAATAGTTTAGTTGTAGATTTGTTACTAATTAATAAACTTATTTATTCTAACCTATTCAAGAAAGTCATATCATTTTATTTATTACAGCTAACAAACATATATAATAACAAATGATTACACTAAAAAAAAGCCACAGATACAAAATATTTACCTACAAAATGGTTCAAACTGTGCTGTGTACCAAACCGAGCAACCATATTCAAAAATACTTAGACATAGACATAGACATATCGTTGATTACAAACAAACACACACACACACATACACACCCAAAATAACAATAATCAAAGGGAAAAAATTAAATAAAAAGATATTATGAGAGATATATTTTTTTTTCCTTTTCCCATTCGGTTCGTCTCATGAATGTAATGCGTGTGTGCTTTGGCCCTGGCTCAGCATTATGCTGAGGAGCAGAATGTTCCACAGCGCTGGTCATTCTGCCAGAGACCACATAAGCTAGTTACTTCTTACATATGTCAAAATATTGTATAAGTAATACTACAGAAATATACACTACATATCCATATACATATCTTATATGCTACGTGTTTAAGTTTGCGAGTACTTTAAATAGTAAAATCCGTGCAGTCCGCGTAAGTACCCGCAGTCCATTAGCAAGGGATATGTACAACTATTGTTTTCAGAGACAGTATGTGTAGCAATTGTAGTTGAAAGACCGTAAAAACGTACCCGTTACTACCAATACACATTCTAAATAAAACAGAAAAAAATAAATTGTGCGTGTACTAGGTGTACACACGTAAGAAGTGAAACTTCTTTATGATCTTATTTTTCGAAAAATGATCTACTATATGCAACTTTACAGAAATTCGTTAAATTAGATAAAGTTTAACAAAAGGCTTTGTTTATTATCATAAACATGAATACAAATATTTCCTTTTACCTTATTACTACGAAGATTATTATAGAATTTCATTAATTGTAATAGAATTATTACTATCATTGAAAAACGTGACGATTTGCTACAAAATTTCTCCCATACGTCGATAAAGAAGTTTCATTCCAACGCCGATAAAGAAGTTTGACTTCAAAAAGCAACATGGCGCGTAACCTAAAAATGTGACGCGTAACGAAAAAATGTTACACTAAATTTTTTTCCAACCTCGATAAAGAAGTTTCACTTCAATAACAACTTGATCGTGTTTATAATTATACATAAGTATAACACATATACGAGTATAACTGATAATATTAATAATAGTCTTAATTTTTATTTTTATTGATATAAGCAAGTTACTATTTCCTAGTTGATCTTGTCAAATGGCGATTTAGATAAAAACATCCAACATATTAATTTGCTATCGAATTGAAATATGAACTGTCAATGTTGTATGTATCATTGAAGTAAGATCGCCGTGATAAATGTAATGTTAACTACATACTCGAGCCTTTTGCCTTTTTTTAGTAGGTACTCGCATACCATGTACCACGTACACACTGATTGATGCCATTGTTCACTTAGAAATATTAATTATCGCCTAGCACTTTAATAGGATCCTTCATTAGGATTTGACTGACGCCACAAAAGGGAATTGGTAATAAATTGGCGTCAATAAAAAAAAACGACACCGAGGCCAAATGCAGAAGAGAGCTCATTCGCTTTCACGCAGGCATTTTTTAAATCATTAATTCAATGTACACATTATAGAAATAATAGGTAAGATGTGTAGAACATATATATTTATATGTTCTATATATCATAAAGACATCACCGGAAGGTTAAAGAACAATGATTTTTGAAGATAACACAGTATTCTTTAGTTATGTAAATCAGATACATATCACAATGTGCTTGATAAATATCTGTTTCCCAGACGTTTATATTTTCAAATAAGATTTTAGAAAATTTCAATTGTGTTCTTCACAAGTTTACATTTGCATTTTACATTGACTTGGAAAATCACTGTTTCCAAAAATATTTGGAACTTAAAAATATAATAATAATTGCGCAGTTTCCTACAAAAAACAAAAATTCAG